ACAAGAGTTTATTTGGAACGTAGTAAATCATATGTCATAGAAGAATAAAATATGTTAGTTTTGTTAAAACATTATCCAAAATGTTTTTTTTTTTTTTGGGGCGTAATTAGTAGATAAGGTGTAGTAGACTAAAGTTTGTCGGCTTCTCAGTCATTCAACATTTGTTAAAAGCATAGTGCTGAAGTTGGACAAGTGCAAACAGTCTCCATAACAGATGGCGCATAGTTAATTTCTAACAAACAGGCATTGCTTAGTACTGAAATTTAATACATGGTCGAGACATTGAGCCATAAATGTACGGTTATGAGAGATTTGATGACTTTTCTGAATTAACCATTTAACCTCAAACTAAAACAGTCAATTTAAGGTTTGTAGTTAGACTTCAAGTAGAGAGAAATTCAGAAAATTTAACAATCAAACACACATATATCTGTTACATTATTTAACAATGAAAACACACATATTTGTTACATTATTTAACACTCAAACACACAAATATTTGTTAAAATATTGTGTAATACACAGTACGTACAACTCCAACATCAGATACTAGCTTGAGAGAATATATGTATGGGTGCAGCCGTGCAGGAAATTTATGCCATGCTGGTTCAAACTCCATCGAAGTAACAGTTTTGTTTATATAAACCTAATTTACAAATCTTGGAATTTGGGATATATATAGAAGTCTTTTTTATAACAACATAACAAGCTTAGCATGAACATTCTATAAGTCTTTGTAAATTGACATAGTTTTTGTGGAAACATGCATTTGCTATTCTTCTCCGAAAATGCCTCTCTTGTCCATTGTAGCCGAGCCAAGTACATTAAAAATTAGAATCAAAGATGTCTAACTAAACATTTTTTCTTTTCTATATTCTTTATTTAATATTTTTGCGCTTACCAATCCTTTTTAATAAAGAAACCAATATGCCTACTCAACACACGACCTCTATAATTTTTTTTAAGTTGAATCAGCTACGTAAATCGCTTTGTTATTAAGTCGGAGATGATGTTATGGAGCTCTCTTTATATATAAGCCAAGTATTCTTTATTATAAGCAGTTTTTATTTATAACATATTCCTCCGAATTCTCTATCTTTATCCCCAAATATTGGTTGTGTTACTTGTGTTGCAGTCTTGCAGAAAAAATATGGACAAGAAGAAACAGTAGTATATGTCTTACGTAAAAGTTTATCTTATTATAACAAAGCAACATAAACATATCTGGTACATGTCATAATACCACTTATAGAGTGACACATACTTATTTTATAAAATTACACTTATAATTAAGCACTAAGAGTTTTTGGTAGATTAACATAGGAAATAGTAGATTAACATGGGAAGTAGCAGATACATTTGTGAGCTGGGAAGACATAGTTGCAAGATCCATGTCGTGCTTTCTCAAGTCTAATGCACTGATTCTTACACGCGTTATTGTTTCCGCAAACTCCAGACCATGTCCCACTTGGCCTCTCGCATAATTTCTGTGCTTCCACCATTGTTGGCGCTTCTGCATATGGATCTCTCAAAGTTAGTTATCACAATAAAATGAGAGAAAGTTAAAACTCAATTTGCCATGCATATGATAGATATATGATAAGATCATTACTCACCAAGAGCAGCAAAGAAAACAAGAGCAGCTAAAAAAAGGGTAACGATGGTAGCAGACTTAGCCATGACTAGTTTTTATGCTTAGTTGTTTTCAATGTGTATATGTTTTAGCTTGAAGAAATAAGCTTGAGATCAACCTCTATTTATACTGAAAAAAGGATGGGGGAGAAAGTGTTTAACCCCATAAACAAATAAAAATCACACCGTCTGATAGTAGAGAATACTAACACGCAAGTATACACCTTTTGATAGAAGATAATATCTTGGCCAATTCATAAAAAGTGTGCTGATCAATGCTTGTTTCAAGTGCCACATTTGTTCATTTGCAATTTCATTCGACCGGCTGGTTTGACTTGGTCAAAATTTTAAATATCTTGAGGCTTGATCAAATCCTAGTACATTGGTTATTAATAAAAAAAAATCCTAGTTACACAAGTGGTAGTGATTTGTCGGCCACATCGCATTTAATAATAAGTCTATAAGTTGGATATTTTCTATCGACTTTTCTTCTCTATTCATTTATTTTTACTGAAACCTCCAAGGAGCTACTTCACTAGCTGGCAAGTTGATAAATTAGGTTATTTCTTCACTTTCTTTGTTATTGATCACATAATCATCAAACTAATTAAAATCTACACATGTAATTAAATATTAGTCATATAGTGGATCTGAACAAATTTGCAAGAGGGTTTGGACTAATAAATTTGTAATTTCGTAAATCCCACCCCAACCCCAACACAAACTTCTTGGATTCAACTCTGCCAAATTCAGACCACCAAAACAAATTAAATCCGATTTTTATTAACGAGTATTAAAAGTAAATCTAAAAAAGAAAACTAATTAATAATCGAAAGAAAATTCGTTTTAGACTTCATAGTCGTCATCCGCAAAGTTTGACAAAGACATGTCTCCTCTTTAAACATTTTCTGTCGACAGCCACGTGCCAACAACTTGCTTTCATGCCGTACTAAGAGAGCACCAGCACTAGCCCATGGACATGTAGCAAACTCAGAAGAACACCACACAAGTTAATTTGTTAGATTATTAGGAATAGAAGGGCAAGTTATTAATGAGATTTAAAATCCTTAAATTAGATAGAATATTATAGATTTAATGTTGTTAGATTATGAATTATATTTGCTTAGATTAAGAACTAAGGAATATGGTTAACTTAGAATCTTTGATTGGCAAAGATGGTAGTTTTGCAAATATAATTATCTTTTTTTTTTTAATTACTTTTTAAATAGAGAGGTCAAAATGAGCTAACTCCGTCTATTCACTTAGTTCACCATCGCCGGATTTGTGACCAATATGTGGCTTTCGTTGCTAATATGTGGCAAGTTGGTAAAGGATATGCCGTGACCACTCTGTCCTTTCATTAAATACTGTATAATATTTCAGTATTTCTAGCCATCCGTACGTGGTTTTTCAAGTATTAGCCACGGATTTACGACTTTGGCTACGAAAATTTGACTTTTACTTGTAGTACGAGAGTTGGAAAGAAGCATGGGGAAGATGGAAGAAGGAACCATGATGTACCAGCCACATTGATGCAGTTTATGTATGTAAAGCTCGTCATGTTGTTGCCCACAACATACGTAACGCTTCCTCTTGAGGATTATATCTCTTATAGCATTTTCATTTTTATTCGAAACCTTCTAGGTGTTTTTGCTTCACCCCAATCATACGCACCTTTTTTTGCATTTTATTTTTGTTATTTTAAACATACTAGAAAATGAGTTGGTGCTACAAAAATAGTATCCGAATCTTGAGTTTTTTTTTTTGTTTTGTTTGCCGTGATTCAACTCTTAAATAATATTTCATTTCCGCAACGTAAATTTGGTAGTCCAATCAAACTATTGAGTTGGGGGCCGGTTTTTCTCTTTTTTTTTTTTTTCACAAGAGTGTTATTTTATTACATAGCCAAAAACCAACAGAACATGAGTGAGCCAAAGTAGAATACATAGCCAGCGAACAAAAGTATGTTCCCGGAGACAAAAGCCGGCGAACAAAGATATGTTCCCGGAGACAAAGCCGGCGAAACCAAAGTTTCCCGGAGACACAAGCCCTAACACAGGGAATCAGTGAAATCAAAACTTAAATTGAATTTTAAGATCTAATTGCAAGGATAAAAGGCACCCAAAGAAGAGAACTTGATCGGAGAATTCAAGTAGTCTCGGAGAATCCGGGGCCGGTTTTTCTCTAGAAAATAAGATTTTCTTTTGACATACTATTCGTTCATTTAATTGGACAATATATATAATTCATAGTTTTATCAGATGATGTATATATGTTCATTTTTGAATAGCAAAACCAATATATATTAGTTTTGCCTTTCTTAAGGTTGAATTAGCTACGCAAGCCACTTTCTTATTAAACTGAAGATGCTGTTAGCTACGTACCTCTATTGTGCCCAATTCTTGTGGAGAGATACTCTGTCCATATTGAAAACAATGGCAGTTTTTTTTTGATAACCCAGTATCCAGACCACACAGTGATCTGACTAGCCCACTGGGCCTAAGCCCGCGTCACAGGGATTTTTAAGCCTCCACTTAAGGGCCCCCTGATAAACTGGTGGTCTGGGGCGCCTGAGCAAGTCTGCAGGTAAATTCCCAGGTGGCCACAGGAGTGAGAGAGCGAAACTGCGTCTGGGGAGGATCGATCCCTGGCCTAGACCAACAGGGCGATCCTTCCAACCAAACGAGAGCCACTCGCCCACCACCATGTGGTTAAAAAACAAAACAAAACAATGGCAGTTGTAGTCTTGTAGACAAATTAAATATGGACAAGAAGAAATATGCACTGTTGTGCCTCCACCTCTGCATATATATATTTTTCAAGGTTAATTATCCAAATAAATGTAGCAAAAGTTAGAAACACAGTTTGCATGAACAATGTTGTGTTTAGAGATCTTTTTTATGTTCTCGTGTCACCCCAATCATGTATTTTTATGCATTTTACTTTGATATTATTACTGTTGATAGACAATACTAGAAAATGCTACAAAAATATATAATCCTCGGCCGGATCTTCCTTTTTACCATAACTCAACTCTGTCAATTAATATTTCATTCCTCCACTTTTTTCTTTAAAAAATTCATTGTTCCAGCTTCGGTTTGGTAGTCTGATCAAACTATTAAACTGTGGTTTTTCACCTATAGTAATTTATAAATGATGATCGATCATGAGCTTTTCTTTTGACATATTCTTCGGTCATTTAATGGTCGTGTGTTTTTATTCTTTTATTTTTTATGAAAAAAACTAGTGCATGGTTCTGTTGTAAACAAATAATGGACAAGAAGAAACAGTCCTACTTCGTCGTACATTATTTTTTTATATTATTATAACAACAAAAGCAAACCAAACATTAAAACATAGGCATATGCATGTCATAAAGTCATTTATAGAATGACACAGACTTATTTTATGTAAAATACACACACGAAGGACAAAAGATTTTTAGGTAAATTAACATGGGAAGTAACAGATACACTTATGAGCTGGGAAGACGTAGTTGCATGATCCATGTCGTGCTCTCTCAAGGTTAATGCACTGATTTTTGCACGCGCCACTGTTTCCGCAAACTCCTGACCATGTCCCACTTGGCCTCTCGCACAACTTCTGTGCTTCCACAGTTGTTGGTTCTTCTGCATATGTATATATCGCTCAAGTTTAATTATCAAATAAATGAAAATTATATTTAAAGCACAATTTGCATAGATATAATTATAAGATCATTACTAACCAAATGCAGCAAAGAGAACAAGAGCAGCGAAGATAAAGGTGATGATGGAAGCAAACTTAGCCATGATGATTATTACTATTTAGCTTTGTTTTCAATGTAGATATGTATGTGTTGTGTGAAGAAATAAGCTTGAGATCAACCTCTATTTATAATGAAATGATGGTGAGTTAATCTTCTACTTGTGCACCGTACAATAACTTGGTAACCCCACAAATTAAACACACCGCGACTTCTAGTAGCTAATATTGAAAGATAATATCTTGGATATTATTCATAGTTGATGGCTGGTTTCTACACCACATATTTTTCCCTGTCAATATCTAATGTAACCTAGGTGGCTGCTTTATCTTTGAGCTAATGCTACAACATGGGCAGCTGTTTAATCTGACTTGGTCAAAACTCAAGAAAATAAGTATATGAATATGGATATGTTAGAGATTTTCATAGTTAGGACAAGAACAGCATGGTTCCGCAAAACCGCTGTCCCCTGATTTCGCCATCAGAAGGGGACGACTTTTTACCGGAGCAACGGAGAGGGCAGGGACTGAGAAATAAGCTTAGTTGGCTATGGACAAACAAAACCATTGTTAGTAGTGGCTAAACTGAAAACCGAAGCGGAAATAAATACCGAAACCTTTGCCCGTAATGGTCTGAACGTAATGGGCTAAGTGAGAGGCTCAGGGTAATTAAAAAAAAATTAACGGTGAATTTCATCAAAATTTGGTGGATTAGCTGGTTAAAGGTCTAATTCGTACATTTGTAACAAAAGAGTTTGGTAAAATAACTATAAAATTAATAACTGATGAAACAAATATCATTAAGGACAACCTGAAAGATTATAAGAGATCAAAATTAAAATATCTGTATATATTTATATATATATATATATATAAACTATTTCTTTTAAAATCTTAGGAAATTCAGATTTTTTCTAGGATTTTTTTTTTTTTGGAGGATTGATTTAAAGATTTTGGATTTAAGATGCAATTTTTAGAATTTAGGATTTAGAATTTTTTTTTAATTAACCTCGAAATTCGTATTAAGATCTTAATTTTAAAGATCCCGGATGCAGCCTTTACACTATCTTCTATGGGAATATCCTTTTTCCCAAGTGAACTGAAGCAGGAATATCTTTATCAGTGTTTTGTTCTCTTTCATTAGGCCAATAAGCACTTGATTAGGGTTGATGATTATAAATTTTGAATGTAAGATACATCGTCTTCTATTTGAACATCGTACAATCACCTGGTAACTAGTAACCCCACAAATTAAACACACATCGTCTTCTAGTAACTAACAATATTAAAAGATAAGATCATCTTGGTTGACGGCTGGTTTCTCCACCACATATATTTCCCAATGGGAAGGCTGCTTCACTATCTAATGTAACCTAAGTGGCTAGCTGCTTTGTCTTTTTGAGTCAAGTGTTATAATTAATTTAACTTAGTCAAGAGGTTTATACGGTTCAATGTTTGGAAGGAAGAAGACGTGAAAAAATGAACCATGAATCATGATGTATCTCGCGACACTGATGCGGTCATTTTTGTAAATGTCGTCCACATTTTCTATAACATTCTTGACACTTCCGTTTGAAATTTAAATCTCCTATTTTATTTCATTTTGATCAGAAACTTTTATAATTTATTACTTCCACGCACACATATATATATATATATATATATATATATATATATATTATAAATAAATTATGGAAGAAATCCGAACCTTCTAAACACATCTTCCACAACTATTCGTGTATAAATAATTGTGTTGAACAACCTTGCAGAAAATTGTAAATCGACGTTGTATGAGAGTTTGGCCAAAAGAGTAAGTAGGCTTGGAGAACAGATGGATATCAGGATATGTCTTGAATTTTTATTTTAAATTTATATGAACGTTCTTAATTAGTTATTACGAGCATGAGAATAGAGCTGAAAGAGGGAATTATTGTTACTAATTGATTGGTCATTTGCTTGAGTCGCAAGGAAAAAAAATATCTTTTTTTTTTTTTTTTTTTTTTTTTGAGCAACAAAGGAAAAAAAAATATCTAATACTCATGTTTAATGCTCACAAGTCGTAAGAAAATAACCGGGTTGGGTTTGAGTCTTTGGAATAATGGATTAGCATTGGGCTCGCTGATCCAATGTTTCAAATGGGTAAGTGAATGTTGATCGCCAACGTAACTGAAGGCCCAACGAACGAAAGAAGTAGAGATTTTTCTTTCTTTTTTTCCCGACATTTTAAAGAAATACTTGATGAACAAAAAAGGTATTGCTCTAACAAAGTAGTGGATGGGAAAGGAAAAAAAAAAAAAAACTAATATTCTGATTTGGTTTAGATGTGTAACTTGTGCTGCCTTTTCATAAGATCTAAAACATTCAGATCTCAGACGTACGATAGAACAAAAAGTGAAAGGTGATTTAAGGGTCATTTGGGATTGAAAAGTTTCTTCGTCAAAAATCATTGCATGGGTTGAATGGATTTGGGACTAAAGCTGCCAATAGAGACAAGAGGATTAGGTAATGACTGAAGCAAAAGCCCAGCAGGGCCATTACCAGTTTCCAAGACAGATAGTGTAAGACCACTTATGACACAACTTTGTCTTCACTATCATCATCTTCTTCTTCTACTTCTACTACTACTTTTGTAGCCTTGTCGTTTTTTTCATTAACGTGATTGACATGACTATGAGCTATATACGTCTTATTATTATCATTGCTCTCTCTATTTGTTTCTTTTGATTTTTACTTTTGTGATTTTTATAGTGGTTTTATCTCTAACTAAACAATATGATTAGTGCGTTATATAAAAATGTGAAACAAGCATAACATAAGTACTTATTCTTATGCTAAATTATACTGGTTAGTAGAGTGTGTATACACATCATCTAGAAACAATTGGTGCATCTGTATATAATACTTTATGATTTAAAATTTACTTATTGTTTTTAATAACTATATGAATTGGGTCGCTAACTTTCTAAACAGTTCCAAATTTATTCTTCAATCAAATTGCATATGATTTTTAAATTATTTGAGACGATTTTATTATAACATAAACCACTTTCAAGCGACAGAGAAGAATAAGCATATGATGCAAATTGTACTATGTCAAGTGCAAATACAAAATTACTTGTGAAATCGAACATGTGAACCAAATTTAATTTCTTTTCTTTTTGTATAATTTAATTTCAACAAATTTATTGAAATTCATGTAGAAATTAGTCAAAATTTCTTTCAACCAGTCATTTAGGGCCTGACTGGTTTAAACGCAGCAGTTGCGGTTGCGGTTGCGGGAGTTTGCGGAAGCGGGCGGTTGCGGTTTCAAGCGTTACCAAGCGTTTTGAACGACTGGTTTAGCGTTTGAAAATGGGTGCGTTTGCGGGAGGTTTATGACTGGTAAACCAGCGGGTGCGGTAGCAGTTAAATAAAAAATGACCAAAATAAATAAAAAATATTACAAAAAATAAAATAAAACACCAATATATTATTATGATAATATTAGAAAAATTGAACATGCTTAATAATTAAAACTATAAATAAAGTACTAAATAATTATTCAAAAATAAAGAAATTTTGTAACAAGATAGTACTTTATGCATCTGGTTTAACATCAAAAATTGCATCAAGTAATGGGACAAACTGTAAATAACGTTGAATTCAATTAAAAAGCAAGTGAGTTTCTATTCGAGAAAACAAATCGAAACATATATTCAATCAAAAAGCAAAGCAATACGTAATGAAAAGAAAAAAAAACGATGGCATGAAAAATATTCAAAAAGTTACACATGAGGTGATGAATGAATAAAAGGATATATGATACTTACGTTTGGTTCTTGATTTTCATCAGTTTGGGTGGAAGACATTGAGAGAATAGGGTTTCAGAATATTATTAGGGTTTCTGATGAGAACATGATAAAAAGATGAAAGATATATATAAGATTAATATATATTATAATAATTATAAGTAAACGTTTGATTTTTTTTTTTTCTTTTTTTTTTTAGTCCAACCGCTACCACCCGCAACCGCAAACGCTTGCGGGAAGGAGCTTTTGAAATTCAGCGATTTCGAGCGGTTCGAAGCGGTATGGAGCGGTTTCTATGATTGGTACCAACCGCTAACAACCGCAACCGACCGCTAGCAACCGCTAGGAGGGTGCTAGCGGAAGAACCAATCAAGCCATAAAGATGACATGAGTTTTGGTGATAAATGTTCCATCTTTGCTATGTGGTTATATTATTCTCCTATATGTATAATATATACATCAGAAAATAATCCAAAGTTTAGAGATTCCTTTCTACAATAAAAAAATTTCCCACTTACTAAAAAGAGCTCCTTTTCTGCTGAAGAGAACCTAAAATCTTTATTCCCTAAGTTAATTGAGTTTGAGCATTTTCAGCGAATCATAGTAGATATGCTTCTCTTCTTCATCACAAATTGACATCTCATTGTTTAAAGGTTGTACCGGTTGATCTGATTCTCAATTCACTTAAACCGGCTAATAGTCGTTTAACAAAGACACGTGAAAATTAAACCACATTTATTTGTTGTTAAGTATGTGTATTTTGTTCAGCGTTTACTTCTTAATCTAATGTATATCATAAGATAATATCTAGAAGAAAATGAACAAAATTATTAAAATGAGAAATTCGCTGCCATTTAGGAAGGACATTTATACCGCATATATATAGAACATTGGTCCCCAAGTGTATGTGTGTGTATGTCAACCCCAAGTGTATAGATTTCTTAAAAGATTAAAGTCCCTTTTTGTTGCTAAAGCACCTGATATTTTATCAAATTATAATTTTTTTAGCGGGATGAAGATATATATTCGCCAAGAACCATAGTGCTTGTATAACAGCAGACCAATAAGTCACAGTTATTATTATTTATTGTTAGAATCGATCTTGTAAAAACTGGTTTAAATTATAGCATGCATATTTATAATCAAGTAAGATTCACTTATATAAGTTAGGCATATTATCATTCGGCCTAATTCGTTAACTTGTAGTTGATCAATGCTATATTTTGCTATTCGTTTTGCTAGCCATTAACAACAAATGGAAATAATAAAAAGTCTGATTGGTAACACAAAACTGTACCAATTTTTTAGGCATAAACTGGAGCGCTAAGCTTTTACGGAATAGTTTTAAACGAATATGATTTGGTTATTTATCGGTATTGCCGGTTGCAATTAATTTGATCGGTTCGGCCTAATCACGATCAATCCTCAAATGGACCGAAGTAGATAAGTCCCTAATGTTTACAAGAGATGCACAATTCTCAACTATCAAAAGAAAGGTAATATGAACATAGTCGTGGGGACCTAGAAGCAGAAGGTCTGTATACTGACCGGTGAGTGAGTGTATGAATGTGAAAGTGAGAAGACAAAATACAAGAAAGAGCGTTGACTTGGAAGTTAAAGCCAAAAAACACACAAGGGGCAAATTTGTCTCTTTTGGAAAAGGACAGAGACAAACTTTCTATACGGGCCAATTACAAAAATAGGCCCTACTTCTAATTAAAGCCCATTTACTTCTCTCTTTGTCTTCTTATTTCCCTTTTTTCCATCACGTGACGACGATGCAACAAAACGCCGTCGGATTATATAACTGGTGCCGTTGACAAGACGGCGACAGAAGAAAAAAAGAAAGAAAGAAGAAACCACAGCCTCTAGGGAACGTAACGTTATGTCCTGTCTATAGCATTTATTATAACGGTCAGATCAACGCCGTTTAGATTAACATCCGTTAATGTTAAAGGAGAGATGTATCTCTACACCGTTTAATTAAAAACGCCGTGAACCTCTTATCTATTGATTTTTGTTTGATGAAGCCAAAAAAATGGTGTCAGAAGACTTATCAGAGAAGAAGAAAACGACGACGTTTCCGTGTTTCCATGTCTAATAAGTGTAGTAGTGGCGGCTACTAAAAACTGTAAAGTTTTTTTTCCAGTAAAAGTGCCTTTTCAGTGTAATTCCAGTGGTTTTTGAGTTTGAATATGAGTGACCCAATTTGAAGTACAGTCTCAGCAATGTTATTGATCACTCTGTTATAAAAGAATCGAATATGAAAGAAGCCAATGAGAGACTAACACGTATGTTTGACCACAAGTCGTAGTTCGTAATATATACCTGCAGATGTTCTATATAAGCTGAATTGTACTTGTCTCTTATCTTTTATTTTCGTAAAAGTTCTATTCACAAATGATAAATCTACTTAGACAGTAACCATAACAAAGTTTACAAGATAATTTGAACAAATAAACGCTAAGACTTTTATTTTGGCGCATTATTTTATATAATAACAATATTTATGTAAAGTTACATAAAAGTATTTATTCTCTCACAAAGTCTTACGGTATTTAGAACAGTACCACATCGATTCTCTTCTTCTTCTTCATAATATGCCATTGTTCATGTCTCTGAGTCTTATCGCATAACACTCACGCTAACTTATTATTCTCTCTCTTTCTTTCTCTCTGAGAGGACACTTAAAAAAAATGGCGATGAGACTTTTGAAGACTCATCTTCTGTTTCTGCATCTGTATCTATTTTTCTCACCATGTTTCGCTAACACTGACATGGAAGTTCTCCTCAATCTCAAATCTTCCATGATTGGTCCTAACGGCACCGGTCTCCACGACTGGATTCACTCATCTTCACCAGCAGCTCACTGTTCTTTCTCCGGCGTTTTATGTGACGGCGATGCTCGTGTTATCTCTCTCAACGTCTCCTTTACTCCTTTGTTTGGTACTATCTCACCCGAGATTGGGATGTTGAATCGTTTGGTGAATCTAACTTTAGCTGCCAATAATTTCTCCGGTGCATTACCATTGGAGATGAAGAGTCTAACTTCTCTCAAGGTTTTGAATATCTCCAACAATGGAAACCTTAATGGAAGCTTCCCTGGAGAGATTGTTAAAGCTATGGTTGATCTTGAAGTTCTTGACGCTTATAACAACGGTTTCACCGGTACGTTACCACCGGAGATTCCAGAGCTTAAGAAGCTCAAACACCTCTCCCTCGGTGGGAATTTCTTCAACGGAGAGATTCCAGAGAGTTACGGAGATTTCCAAAGCTTAGAGTATCTTGGTCTCAACGGAGCTGGACTCTCCGGTAAATCTCCGGCGTTTCTATCTCGACTCAAGAACCTAAAAGAAATGTATGTTGGCTACTACAACAGCTACACCGGCGGTATTCCACCGGAGTTCGGCGGTTTAACAAAGCTTGAGATCCTCGACATGGCTAGTTGCACTCTCACCGGAGAGATTCCGACGAGTTTAAGTAACCTGAAACATTTACATACTCTGTTTCTTCATGTCAACAACTTAACCGGTCATATACCACCGGAGCTTTCCGGTTTAGTCAGCTTGAAATCTCTCGATTTATCAATCAACCAGTTAACCGGAGAAATTCCTCAAAGCTTCATCGATCTCGGAAACATCACTCTGATCAATCTCTTCAGGAACAATCTCTACGGACAAATACCAGACTTCATCGGAGAATTACCAAAGCTCGAAGTCTTTGAAGTGTGGGAGAACAACTTCACCTTACAATTACCGGCGAATCTTGGCCGGAACGGGAATCTGATTAAGCTCGATGTATCTCATAATCATCTCACCGGACTTATCCCCATGGATTTGTGCAGAGGTGAGAAATTGGAGATGTTGATTCTCACTAATAACTTCTTCTTTGGTCCGATTCCAGAAGAGCTTGGTAAATGCAAGTCGTTAAACAAAATCAGAATCGTTAAGAATCTTCTCAACGGAACTGTTCCGGCGGGGCTTTTCAATCTACCGTTAGTTACGATTATCGAACTCACTGATAATTTCTTCTCCGGTGAACTTCCGTCAACGATGTCCGGCGATGTTCTCGATCAGATTTACCTCTCAAACAACTGGTTTTCCGGCGAGATTCCACCTGCGATCGGGAATTTCCCCAATTTACAGACTCTGTTCTTAGATCGGAACCGATTTCGCGGGAATATTCCAAGAGAAATCTTCGAATTGAAACATTTATCAAAGATCAACACAAGTGCCAACAACATCACCGGCGTTATTCCAGATTCAATCTCTCGCTGTACTACTTTAATCTCCGTCGATCTCAGCCGTAACCGAATCACCGGAGAAATCCCTAAAGATATCAACAACGTGATTAACTTAGGAACTCTTAATCTCTCCGGTAATCAACTCACCGGTTCAATCCCTACCAGAATCGGAAACATGACGAGTTTAACAACACTCGATCTCTCTTTCAACGATCTCTCCGGAAGAGTACCACTCGGTGGTCAATTCATGGTGTTCAACGAAACTTCATTCGCCGGAAACACTTACCTCTGTCTCCCTCACCGCGTCTCATGTCCAACACGGCCAGGACAAACCTCCGATCACAACCACACGGCGTTATTCTCACCGTCGAGGATCGTACTCACGGTTATCGCAGCGATCACAGCTTTGATCTTAATCAGTGTAGCGATTCGTCAGATGAAGAAGAAGAAGAACCAGAAATCTCTCGCCTGGAAACTAACCGCCTTCCAGAAACTAGATTTCAAATCCGAAGACGTTCTCGAGTGTCTTAAAGAAGAGAACATAATCGGCAAAGGAGGAGCTGGAATCGTCTATCGTGGATCCATGCCAAACAACGTAGACGTCGCGATCAAACGACTCGTTGGCCGTGGAACCGGGAGGAGCGATCATGGATTCACGGCGGAGATTCAAACATTGGGAAGAATCCGCCACCGTCATATAGTGAGACTTCTTGGTTACGTAGCGAACAAGGATACGAATCTTCTTCTCTATGAGTACATGCCTAACGGAAGCCTTGGAGAGCTTTTGCATGGATCTAAAGGTGGTCATCTTCAATGGGAGACGAGACATAGAGTAGCCGTGGAAGCTGCAAAGGGCTTGTGTTATCTTCATCATGACTGTTCACCATTGATCTTGCATAGAGATGTTAAGTCCAATAACATTCTTTTGGACTCTGATTTTGAAGCCCATGTTGCTGATTTTGGGCTTGCTAAGTTCTTAGTGGATGGTGCTGCTTCTGAGTGTATGTCTTCAATTGCTGGCTCTTATGGATACATCGCCCCAGGTTAGTTACATTCGGATTGTAACATTAGTACGAACCAAAATGTTATATGTTCTGATTTATTATTTTGTTTTTGGTTTGAATAGAGTATGCTTACACCTTGAAAGTGGACGAGAAGAGTGATGTTTATAGTTTCGGAGTGGTTTTGTTGGAGTTAATAGCTGGGAAGAAACCTGTTGGTGAATTTGGAGAAGGAGTGGACATAGTTAGGTGGGTGAGGAACACGGAAGAGGAGATAACTCAGCCGTCAGATGCTGCTATTGTTGTTGCGATCGTTGACCCGAGGTTGACTGGTTACCCGTTGACCAGTGTGATTCATGTGTTCAAGATAGCGATGATGTGTGTGGAGGATGAAGCCGCGGCAAGGCCTACAATGAGGGAAGTTGTGCACATGCTCACTAACCCTCCTAAATCTGTGGCTAACTTGATCGCGTTCTGACCAAAGCAAAAGATAAAATGAAAAATAAGATGTGTAATGTTGCGATAATTTTTTTGGGTGTTCTTATTTATGGTTCAAATACTTTCGGGTTGTATATTTGTTGTGTTTCAATTTGTATATTACCTCTTATGTGTTCTTATCTACTCGAGTATGTAATGTAATCAATATGCTTGTTGCTAGCTAATTCACCTTTCAGAGTGTATAAAATAAAAAGAATGTGAGAGCTTTGACCTCTGGTTCCAACACTAGACTATATACAATAATCCATACCTATGTGACTTAGGGTCTTGTCTAAATTCATGTTTGTGTTAGCTTCCAACATGGAGTCATGTCACTCTTGATCTTACCTGCAAAGGTACTTACCCTGCATATGGCTGAGAATCAAGTAATAAAACTTATCTGGTAAAAACCACAGAATCAACGGAGGGTTAGATTAAGCGATCGGACTCTACAAAGAATTACTCTGCATATGGTATAGTGACCAGTTTTATTGAGTTCTTGGTGGTCATTCACTTCTCAACACTCTAAGATGTAAATTACCAACCTAATCATATTTTTACGAGCTAAGAGACTCACCTCAGGGTCATAACATTGTTGTCTCTGCTCTTGGAGCAAAACACACATAAACTAAGAAACCGAAAAATCCACAGAAACCAAAAAACAAAAAGGTTATCACAAGAGCAAATAAACCTGTGGAGATGAGGATGAAGCTGTGAAGGCAACTCTATACATAACTCTTATCTCATTGATGGCCAGTTTTTTTTAAAAATGAATGTGATGCATTGCAATTTCACTTGCAGTGTGTGAGAAGAAGACAAGGCACAGAACAGAGTCACAACTTAGAATCCAAGGGAGATCTACTTCACTTTCTTCTGCTCACAAAACAGTCTTCATTACTAGATTCTACCCATATCCAATATGACATCTAAATTATAAAGCATTTCAGGTTTCAAAAAAATCTTCATTACTCCGTTTAACTCTCTTCATTAAGAATCCTTTACAATTTCAACCCACAATCTTGATTCACTGGAAAGACTGAGTTTCGCCAAGCAGTTTCAACACTCAAATCAAATAACACTGCAGCTCTTGAATTCAAAATCGATTCTATTAAGAAAACAAGAACATCTATAATCATCATCATCATCACTATCAAATTTTACAACATATCAATACAAAGAAACTTTCCAACTTACAAGAAGAAGAACACCATTACCTTATTCCTCATCAAATCTATTATACAGAAAATTTATGAGAAATTTATACCTAATACATGTTATCTACTTCACTTGCATTTTTTTTTCAACAAAGGGAAACACAAAAAAAAAAAAAAGTCAAAAAAAGGGAAAATTTCAAGATTATATACTCAGAAAGCGCCGTAGGGTATATGTTGTGGAAGCCTAAATCGAACCTGTGAAGCCGGTGACCGAACCGCAACGCCGTGCCAGCAAATCCCTCCTTTACAAATCGCACCACCGTCGTGATGGTGACGGTGGTGGCTAAGATCCTCATCACCACCAACGCGATTGTACCGCGAAACCGCATCCGCTGCTCTACGAGACACATCCCAAGCAAGCGTAACCGCAAGCAAAACACCGACCGCCGTAATCGAAACGACGACGACGAATCCAGCGCTGAAACTCCTCCCGGTGATTAATCCGTAGGCTTTAATCGCGATAATCACCGCCACGTAGATCGTCGCGAGATTCCCGAGAACCGCGTCGGATAACGCCATGAGACACATAGAGATAGGACTTTCTTCTTTTCCGTCGCCGTGAAAATTCGTTGCGGTGGAGGAAGCTTTAACAGAAAAGTGGAGAATAGCGAATTGTGATGGATGTTGAAAACTCAAAAGGGAAGGATATTTTTAAAATTACTAAAATACCCTTGATAAGATCTTTTGCTTCTTCTCTATCTACATGACTCATCATCACTAATGCGAGAAGATTTTGGTAAAAAAATACCCTTCGCGTAAAACGACATCGTTTCTTGATTTGGTCAGACTTGCCACGCACTACATTTATGGGTGTATGACATTCTTACGCATGTCGTTGTCAAGGACTCAAGAGGCTCTATTCCATTTATGTCTGTGGTCAAAATTTGATCGTCGTACTCAAAAATAAATGCTCTTTGGACTTAGTGATTGTTTCTAACGGGCCTCTAAAATCAATAATGGACTCCAGTTTTAGACCCATCTTGATAATAAGTTTTCTTCTAATTTGATTAGTGTTTCCTAACTATGAGAGATGAAGAAGGCATGTCTTCATATTCCATGATGGCTTTATGCTTATGATATTTTCGTCAAATCATATGCAGTAAAATAGACACTTGGTTTATATTTATATAGGTTTTACTCCCACTATAAAATCAAAGGCATCATCATCAACTCTCAACCTTAATTTATATTATCTATTTAATCTTTTTTCAGCTAGTGGTATCACTATTAATGGTTTGGTCCATTTACTTTTGAAACCTATAATAGAGAATTTTGTATGGCTCTCATATGCGCTTGTAAAGTCAAATTATTATTAAATACAGTGGTTGAGACAAGACCAAGAAATGTATAATAGTGTTATTCATTTCAATGTTCCGAATGGCCAACACAGCATCATCAGACAACAAACAAATGAAATATTCCCCCAATTGTTTCCAATATATTTATAGATTTAAAAACTAAGTAGATTACTTTATATAGTGTTTATAATATTCTTCTAATCCTAGTTACATTAAAAATCAAATAAATATTCTGACCTTACAAATTAAACATTCCCATCTTTTATGAACTCCACCAGCACAGCCCACTTTCTTTCCCACGTGTTCCTCACCCAAAATAAGAATTCTCCCATGAATGAAGGGTATTTTCGTAAATTTCGGGTGTTGTTAACCTTTTTTCTCAACTCTGACTCAATCCGACGTCGTTCAGAAGTAAAAAGGTCACATGGGCCGGAACGAGATAAGGCTTTAGTCAGTGAGGGCCCACGTAGTCTTGATTTTACGCGGGAGACAAAGTTAGGTGTCAAAAGAGCCGCCACATCCGACAAAAGGCCAGCGCAAGTGTGACTGTGATCCCACATAACGAAAGATGACACCTGGATGGTGATCCTTTGCTCTGATCCAAAGCTCCTTCGTATATCATCGATGTATCTTCCGGTGACCACGTCGTACTACTGCCTCCGGCAGAAGTTGTCGACGATGTTCCCGGTGCTGTCGTCTGTTTCGGATCTGGGCTCTGATCTTGAGATGATTTTTGACTGCAACCAAACCAAAAAAAAAATCATAGCCGTTAAGTAATGTGTACAGGATTCTGCCACGCGTCTCCTCTAGGCTCTAGATTAGAGATGATAATAGGGGAAATATCTCAATGAGCCGTTAAAGATACACATCCCAATAAATCTATCTCTACTCGAGGATAAAATTGGGACTATAAAAAAATTTGGCAAGAAAAGAGAAAAATCGTAATAAACACACATTTCTTTTTGCAGTATAAAGCAAAATCCTACAGTAATTATTTCTAGGAGTTACTTCGATTACAAGGTAAGCAAAAGGTAATTAATGGTTAGTAAATATGTTGTCTGCTGTAATTGACAAAAATACCCTCAATAGTTAAGCGTTTTCTCTCACCTAACCATAATCATAAACTACTATTCATGCTAATTTGGTGCGACAGTGAAGAAGATATATCCGTTGAATGTTGATTATTAACGAAACTACCCTCCCTAATCAAAGGATATTAATAGTAAGAAAAGGGTATAAATGGAATTATCACCTGGTGTTAGGCGTTGGGCAAAACGTGATAACGTAATTAGGAGATTTGGCACATGTGAAGGTACTACTCTGATCATCGTAAGCGTAGCTGTAAGCACGTGGGCACGCGGTTTTAAACATCAAAGAATACGACGACGGTTTACACGTGTCAGGTGTACCGTACGCGCCGCTGCAACAATACTCCGGCGTACGAAAAGCTTCACACGCGCTTTTACATCCCATAGATAGTTTACCTCCACCGTCTAAACTGGTCACTTTTAGCTCCGACGGACACGAACCGTTCAGATCTACAACGCATCCGGTGCTACTACAGTTTAAACCAGAGCCTCCTTGTGGAGCCACTAGCATCGGGACGTTGTAACCGTCGACGAGACTTACGTCGTAGAAATCGAGACCGTTAGATCCGTCGAGTGTGAATTCCGCTAGTGTTGCTGGTGGTGTTGCTCCGGATCCGGAGCATTCGAGGGTTCCGGATCCGCAATCTCCGGAGAGGCAAGTGAATTTTCCGTCGGTGTCGGTGGAGCATTGAGTTCTTCCCCAGAATCTTCCTCCCCATGAAGTTGGAGCGTTGATTGTTCGTTCTTCGCCTTTTTGGAGTACGAATCCGGTCGTCGGAAGTGGTGGAACTCCGGCGTTTGATAAAAGTCCCGGCCACACTGTGTATTCGCATTTGTTCACCATTATGAAGCTCGTAGATCTAACTCCTGTTTATAAAATCAAAAATCATCAGAATCAAAGTAATAATCATTACTTAAGTGTATTCGCAAGAATCGGAGAAGATTCGTACCAGAAACGAACAAATGAGAGAATATAAGGAAGATCAATGGCAACGTAAGAGCCATTGAATTGGAGAAGAAGAAGAATATGAAGATTTTAATGCTCTGTTTCTTCTTCTTTATTTGTTTATTTATGAAACAGAGACTTGAAGAGGATTCTGAGAGCGAAAGAGAGATGAAGAAGAGGATGGGTGATTTATAGAAGAAGCTTTTTTCCTCTGTTGGTAAGAATCTGGTGTATGTGTTGGTTGGTAGCTTATGGTACGCCGGCTTACGTGGCTACACCTAATTGGATCACATATTTTTAACCGTTGAGATTAAGAAAAGCACCTGATGATTTTATATAGTAGTAAATTTTGTTCTTTAATCGGTTCATAATTAGCACTATACGATAATGGGTTAGTCTTGTTTGATTGATGATTATTCAACGAAAATATCCAATTACCTTTTGACGATCACTTTTTATTAAAAATATCTACAAAACGTAAAGTAGATCTTTATTTTTCAAGATTCTTTTAACTTTACTGTTTGATTACGCGATTAAGGATTTGTAACCACGTAGACGTGCAAAACAAAATTACTTCTGTGAAGAATTATAGTAAATTTTCAATAGGAAACTTGAGATTCCAAATTTCCAATGCAACGTTGTTGTTTTCATCTAACAATGAGAAAGGTCTAGTACAAAATGATGACGAACTTCAGAAGTCCAAAACCATATAATTTATAAAATTATCATTTCATTTTCAGAACAACTAGGTACGATTAGTGGACGTTTCAACGTCTTTCATGATAATCGCGGGCCATGTAAATTATATATTGGAGGATCCATATAATATCTTGGCTATATTAAATTATTTATTTGTCCAATATAATATCTTAAGGCTTTGATTGATCAATTGCGACGATATACACCAACAAAAAAAAAAACATTTTACTTATATGAAGTGTACATTTCTATATAATCAAAGTATCTGTTAGATATTTTGTTGTAAGTACTTGTTACTGTTTTTAAGTGGTGTTAACTGTGAAAGATAAAAGAAGATATAAAAGTGATAAATAATTTTTCAATAATTGCTTCGTTATTTTATTTTGTAGGACTAAATAGCGACCATTTTTGTAATCTTGTATATGACAGGTCACATCCACTTTACAATATATCGTAAGCCATCGTCTTCCCTCACGTTTTTTTTCGTCCGTCACATTACGAATAATTAGATACGATAAAATATTTAATGGGCCTTTATGCATGGTTTAGTATAGTGAATAAGCCCAGCAAATATAACAAAAGCACAAATGTGCTGCCCATAAATTAGGTTGAAAATGCAGATTGCATGAACTTTCGACATATTCATAGCACAAAATAAGTAAGCTTTAACTCCAACAGATTAAGAGTAATTATCATCGAATTAAACATATCGTTTCAAAGAAAAATGTAGCTACTTCTCGCTTCTAACACTTCTTGTTCACAGCACAATCATCTCAAAATTTCTTCAATATAGATCTATATACATTTTCATAAATCACTCTTTCGCGATGAGGCATGTCTTTGTCGAGGTGGTTGTTCTGATATCTTTGGTCATCTTGGAGTTGAGCTATGCGTTTGCACCAATCGTATCGTATCAATGGGTCGTCTCTTATTCTCAACGTTTCATTCTTGGAAGCAACAAGCAGGTAACTACTGATGAATTGCTTGTATTTATTTGTTAGAATAATATGATTTTAATTATCATATACGAAATAATAGATGCATGATGCCATGATCAATCTATAGGTTATAGTGATCAACGACATGTTTCCTGGACCGATCCTTAATGCAACAGCAAACGATATCATAATCGTTAACATTTTCAACAATTTGCACGAACCCTTTCTAATGACCTGGTAAATATTTGACACTTGATTAGGCATCTTTTTGTTTTTGGGTTTATTTTAGTCATAATTGTTGTTAAACCAATATATACAAATGAAAGGAATGGATTGCGATTGCGGAAGAACTCGTGGCAAGATGGAGTTCGAGGGACAAACTGTCCCATACTACCGGGGACAAATTGGACGTACCGTTTTCAGGTGAAGGATCAGATTGGAAGTTACTTTTTCTTTCCGTCGCTTCTACTTCAGAAATCCGCCGGAGGATACGGTGCTATTAGAATCTATACCCCCGAACTTGTCCCGGTTCCATTCCCTAAGCCGGACGAAGAATACGACATCTTGATTGGAGATTGGTTCTATGCCGACCATACAGTAGGTTTCTTTCATATTTTACCGTATAATTATCAAATTCACAATCATTAATTAATTAGTTTAGTTCTAAAAGATATTTTGCTTGATTTGCATAACGCTAATCATTTGTTTTCCAAATGGGTTGGTGTAAGATTATGAGAGCTTCACTTGACATTGGTCACAGCTTGCCAAAGCCTGATGGTATTCTTTTTAACGGGCGTGGACCTGAAGAGACCTTCTTTGCATTTGAACCCGGTGAGTTTTTTTTTGTTCTTTTAATATATTACATTGTTATCTTTAATAATGTAATAATTACACACAAATGTACGTTTTTGTGTTGTGCATATATAATCGCAGGCAAAACATATAGGCTAAGAATATCAAACGTGGGTCTCAAAACATGCTTAAACTTTAGAATCCAAGACCATGATATGCTTCTAGTTGAGACAGAGGGTACGTATGTTCAGAAACGTGTTTACTCGAGCCTGGACATCCACGTAGGCCAGTCATACTCTGTTCTTGTCACTGCCAAAACCGACCCGGTTGGCATTTACCGGTCCTACTACATATACGCCACAGCCCGGTTCACTGATTTCTACCTTGGCGGTAGAGCTTTAATTCGATATCCCAATTCCCCACTTGACCCCGTCGGACCAGATCCACTCGCACCTGGTTCGTGGGATTACGCTTCCTCGGTTGAACAAGCCCTTTCCATTAGGTAAACAAATATTTCATTTTTATGGAAAACGTATATACAACTTTTTTTATGAAATTAAACCGAGAGTAGTACTAGGATGGGTGATCTCCCGGGAAAACTTGGTGTTGCATCCTATTTATATATATTACTCATTTTTTATACCAAAGAAAATTTTTTAATGAAATCTTACTTTTAGTTTTTATTCTTGACTACTAATAAAAGTTAAGTGTGACACAGAATGGACCTAAACGTTGGAGCAGCAAGATCGAACCCACAAGGTTCGTACCACTACGGACGTATAAACGTAACCAGAACAATAATATTACATAACGACGTTATGCTGTCGTCGGGCAGACTACGTTATACGATTAACGGCGTTTCGTTTGTCTACCCCGATACTCCGTTAAAGCTCGTTGATCATTTCCAGCTAAATGACACGATTATCCCCGACATGTTCCCGGTTTATCCATCCAACAAAACACCGAGTCTTGGAACTTCAGTGGTAGATATTCATTACAAAGATTTTGTCCACATCGTGTTCCAGAACCCTCTATTTGAATTGGAGAGTTATCACATCGATGGTTACAATTTCTTCGTTGTCGGGTAAAAATTACAATTTAAATCATAATCATGTGTATAATGATTAAATTAGGTACTAATGTTATTTTGGTTGATGTTAGATATGGATTTGGAGCTTGGTCTGAGAGCAAAAGAGCTGGATATAACTTAGTGGACGCTGTTTCACGGTCAACAATTCAGGTTAAAATCATATACTAATCTCGTAATTAAAGTATAAAACCAGTGATTAGTTTTGGTTAATTGGTTCTGTTTGGGTTTAGGTTTATCCATATTCGTGGGCAGCAATACTAATAGCTATGGATAATCAAGGAATGTGGAACGTGAGATCACAGAAAGCAGAGCAATGGTATCTTGGTCAAGAGCTTTATATGAGAGTTAAAGGTGAAGGACAAGAAGATCCTTCGAATATTCCGGTTAGAGATGAAAATCCGATCCCGGAAAATGTCATCCGTTGTGGCAGAGTTCTTTAATAATTAATTATTTAAATAATTAAAAGAAGTGTATTAGTAAAAAAAACCAGTTTCGTTTAGACTTCGGTTGTGACTAAGACTACAAAACGATGCTGTTTCATTATATGGATGGGCTCATTTAATTTTATCTGCAAAACTGGCCCAGCCCAGGTCTGTTTTGACTTGGTGAGTGTTAACGTGCTCTATAAGAAATACTGTAGCCAATATAAGAACAGCTAACGTGCTCCCATTTTCTCTATGTTCCCTTCAGTGACATTTTCACAATAAGTTGGGAGCAAGTAATTAACCAAGAACAAATGGTTGGGAACAAGTATATATTAAAAAAAAAAAAAAAATTGGATCATTTTACCAGTTCAATTATTGATATTGACGTTACGTATAAACAGTAGATCGAACATGACATAAATAAAAATGAAAAAATAATTGGATCAAATCTCAGATCTTACTACAGTCTACATCTAGCTAGCTACATGTGCTATGACATTATTATTTTTTCTTTCTATATTTTCCTTTGTTATCATCAAATATTGTATAATAGATCCAAACACAATCAGTGTGATGATATTTTTTATATACTTATTGATAATTCAACCTATTTCAATTATTGTGTTTTATCGTTTACATAGAAATAGGTACATATGTATGTATATTCAAGATCTCCAGATCGTTTATTACATCTTGCTACATGTGCTATGTCACTAAAACAACTAAGACACTACATGGAAGTTCTTGCATTCATTTCCTAGTCAACTTGTAATGCATTATAACTATCAGAATTATTGAATTTTTGTTACTCAAGGGGTTGTAGCTAGTCGTGATGAGGTTTGAATAGTAAAAGGTTCATCATATGGATCAAGATATGAAACTAGTCCAACTATCTAGAACTATTATAGACGTTTGTGTAATTAGTAAAAACATTTCGTCTTTCCATCGATTTCAGTGATTAGTATGTATTTGAGACCCTGATTTATTCCCAACTAATAAAGTCTACAAAGAAAACAAGGGGAGCTAACATTGATTGAATGTATAAATAGTAACAGAGATGAACAACAGAACAACAAAATAACTAAATAATTGTTAGCGGAATGAACTAAACTAAATCAAATTTCCATAGGATAATTACATAACGTTGAAAAGCTAGTTATAGTAAATTAAATCACGTTCAGTTTTTTCAAGTTATATTTTTTTTACAAGCTAAATCACTTTTCCCAAACATAAAAATTTGATGAATATTTTGTATGGAAAAACAAAAAAAAAAACGATCTCAAGCTTTCAAGACCTATCACAATTTAATAGACTGATGTAATTCAACAATATCTTAAATAACATTAATCATTTTTTGTTATGATGTATCATTCACTTTGTAGAAATTTCAATTTGACGGTGCTAAAAATTTGATAAAATATGTCATATTCGATTTTTTGGTAGAAAAAATGAAATGATAAAAACTAAAAATAGTTTTTTTTTTTTTTTTTTTTTTGACGGCAACTAAAAATATATAAAAACAGAGTATAGTGTATAGTGAAAAACAGAGGATAAAAAAAAAAAAAAAAAAAAAAGAGAGAGGAAGAAGAAACGGTTATAACTAGCTGGCAAAGATCCATCTTCGTCCCACGCTGTCAAATTTTGTCACTACTTCCCAAAAAAAACTCTCCCGCCTCTCTCTCTCTCTCCCTTCTTATTCTCCTCCTTCACCATCTCTCTCAGATCTCAAATCTTCATCGATCAATCATCATCATGAGAGAGATCCTTCACGTTCAAGGCGGTCAATGCGGTAACCAAATCGGTTCCAAATTCTGGGAAGTTATCTGCGACGAACACGGCGTTGATCCCACCGGTCGTTACAACGGTGATTCCGCCGATCTTCAGCTCGAGCGTATCAACGTTTATTACAATGAAGCTTCTGGTGGTAGATACGTTCCTCGTGCTGTTCTTATGGATCTCGAGCCTGGTACTATGGATAGTATCAGATCTGGTCCCTACGGTCAGATTTTCCGTCCTGATAACTTTGTCTTTGGGCAATCCGGCGCCGGAAATAATTGGGCGAAAGGTCATTATACCGAAGGTGCTGAGCTTATTGATGCTGTTCTCGATGTTGTTCGTAAAGAAGCTGAGAACTGTGATTGCCTTCAAGGTATATGAATCGATTTCTCTCTTTTGATTTTCGCTTGAAACGATGAATCTGGTGTTTGCTTTGATCATATAATCTGTGATGGATTTTGTGAATTGAAACTGCAATTATTTGATTGTTACAATCATTGAGATTTGGTTTCGATCATTTAAATCTCGTGAGTGTTAGTACAGTTGTATATTTAGTAACCGATGATTTCGATTTCACTAATCATCCTGGCATTGCACTAATTAAATCTTCATTGATCTTTTTAAGATCATGGCTCTAATTACAGTTTTATGGATTACATGAACATGATCCTTCGATGTTATTTTGCTTGATTTGTGTTTTAATGTGTTTTCTCTCCTATGTGAGTGAGTCGGTGCTTCGTTTTCAATAATTCGATGTTGATTACTGTTTAAGAGTGAGCTGTTAACACTTGATGATAGGCCAGGAGTTAGATTTTGTCTAATTTTTTATAGGAAAAAGTTAACGTCATTGAATCTAAGGACAATGTCCTAATTTGGCGGTAGTGTATTAGTGGCCCCTATTGTTTTGTTCCAGATTTGTGACTGTGGATCAGCATTATTTCTCACGTGAACCTTAAACCATATCGAATTTTATAATAAGAACTTTAGGGAATACTCTTGTGTTGACACTATCGAGGTGAAACATATCATTTTGTGGGGATATTTGAATAAGCAAGTGGGTCATGATTGGTTTCAGCAACTGTTTATATAATAACATCTCAATACCCTTTTTGGATCTGGTCTTAACATTTGTTTCACACTTGTTCTTAACATTCCTGTATCTCATTTTATATTATTACAGGGTTTCAAGTATGTCACTCTCTTGGAGGAGGCACAGGTTCTGGAATGGGAACTCTTTTGATATCAAAGATCCGTGAGGAGTATCCAGACAGGATGATGCTCACATTCTCTGTTTTCCCATCTCCAAAGGTCTCAGACACTGTCGTTGAACCGTATAATGCAACTCTCTCAGTCCACCAGCTCGTAGAGAACGCTGATGAATGCATGGTCCTTGACAACGAAGCTCTCTACGATATCTGTTTCCGCACTCTCAAACTCAGCACTCCTAGCTGTACGTATCACTTTTTGCAATTAAAATCTTAATGTTTGTTTTCTTAGTTCCTGAATTCTAAGATCATCATACATTTGCAGTTGGAGACTTGAACCACTTGATCTCTGCAACCATGAGTGGTGTGACTTGCTCTTTAAGGTTCCCTGGACAACTCAACTCTGACCTTAGGAAACTCGCCGTGAACCTTATCCCATTCCCTCGTTTACATTTCTTCATGGTGGGTTTCGCCCCTCTCACTTCCCGTGGCTCCCAACAGTACATTTCCCTCACAGTCCCCGAGCTGACACAGCAAATGTGGGACGCCAAGAACATGATGTGCGCAGCTGATCCGCGCCACGGACGTTACCTCACAGCCTCCGCCATGTTCAGAGGAAAAATGAGCACAAAGGAAGTGGACGAACAAATCCTGAATGTCCAGAACAAGAACTCATCATACTTTGTTGAATGGATCCCAAACAATGTGAAGTCCAGCGTCTGCGACATTCCACCAACTGGAATCAAAATGGCTTCTACGTTTGTCGGAAACTCGACTTCGATCCAGGAAATGTTCAGGAGAGTGAGCGAACAGTTCACGGCTATGTTCAGGCGTAAAGCTTTCTTGCATTGGTACACAGGTGAAGGAATGGATGAGATGGAATTCACTGAAGCAGAGAGTAACATGAATGATCTTGTGGCTGAATACCAGCAATACCAAGATGCTACCGCTGATGAAGAAGGCGAGTACGAAGATGAAGAAGAAGAAGTTTACGAATCTTGATTTCGTAATCTCTCAGATTGGTTCAGAGAACAACACAAACCAAAAGATTAAAAAAACAGAAGTCAATTCATCTCCATGTCTCTATTCCTATTATTACCACTATATATATACATGTATCAAGTTGAAGAAACTGGGAAATGTGTTTGTTTGTTTGTTACTTTTTTCTTTGTGGTTCTCTCTTATTGTATTTTGCCATTTAGTTTCTTCTTTTCTTCTCATTGCCTTTGTAATAAATAATATGTCCACGTATCTCCCTTTTTAGCCTTTAGCTTTTTTACTTCGTACTTCATAGTTCATAGTATTCAAAAAAGGATTCTTAGAATCCTTTCGAGTTTCCATTAATATAGTATACACAACCAAAACATTGGAAACTTGGTTGCATATTCGTTACAAAAACCTACTATTTCTGCTATATAATTATAACCCAAAAAAGGTTTTTCAAAAAACTATTCCATATCACTACTTAAGTTGATAAGAAGAGATGAATCTATTATAAAGCTTCTTGGATCGAATCAAACCTAGTCTTCTTTGTCTTGCTTGAGCAGCTACTTGGACTTTATTCGCCACTCTCAGAAAACCCTCCTCTGCTGCTGGAAGGTTCAGATCAAAGCCACGTCGTTCCAAGTTATCCATTCGCAACGACGCCGTTTCAAGATCCCTTACCTTGACCGTATGATCGACCGCAATAAACGGTAGAGGTTGATCATATCTAATGGGCTGGGCTATTAAACCAACTTGTGCTCTAAGTAAACCTGTATCCGCCTGTATCTTCACAGAATATTATCAAAATGGAAACAAATATTAAAAATGTAAACATTTTTTATACAAAAGGGAAAATAAATAAAATAAAAGGTAAAAATGAAAACCTCGAGGACTGAAGAACTCTGATATTTAGTACAAAATTCTTCTTCTAAACCCTTTTTAATCTGTCGTTTATATCAAAAACACAGACAAAAACAATTGCTAAGTACCAAATTTAACATATCAAATGTATTTTACACAAATACGAATAAAAAAATTGAAGAACAGAAACAAGAAAAGCAAAAAAAAAAAAAAAAAAACTCAAGAGAAAATTAAGACTTACGATTTGAGAATTGGCTTTCTTGGCCTCACCGGTTAAGCACGAAGAACTCGAATTACTTCCCAAATCGCCGACATCCGCCGTACACGGCAGCGATTTCATCACCGGTTCCGGCGAAATCACCGGCGGATGCAAGTGAATTAAAGAAGACCTCTTTTTAGTGCGACCCCATTTATGGAAGAAAGGAGAATCAGAAGAAAATATGACCGGATGTGAAAGTTGCAATAAGATAGAAGAAATTTCGTAGTCAATGCTATCGAAAAAATCATCTTTCTTCTTGCCTTTGCCGTCACGGTAACGGAGAGAACCGTGATCTTCCATTGATATACTCTGTTTCTTCTTCTTCTTCGACATTGAATGGGCAGAGACACGAATGGGGTCTTTTGGGAGTCTCTCTTCTCTCGGCTTGAAACGATTGGGTTTATGAGATAAATCTTTCTCCCAAGATTTTGTTTCGTTTTTTTTTTATTAGCGTTTGATGGTCTAAGTTTATGACACGTGTCATTACATTTTTTTGTTGAATTTTTTTGCTTTCTTTTCTCTCTTCTTTTTTGTTTTTTGTTTTTTTTTTTGTAATTTTCGGTGTAATTACTAATTTCCTTTTGGCCATTTAATTCTGTCAATTTTGGAAGCAAAAAAAAGGATTAATCCCTGATATGTCAGGTAAAAAATACTAATTTTTCTTTTCTTCTTAAACCTCATTTTATTTCTAATATTTTTTCGACTTCCACATTTCTTTAACACTGTATATATATATACATATACATTAATTTCTATTCAAAATGGGCTTTGGGCTTTGGCAATGGGCAACAACAAAAACCAACGGTACTAAGCAACAAACCACACAAGACTTCATTATTATCAAACCCATTGTTGAATGTGATGATGAGCTTAACAACAAAGATATTATATCCACACTAATACAAATTACAATATTTGTTAGCATATGTATTCAATTGGTAAACTTTTTGCCGAAGAATTTTGACTGAACTGTCAAAGATTATTTCCCAATTCTCGGAAGAATCTCTCGAACACTTTTCAATACCCATTTTGAAGAAACCCAATCCCACTTCCGATCAAACTGAAGTAGACATAAGATTTAAAGAAAAAGAACGATGACCAATTTTCTTTTAATGTGCATTTTACTTATAAGATTATTGTGTTGAAAAGATATGAATATTATTATAAGTGAATATAAAACATTTACTCATATGACAATTAAACGGTGAAAGTCGTGGAGAATGGAGATAGTGGATGGATTACGAGAACAAAAACCTAATAAAACGGGAAAGTGGATTTTGTTTAGATATTGTAAAGAGTTTAGCTGTATTATTATAAAAAAATCGATTACTGAAATATTTGCATCAATCAAATCTAAAATTTAAGAACAAATAAAAGTAAATTGATATACTTTCTCTTTCTTTAACTTTCTCACCTACATCCTTGGCGAACAATAATAAAATTACATATTATATTCACATTCTCATTCAAGATTTCTCCATTTACTTGGAAAGATGTTTTCTTCTTCTCTGCCTCCGGAAATTATTCTCAAAATCCTCTCTTTTCTTCCGGGCAAAACATTACAAAAACTCCGATTAGTTTCAAAGCAATTCAACTCCTTAATCTCTGAACCCTACCTCCTCCGTCTCCACCACCGCCATGCCCTAAACTCCTTCTCAATCCTAACCGCCTTCAGCCGGTACCAGCTGAGATCCCTAACCATAGATCTCAAGCTCTTCCTCTTCACCCAACCCGACGACATTGCTCTCGCCGTTCTCACCGCTCGCAAAGCTATTCGGATAGACGCCTTCGGTGATCCTCGTAGCAACATTGAGCAAACACTTAAACCCATCACAAAACGCTTCTTTGGACAAAGAATCAAAGTATTCTCTTCTAACCATCAGTTTCTCTGTATCGTCACCGACAAGGAACATTTTCTCTTCGACCCTAGTAACCTAAACATCCTAGAAATACCACAATCTTCCACTTACACTTCTTCTTGCTGTTCTCTTGTCTCCTTTGGCTTCGTTTCATCAACATTACAATACAAAATCATCAGATTTTTTCTTCCTTATCACCCACTTTGCAGATTCGAGATACTCACTCTCACCATCATAGGAAGAAAATACAATCATCATCTCGAGATCTCGCCATGGAAATCACAAGAACAACAATTTCCTTACCTTCTAAAACCATACACTCCAGCTCACGCTGATGGATTCCTTTATTGGATAACAAAACATGTTCCAAAGATCGTATCTTTCTCTCTAGAACAAGAGAAGTTCTCTGTTCTGTCTCCACCGCCATGTTTTGAAGATAACCCTAATCACCGTTTTAACGTATGTGGAATCAGAGGGAATCTTTGGGTAGTAGACTACAATTCTCTTGCACCAGACATGGAGCTTTGGATGATGAGTGGCTCGAATGGATCTGCTTGGATTAAAACGCACAGTATCGGGCTCAAAAAAACTTTCGTCCGTTACTATCCATCGTTTCAGATCAGGATTCATGATATACAATCTGATTGTGTCATCTTCGAGGTTCTGTTTCCTAGTCAGATACATATTTATTACACGAGCAAGAATGAAGTTGACTACTTTGAAGGTTTTCCATGCGGAGATTTACCGCTTTGTCATTATACTGATGGTCTTTTGTCTCTTTGAAATCAAAGCGCTAGTGTTTATTTTACCTTCTGTGTATTCTTATCACTATGTATATTCCCAAACCAACCATTGTTTTTTTGGTTTTGGGAATTTCTTGAAGATCAAACCGATTCTAACACAGATTTGGGGAGTGTTATTGGATTGATCACTTTCAATACATTTTAAGCACACTAATAATTACCACTAATTGTTTCTTTTCAAAACAAAAATGTGGACATTTTGAACCTTTTTTTCTTTTCATAGACGACAAAAAAATATAATCTTTTTACGGAATCATCATGCATGAAACAGCCTAAAACACAAAGCAAGATATTCATACGTTCTTGAAGAAACAATCATTTCACAACACATGAAATCCAAAACTTCAGCAAAAAAAAAAAAACATGAAATCCACTATGATGATCACTATTGCACAATCGAATTGATATCGTTAAACAATTCATTACAAATATGATAAAATGGTAATTAATTTATATAATTTTTTTACAAGGATTTTTTTTCTATGTGAATACAAAGAGACGAAGCAGAGTCGTTGGCTTACCACGAATCTAATTTCCACCTAAACAAACTTAACACTACACGTGTCACCGTCATAAAGTGGGTTGGCTGATTTTATAGACATAAACTAGTTGCATTCTCAGCTTTCCCCCCCAACCTTTTCGCTCCAGCTAATTCCACCATTAACTTAGATAATTCTCACAATTTCAACATGTACTTTCGGATTCATCCTTAAAACTACGCCTCCAATTGAACCGGTCATTAAACCGGTTCTAACCACAAATCCGCGTTTACTGTACCGCGATTGCGATTTACCCGATTAAAAACCCATTACCCGTTAAGAAAACGACGTCGTTTTCATTCTTCTTCTTCTACAAAATCTTCGCCGGAGGTTTCAGTTAACGAGCAATCCACGGCGCGGCGGAGTCGCCAAGATCGATCAATTATCCAAGTCGGATTTCGAATCAGATGCCGCCAAGAAAAAGGATCGATTCACGTCAGGTTTTGAATCAGGCGCCGAAGGAACTATCGTCTGAATTGAAGCAAGAACGCATCGTTTTATTACAAGAAGTGGCTCCTGAATTGCCTCCGCAAGAAGTCCTCTCTTTGCTCGAGCGCTTTAATTGGGATGTGGAGAGAGCCGGGGACCATTACTGTGACCAGCGATATTCGCAGCATCGTACTTCATATGCCGGAGATTGATCAGTCGTCTTTGCAGGGGTTTCAAGAGGGTCATATGCCGATGATTGGGGTTTCGAATTTGGAACGATTCTCACAAGATGAAACATCGACGGCTTTGGCTATGGATTTGATGGACCTAAGTGCTCCGCCTCTTCCATCGTTACATGCTTTTGTTGGCTATCAAATCGGCAACTTTTCTTCTTATGGGTAATTTCCTTTTACTTTTCTTGATTTAGGGTTTAGTTGATTACTGAGAAAATGTTTTTGTACAGTTTGATGAACGTTGATGTGGATGAGATGGGAGATTTACACGATGTACCTATAATGTCTTCCTCTCAAGAGCAGGTAAGTAATCTTCTCTTTCTCTCTGTATTTCTGTGAAGAATGGGAATCTTAGTTGGCTTTGTTGTTCTCTGTTTTCTTAAGATTGTTTTTATAAACAAGGGAACTCTATGTTGATTAATGCACACAGCTTTGGGAATGAAGAACCCTAAACGCCCAAATCGATTTTGTAGAAGAAGAAGAATGAAAACGACGTCGTTTTTTGTTTGGGTTTTGATGAGTTAATCAAAATGAAAACGACGTCGTTTTCTTAACGGGTAATGGGTTTTTAGTCGGGTAAATCGCAATCGCGGTACAGTAAACGCGGATTTGTGGTTAGAACCGGTTTAATGACCGGTTCAATTGGAGGCGTAGTTTTAAGGATGAATCCGAAAGTACATGTTGAAATTGTGAGAATTATCTAAGTTAATGGTGGAATTAGCTGGAGCGAAAAGGTTGGGGGGAAAAGCTGAGAATGCAACTAGTTTATGGCTATAAAATCAGCCAACCCTCATAAAGTGTTAAACTTTTCGACTTTTTTTTTTTGTTCTGTAAGAAAAAAGGAGTGATTTTTAGCTCTATGGTTGCGTTACCAATTTCTCCAGTTTCCCCACTCCACCTCCAAAAAGACAGTGTAATCATAATAATCACCTGATCAATTTACACATAAAAGAGACAGATCTGGTTTTTTTCTTACAATCATCGTACCAAGTTCCTTAAGGTTTCGACTTTACTGTTTCTATTTTCGGAAAGAAAGTGAATGATTGAATCGAAGATGAAGGCGGCGAAGAGGCCGATCCACGCCGTGACGACATGGGTTCGTCGGCAACCACCAAAGGTTAAAGCTTTTCTCGGTGTTGTATCCGCCATGACTGCTCTCGTTTTGTTGAGAATGATTGTTCATGACCACGACAATCTTTTTGTCGCTGCTGAAGCTGTTCATGCCCTTGGAATCTCCGTCCTTATCTATAAACTCACCAAGGAGAAGACTTGTGCTGGTATATTGTCGATTTCTTGATTTTGAAGTTTTGGGTTTCTAGGTTTAGGTTTTGATTAGGGGATGATGAGTGATTCTGAATTTGATTTTCCCCTGATGATCTGTTTCGATTTCGAATTAGGGTTTGGTTTGATGCTTTTGAATTCTTGTGTTACAACAAATTTGCAATCTTTTAATGACAGGATTATCTCTCAAGTCACAAGAGCTAACGGCTCTGTTTTTGGCGGTGAGGTTGTATTGTAGTTTTGTGATGGAATTTGATATTCACACGTTGCTTGATTCGGCTACATTGGTGACTACACTTTGGGTTATCTATATGATCCGTTTTAAGCTCAAAGCTAGTTACATGGAAGACAAAGACAATTTTGCTATCTACTACGTCGTAAGTTGTTTTCTTTCTTTCTTTCTGTTTTTTCGGTTTCCTATTCGAGATCTCTCAACTTGTGTTTTCCAAGAATGTGAATCATATGTTTGAAGAAGGTTAAGTAGCAACCTTTATTTGAATTAGTTTCCATGTTTTGATCATTTGTAAGATTTCCTTTCCTAATATCAATTTAAGTTTCATTGTGATTTGTGAAGAGTATTAGTCCATTTTGATAATAGAGTTTCTGAGCTTTTTTGGAATATGGCTGCAGGTTATTCCATGTGTTGTTCTATCAGTCCTTATCCACCCATCAACACATCATCATATAATCAATAAGATTTCTTGGGCCTTCTGCGTTTACCTTGAAGCTGTTTCAGTCCTTCCTCAACTTAGAGTCATGCAAAACACAAAGGTACTTTTGAAAAGCCTGAAACTAGTCCGTATCCTTTACATAATTGAAACTAGTAACACATGTCTCGTCTCAGATCGTGGAGCCGTTCACAGCACATTACGTATTCGCTTTGGGGATCGCGAGGTTCTTGAGTTGTGCACACTGGGTCCTTCAGGTTTTTTTCTCTTTGTTTTCTGGCCTCCAAACTATAAAGCTTGATTTTTGTACTATATAATGATAATCTGATGATGGTGTAGGTACTGGACACCCGAGGACGGTTATTGACTGCTTTAGGATATGGTTTCTGGCCTATAATGGTCCTCTTCTCTGAAATCGTCCAGACCTTCATTCTCGCCGACTTCTGCTACTACTATGTCAAGAGGTAAATCATGAATGTTTTTAGTCATCGTCTCATTTGTAGATACATTGGTTGTAATAATGTGATGATGGCTGATCTTGAAGACATTGATGGGTGTTCTAAGATTTATATGTTTGTGGTGTTGGGCAGTTTAATGGGTGGTCAGCTTGTTCTTCGTCTCCCATCAGGTGTTGTGTAAAATTTGGTGGAAACTAGATAAGAAGAAGATATGGTGTTTGCTTGAGCTTATGATGTGGGGTCTTGCAGGCTAATCGTTTTGAGTCTTCTCTAATCTATTTTTTTCTTCCTTTTATGTTTTTTTTTCTTGGAGGACTTGTAAAGAAAAAAAGGTGATTGATTAGAGATTATGAGTTTTGACATTAAATTAAAAATTAGTCTCATCTTTTAATCTATTATATAGTTTTATGTTGTTTCCAGAAGCAATTAGATGAATGCTTTGGTGTTCAATATTACATGAGAGGGATTATGAATCATAATGTGTATACAAATTTAAAGGGTCGCAAATATTACTCGCAATTTATTTTTGTTTAAATTGCATGCTAGATTAAATAAAACTTAATTAAAGAGAGTAAGAAAATATTATTTGAATGTATATATTATTTGGTTGTGATAACAGCGAAAATTAGATACTACTTTAAAAAGTTTTTCCTTCCAAATAGTTTAACGAGTTTCTTTTTCATCAAGAATTACATAAGTTACGAGTTACTTAGGAACTTACGAGTGATGATGATTGATGCTATTGTTTGTTTCTTTCAGCTATTTTAACTGAAAAGGTTCTCAAGTCTGAGCTTATCCAAATTTTGTTTGTTTTTTATTCGATGTCGACTCTTTTGGCTGCGGCTACAGCTGGACTCTGTAATTGTATCACCTAATATTCCACCAAATGTTTTATATATAATTGCAATTCATTTATACTAATTTTAGTGAATGGAGTAGCTAGTAGATATTATTGGGTGATATTTTCATGTCAATCCAAACCTTATGTGTGAATGATCATCGTTTCTCTTACAATAAAATCGACGAAAAATCATGCTTTTAAACGAATTCAATGCAACAAGTGTCAGCGTTTTGTATGTCGAAAAAGATTCATCTTCAAAGCATTTTTGGCGGATGAACTACAATCACAATTTTTGTAAAGTCGAGCAAGCACTAAATGCTTCTTTACAACGAAAGTGTATGTGTCTACTTCATGTCTTTGTCTTATAGAACGTTGTCTCGATCGAGTGGCTAGATATTTGATATGTCTAGTGCCGACTTATATGATCTCTAATAACTAAGTGAATTTTTTGGTCTAGTGAACTTTTTTAAAGAAAACAACGTATCAAGTTATGGTTAGAATCTATTTAGGAGGAGCTAAAAGATGTTCTCGTACTACTCTCGTATATTAAAGAGGTTTTGATCCGAATTTAGCGGTTCTTAGCTTCTTATTTTCTCAACTTGTTAAAATAAAATTCAAAAAAAATGAAGTATATTTGTGGTCATTAGATGATTTGATCGGTGTGGTATGGGCGAATACCTATTGTCGCATGAATATACGGTTTGGCCAAACAAAACAAAAAAGTATTGTAAAAAAGACTCCAAATCCGTTTGTTTAAATATGTCTTCCTTATTTTTTTCTCTGTTTATAACTTTATATCATGTCATATAATTAACGATTCATTCATTGAAGAAAAAAAAAATCATGTGCCAAATCACTTTTTTGTTTTCTTTCAAATATACAACTATCACATATGCATTATCAAATTAAAAATGAAATATAACTTAACATCGATACTATCACAAATCACTAATTAAGCTAGACAACTTCTAAGTTCTAATCCCGCAAAATAACATTATAAAATTTCATAAAATATCAGTAAGACCCTAGTATCGATTATATACAAACGGATTGGGATGGAAAAGGAGATCACAAGTTGGCAATTATATTAGCTATATAACAGCTGTTAATGCGAATAACAACACTTTCACAGCTGTCTTAAGAACTCACTTCTCTATCACTTTTTCTTAATTTTCTTTCCTCTTTAATACATTTTCAGCAAATAAAGGTTACTTCCATTTTCGAATCTATTAAATAAAAAAGTGGTCTATTTCACGAGTAAAGGAGCAATTTCTTGAAAACGCTCCTCTAAATTAATGACGATCGAAATATGATCCAAAGTCCAAACAACAAAAGATTAGGGAATTAGTTAATGTTTCTGAGATACTATATATACTTTGTTATGCATTCGGATTCATATTCTCAATTGTTTTCCTATGTTATGAATTCTGATTCATAAACTCGATTGTTACCATGAAAATAATTGCTGGCAAATTAGCGATATGTTAATGGAATCTCTTTCTGTTTTCGTCTAAACTAATGTTATTATTTAATAAACCTAAACTTATTAGTTACTTATACTTAAAAGTTAAAACAGTGTAAGTTGGGTGCAAATATTAATGATTGACTTAAGGGTAGAGAGTTCAATGAAACGACTAATTAAATAAGTAAGACATTATGTGTCAGCCATGATAATTGAAGTGACATTTTCATGCAGAAAGAAACATGCTCCTCAATTATTTATTTATTTGATAAATAAAAAGCCTATGGTATAGAGTATAGACTTCGTGAAGAATGTGTGTTAAGTGTGCGTGCGGGATTGGGGTTTGGAGTCGATAAGGTTGGTGAAAAAGCCAAACACTGAAGACAGACGATCCGTGACATTGACCTCTCTCTTTCTTTACCTTTCCAGTTTTTGTCTATTATTCCGAAACGTCAATTTATATAATTTGTAACATTTTACACCTACTCTACTATTTCTCAATAATTTATAGTTTCTATTAAAATTCTTGTTTTAACTTTTTTATTTATTTTGTTTTGGAGAATAGTTCAAAAATCTTAAAACATATATAAGTGAACCTAACTTTCAGTCGACTCATATGAACCTAATTAGTATGATTTAGACTCTGTTAATAACAACATCCAAACATATCATAGAAATTAGTTTACATTTGTATATAACTATATCAATTCAAAGAAACAATCAGAAAATAATTTCGGTGTTGGAGCCCAATTTGCTTGTTGCCTAGTGGTAGTTAGATATGTGACAATGCGTAAATTTACTCAATTTTTTGAGTTCAAATCCTATTATAGAAACAAAAATTACATCCATTTTGGAAAGTAGGATTTGTGACCGTATGGGTTGTCGAATGGTTGTTTTATGTGTTATTTGCTAAACAAGTTCAACTAGAACCCTCCAATTCAGTGCCGGAAACCAGTTGAAATTTTGGTGGACCAAGTTATTTTTGTCGGACTGCCTCACCCCTGAAACTAGTAAAGTAGTATAAAATTTTATCGGTTCTGGTTTACGGTTTCCAAAGATATTATATAGACTAACGTATATAATTTTCGGTACTAAAAAAATCAAACAACAAAGAGTGGAGACGAAAAGAAAACAACAAAGAGTGGACCAGAAGAAAAATACTAGTAATACTTAAAAACAAAACATAAAGATTGATCTAGAAATCGATTAAAAAAAAAAAAAAAAAGAGGAAATATATAAAGACGAAGAGTGGGTCATAACTCATAAGAAGAAGTGCAAGCTGTGAAATGCAGCATTCGCAAAAAGGACCACTCACGTCTACTTCCTCTCATCCTTCTTGTCTCAACCACATCAACTCTCTTTTTTAACTCCATTTTTCTCATTACTTAATTAACTACTTACAATTTTATGTCCTTCCATTTCCTATTTTTGTTTCTTAATTTTCTTAAAGTATAGTGATGGATTCCCAAGACAACGGAGATCAACACAAAATAAAACTTGAAAATGAGCATTATTGACATCATCCATCCATAACAATAACACTTTTGATCTTTTAATTTCAAAATTGTGGTGTTTTCCATTTCTTTCGCAGATCACATACATCGTATGAAGAGCATACAAATTTCAAAACCAACGAGTAGTCATTGTATACGTCAAGATATTAGTTTTTGTTATAATATAATATAACAATCTCATAGAAAAAGCTCACTATGAAAAGTCAATCGTTCAACTGAATCAGGATATTTTTGGTAGAACCAAAACTTACCAAACCAAAGCGAAACTAATAATAGAGTTTAGGTTTAAGTACATCATAGAAGTCTATACACTTGTACAGTAATACATTGGCTTTAGTTCTATCGAAAGCAAGATTCACATAAACATTGAATTTCATACAATTTAATAAATAAAAATTCGTTGGAAAAAAAGTTATACCGAATCCATTGATCAAATTTAAACAAGAGACCACAAATAATACAACCTTATTTCGCCCACCATAATATTCTCATCTCCGCGGACTCACAACTTTTATACGCACCACCAACCGACCCATTTGAAAAAGAAAAAAGAAACCATACAAAACAACATACATAAATAATATGCTGATAACCATTTTTTTAAATCTATTAACCATTTATAGTAATCAATATCTATTGCAAAACATATTTATAAGAATACAAATTATTTTTTCTCAATTACCTAAAAAATAAAAAATGTCTTACTTTATTTTCAGCCACTGTTGGCAAGTACTTGCAATCATATCACATTTGAATTATGAAATTCAGAAAGCAATTATTTTCCCTGAAAAGTGAAAACTAAAAACAACTAAAATTAAAAGAATAGTCTAGACCGAAAATGGGGTCGGTTGTTCAACGAAAGGAGGTCTATAAATAGAAGCCTCTAAGTTCTCATTTCGACACAACAACTAATTAAACACACACAATTATCTTCACTCTGAATTGAGCTAAGTTCTCTCACATCATACTCTCTCCTTGGAGAATTATGGCTATTTCAAAAGCTCTTATTGCTTCTCTTCTCATATCTCTTCTTGTTCTTCAACTCGTCCAGGCCGATGTCTTTGTACGTCTTTTTCATCACAAATACTCAATATAATATTATTTTTTCTTTTCAAAAACATATATCTCACATGTTACAACAATACTCTTGCAGGAAAACTCACAGAAGGAAAAAGGTTACGCAAAGAAGATCGGTAATTATATATTTTCTATATATGTCCATACAAATACATGTATATGATTTATATTAAAACTATCGTTAAATTAGTGAGATTAATATATAATCTCTGTTTTTCTTTCATGTATAGATTGTGGGAGTGCTTGTGTAGCACGGTGCAGGCTTTCGAGGAGGCCGAGGCTGTGTCACAGAGCGTGCGGGACTTGCTGCTACAGGTGCAACTGTGTGCCTCCGGGCACGTACGGTAACTACGACAATTGCCAGTGCTACGCTACCCTCACCACCCACGGTGGACGCCGCAAGTGCCCATAAGAAACAAAGCTCTTAATTGCTGCGGATAATGCGACGATGTCGTTTTGTTAGTATTTGTTTGGCGTATTTATGTGGATCGAATAATAAACGAGAACCTACGTTGTCGTTGTGAGTGAGTACTGTATTATTAATTGGTATATTTGTTGTAAGTTTTCTGGTTTTGAATTTGTTTTTTGTTTTTTTTCCATATTTGTATATCGATTCGTGCAATAATCTCATTGTATTATTTCATTTTGTAATAAAATTATGTTACTTTTGAGTGATTGTTTATCATGATTTTGTTTGTTTAAATGGTAAGCGGTTTTGGAAAAATATGGAGAATGATATACAAAGTAATTTTGATATCGATGCAAGATGATAACTTTTGGACTAGTTCAGTATTGATGTATATATTTACGTACAAGGGTCTCGTCAAAGTAAAATTTTCGTTATATAATTCATGAACTTAGCCAATTTTTGTTAAAACGATAGAGTAGACTAAATAATTGTATTTCTGTGATTAAATTTCATTTGTGGAGACCGAGAACATACTTCACTTTTTTAATATAATCACTATAGATAGAATTTTGGTATAAGATATTTTGTTAACATCGATATTTATTTGACAGCCATATATACCTTATTCCAAAATTTGGTCCACACATAGAACATAGGAATAGCATATAGCTATAGGTTCGTTTCAAAGAAAATAAAACAAAATGATGACTTAGCGTATATGAATTGATGATGATAGTAAAGTTTCCGTAAATCTAGCAAAAGGAAGTAAACTGATTTGGTAATATCCATTGTGAAAAGTTCGTTTTCTTATTTTGATTTAAGAAAAAAAAAAAAAAAAAAAACGAAAAATATAGAAACAGAAGCCCCCGGCGAGGATCGAACTCGCGGCCTTTCGCTTACGAAGCGAACGCAATACCACTATGCTACGGAGGCTTTCGATAATCTGTAGAAATCCAGTCGTATTTAATAATAAGCGTATGAGAAATGTTGAGGACTCGGAAGTTTGTAGCTTAGTTATTGCATTTTCAGAGGCCAATGTCAAACAGAAGGCCTTTCTCACGTTTATACGTTTCTCTATTGGTCGAACTTTATAGCCAAATTTGTAATGTTATATCTTGCTTGGGCCATTGTTCCTTATATGGGCCTTAGTTGTCACATGAGTGGTTCTTAATTCACTCAACTCGTATTTATGAGAAAAATGTCCAAGTGAACTGATAATCAAATTGGTAGAAAGAAAGGAGAGAGTCCACTCAAATTTTTTTTGACAAAAACTCGAAAAAGTGAAGGCAACATAAATCTTTGGTAAGACACTAAACACAGTAGATGAGTAGACGTTTGGCGAAATTCATCTGACTTGTCGATTTCAGTATGATGACGTGGTCAAATGATTTAAACTTTTAAGAACTAACAATAGCCATCGATATTAACATCTCCACTAGTTATGAGCACTTTTGGACGGAAATTCAGAAAGCCATGCCGTTTTTGATTTGGACAAGACGATTAGACAAAAAACGCCGTGACATTCTCTCGTAGTTATGGAAGACAACCAGACGTTTGTGTTTAAGGGGACCCGCCCGACCCGGTTCACGAAGTTATCATAATTGGTTTATAGTTGCGAAAAAGTACATAAAAATCATTAATCACTGAAGTAGATGATGCGTTCAGAAATATTGGAGACATGTCGTTTAAACGTATATGGGAATTAAAGACCGACGCATATTTAGTTAAAATTGATTTTGATATTGGATATCTACTAAATTTGGTGTCCAACAAACCATTTAATTGGTTAGCCGTTTGGCCATTACATTATTTGGTGATAGATTAATTGTTCATCTTATTAAAAATATTTATAAACATTTTCTTAAATGAAACATTATAAAAATTTAGAAAATGAAAAAAAACAAATCGAAAGTCGTAGTACGGATTCAAATCATCGTCATACTCATAGGAAACCCATGTCGAAGTAGTACAAACATTTTTGCAGCTCTAGCTGCTGACGTGTATGACACATTGATCTACTAATGGATTACGTGGCACAACAATTAAAAATAATCGGACAGCTCTGGTTTATCCTTTATTACAGACCGTTGGATAGATTACTGAGGAAGATAAAACGAAAGAGAGAGAGAGAGAGAATAAGCATTTTGTCATATTTTGTGTGACATTTATAAAAGCGATCGAGTGAGTGAAGCGACGACAGCTTCGGATTATCCGTCTTTTCGGAATTTGCATACTTTGAGAAAATACAAAGAGCGCACAGAGACACAAGACAAGGTTTTTCTCTTACATTTTCTCTGTTTGAAATCTCTGAATTCTGGGTTTTTTGCCGATGAACAAAGCTCAAAAAGTCTCTGTGTATTTCGATGATTTGTACTGTGTACGTTTTCTTCTTCTTCTTGTGTCAGTTACATATCAATGTTTTGATTTGATTGAAGAACAGTGACACCATTAATGAAGCTTTTTCTTAGTAAATGCAAAATACTTTTTCAAAAAAATTCAACGATCTTCACTATTTTTATTATTTATTCACGGGTTGAATGTACAAACATTAATAATAATAAAAAATCTTCTACTTTTTTTTTAAGTCTTTTTTCTTTTCTTTTGGCTTTTTTGTCTCTTCTCTTTATTTCACGAAGAACCTGATTCTTCGAGACACGAGAAACGATTTTATAACTTTTCTCTCTTTTTTTCCTCTTCTCTTCTTCTTTAACGTCTTTTTACTTTTCTCTCTTTTCTCTTCTTCTTCTTCTTTTGTGTATCTATCTAAATCAAAGTGTGTGATTTTTTTCTTTCTGCAGAGAGAGAGAGAGAGATGTCGAAGAAGAAGAAGTAAGATTTTTTCTCTTCACTGAGTCTTTCTTCTTCACCTCTATCTTGAGTGGTGAGATAACAAAGTAGAAAGTAATCGAAAAGAAAATGGAAATGGGTCGTCGAGATTTGATGAGACGTGGATCAACCAATCGATTTTCCAATAAACAACAATCTGGTAAAGATTTAATCTTTTAGTTTCAGAAACCAACAAAATATTAAAAATCCAATCTTTTTTTTTTTGTCGTCGTTTACTCTGTTTTTTTTGTCTCACTTTTGTTGTATCTATCATCTCATGGATTTAGGATCTGGGTTTTCTACAAAATCTAAGAAAGGAATGTTGAAGAAACTGCGTTTAGCTGATGATAAACTGAAACAAGAAATGAGCTACGACGAGACTCTTCTTCCTTGTCCAGATTTAGAAAACGAGGTTTCTAAGAAGAAATCTAAACTTCCAAAAAAGGTAACTTCTTCATCAATACGACACCTAAATTACTCTCACCAATCCCTTAAATTTCTTACCTTTTACTCTTTTTTCACATTAAATTTCTCTCTCTCTCTCTTTCTCTCATCTTTAGAATTTGAAAGACACTAATGGTGTGGATCATCATGCCTCTGTACCACGGAAGCTTCGTTCAGGTGCGTTGTTCGTGACTCATTGAGAAACTAACTTTAATGTTTTTTTGGTTTTTCCTTTGTAAAGTCGTGATCTTTAAGTGTGTCAGTAAAACAACTCAGTTTCTTAGTTTTTTTTTTTGGTAAAAGAACTCAGTTTCTTAGTTGTTGGGAAGATTATGGTATTTTTGGCTTTTGAATCTGTCGAGATTTTTGATTATTTTTCAAGCAAACTCTTTTGCTTTTTTCTTTCTTTCTCACTTTCTTATTATGGACGCAAGATTCTGCTACTTGTCTTTTATCTTCTACTTATTATAATCAAAAGCGATCAATCTTCAACTTATATTATTATTTTCATCTTCTTTTTTTTTTTCTTTAAAGCTTTTCTTTGTCACTTTTACCTCTCATTTGTGAATTCTTTAGCATCTCTTTTGTGCACTTTTAATTCCAGCCATGAAGAAGCGGAATCTTGAATCTCTTTCTAAGCTATCCTCTGTTTCAAAGAGACTTCACCGGTCGAAAACCGGGATTGAATCTTTTAGGAAGGAGAATCAAGAAATGGTTGGTTTTCTATTATGACTTGTGTAAATTTGTAAGAACGGAACATTTTTCTAAAAGGTTGAGTAATGATTTTTGTTTTTTTTAATGATTTTTGTTTTCTTTTGGATAGGAAGCAAAAGCTATTGTTCCTGAGTCGATGATAATTTCGAAAGATGAGAAAGAAGTTGCAGAGACTTTATACGGTTTAGCTGGAATGTTTACTGATAAGAAGACTTGTAATGAGAAAGAAACCACCAAAGTTGACTCGATTTTGGTTGTGGAAGATGACTATACAAAAGCCGAATCACATATACCGGTTGTGTCACTTCTCTCTTCAGCCAAAACTAAGCAGATTGATGTAATGCCATTAGAGCAAACTGATAAACAGTTCAGCACAACAGGGTTTGTAGCGAATTTTCGTTTAACTTTGTCTTTCGAAATTGTCGAGTTTACTCTGATTGGTGGTTTTTCTTGTCTAATTTAACAGTATGGTTGATTTCATTGATAGATTGAAGCAAAGCAGCTCAGTGAATGTGAATGATGCATCTGTAAGCACTCTGATTCTAACTGAATCTTACTTTCTTGGTTTAGATTCATATAGCCGATAATTCCATTGAAAATTTTTCTAGGCAAAAGTCAGTGAAACAAAGGTTGCAACAAGTGACAAGGACTATAAGAGCAATGGTAAGAAATTCTACCTACAAACTTTGTATAACATACTGTCCAACTACTGACTTATGTGCTTCTAAAAGGTCTTGCGCTGTGGCCTGGTCTATCTTCAACAACTGTTCATTCAGGAGCTCAAGTTCTTTCAAAGTAATTCTTAACCTTTAAATTTTCTGTGAACATTTGTTCGTGCTGCTCGGTTTCTTCTCTTATGCGAGTTTTTCTTCCAATCAGGTCATCTTCAACAAAGCTTCCTCCTTGGATGGGTCAAGCTGTTTCTCCTTCCAATAGTGCTTCATTCTTGAGTGAACCATTAAGAGCCCAGCCGAGAAAGTTGAAGAGATGTGCCTCTCACATTTACATTTCCCGTCTCATTAAAGTATTACAGACCAATAAGAGTAGTCCCACGACACTTAACCAAAACGAGCAAAGATCTTCCGAAATGTCAGAACGCAGAATCCCTGATACAGTGATAACCATTAATGACTTTAAAACAATGGTTTCTCCAGCTAAGAGGTATCAAAACCCGCATCTACTCGATATACACAGGACGCATAACCCAAAACCCGTGCAAGAAGACATGACTAAGCTAGCTCTCGAGCTCTATGGTCCGCACACTTCACAGAAACCGGTAATATATACTTCACTGTTCTCATCTGGTTAATTCTTTTCCTCTCTGATTCTAATCTCTTATTCTATTCTAATGACAGAGCTTCGATTTCCTAAGTCTCTCATCTGCTGGAGCAGCACAATCTCATTTCCCACTTCCAAACTCATTTCCACAGTATCAGATCTCTGCAGCTTACAATAGCCAGCTCTCACCTGCAACTTCTAGCCATCAGGTGACCTAATTTATCTCTCTTATGAGCCAAATTTTGCCTCTAAGTAATGGTTTCAGTTAGTAGTATAACACAAACATTCTGTCTTCTTGTAGGTGCAGCAGCTTTCTCCTTACCTAGCCAGTCGATTCCAAACCGCTTACAACGCAAACCAGCAGCAGCAGCAACAGCTTCAAAAAAGGCTATGGGCAGCTCAGTACAGACCAACAAATGGAAACACCATGCAATCGAACCAATACAGTAAACCAAACCTCTCCTTAAACCTGACTAGTATTCAACAACCTCTCCAGGTTTCTTCCTCTCCAAGGTACAACAATAATGTATCTCAACAGCAACATCGTCTCATGGCTGCTGCTGCAGCAATGTCAATGAGTCATCACCATAATAACAATCCTTCGCGGACAGTGATGAACAGACAAGAACACCATTTCCCACTTATCTATGAAGATACAAGGACACCATTGCAACTACTCTGCAACGAGCAGTCGTGAAGCTGCCTGTTTTGCTTTATAGCTAGATAAGTTGTAAGGATTTTACAGATGGTTGAGAAAAAAAAAACAGAGATGTGTTTTTATCTTCGCCGGAATTTGAGATGGTGATGAAAATCAGATGAACAAGGATTTGTGATCAGTGAGAGATGATTGAATCCCACTTGTTTGAGAAACCCCTTTTAATGTCTTTTCTATGTATAAATGATCCACGAGTTCTCAAAAGATGCAAATTTTGTCGAGGACTCTGTTATCTGAAGTGAGAGACAGTCACAGGAAAAGAAAAAAAAGATGCTAGGTTTTTTTCGAATCTCTTTCCAAGTATATTTTAAAAGCAGCTTTTCACTTTCTTGTGCAGCAAGCGAATTGCTCCAATAAGCCTCTATTAATTAAAAAAAATTCCTTTCGTCTATGCGGTTTCATGTAAAAAGACCTAAAGTTTCTCAAGAAAAAACATATTTGGATAAGCGAATGTAAAAAGCTAGGAGTGTTCGAACCAAAGTTTTTTTTACACTGTTTTTTTTTTGGTTTTAAACAATATCACAAGATATTTTGTCGTATTTTTATACATAAAAAAATCATTTTTCAATCTAGACCTATAAAATCCTAATATATCTTTAGTTAATAAACTGAATTATTAGGAATACAAATTTTATGTACTTTAAAAAATATCACATTGTAAATATAAATTGGAAATATTAAAAATTCTAAAACAACACTTCTTATGAAACGGTGAAACAATAATTTATATATATATACCAAAAAATTTATGAAATATAAAAAATATTAAAAAGAAAGAGGATTTTTAAAGAAGTGTAGTTGAAGAAAATAATATGCGTTGCGTCGTCTCTCACTCAAGTCACAAAGCTATAAGCAAGCTTATGTATCTCTTAGCTTCGCAACAGAGAGCTAATTAAGCACTAACTAGCCATAAATAATGGAGACGATGAAGAGAGCAGAGATCGACACAACGGCACCGTTTAGAACCGTCAAAGAAGCAGTTGCGTTGTTCGGCGAGAGAGTCTTAGCCAGTCAAGTCTACTCGAACCATCTTAAGCTGGCAAGTCCCGATCAATCTTTCTCTCTATATATATATATATTTGAATCTGAGAATTATTGTAATAACATTAGTGAAGAAACAGATGCAGGATGAGAAATGGGAAGATCCGTCAGGGATTGAGACAGAGCTTGAAGAGACCAGACATGATCTCAAAAGGGCAAAAGAAGAAAGCATACAAATGAGAAACTCTTTGTCTTGTCTCAAGGAAGAGCTTGAACGAACTAAACAAGAGCTCCAGAAGCTGAGAGTTGATCCTGGTGTACACGAAACGAAACTCGACGAGACTATTTTCAAAACCAAGTTCGAAGTGTTAGTTCCTCGGGTTGATGATGAACCAATTAGAAGTCCGAGGTTGAGATCGATGAGTGAAAAGAGATACGTGAAATTTGCAAACCCTACTGGTAATAATAATGGTTCGGTGGTGGAGATGTTTCTTGAGAGACATCCTTCGATGAAAATGAAGGAGAAGAAGACAAAGAATAATAAGAAGAAGAAGAGTTTGATCCCTTTATTTATTGGAGGGATTTTTTCAAAGAAAAAGGTTTTGCAATGAAACAGTTTGGTTTCCGACATTGTATCTTCTTTTTTTTGTGTGTATTTTTGTGGTTTTGATAATAATGTCATGTGTATGACTTTCGTAAATTGTTGTTGAAAATATTTATTGTACTATTAATCCCACTTTTTTCTATTGATTATTGGACTATAGTCCATTCATCACACATTTTGTACTTACACCTACAAATTTCAAATCTTTTTTATCGTCAAAAATTAAAAACCAAAATCCAAAATAACTAACTATTTTGGTATTTTAAAACGTTTACAGTGGTCAACCACGATTAAAATCACATTGGAACGACTCAAGTCATTGTATTTCAACTCAAAATTGAATATTTCGATCACTAGAAAACTATGAATTCATTAAATTCTTTTTTCTAGTAAACTATGTATGATAGTCTGAAAATGATGAGAATGCTTAAAATTTCAGAAGAAACTGTAAAATATGCGGATAATTTATAAATGACCAAAATGCAAGTTTTAAAATCCAATAACAACAAAATAAAAGCAAAGCCTCGAATCAAATGTTGGAGCAAAACAAAGTAAACAACTGAGTGTTGAGATGTTGACTAAACGTAAAAACAGTCACGATCGTGATCGTGAACAAGGCGAGCTTCATGATCTTCACAAGACATAGCAGAAGACTTGTTGAAGAACTCTATGCAATCTGCGATAGCTTCACTGTAGTGTACGTGAGACGAATAGTACGAACTACTACACGAAATCTTCGGCGGCTCAGACCTTTCTCCGTCGCCAGAGCGGGTGGAGTTCTTCTGCCTGCGAGAGGAGGAAGGGAGAGTGAGATCAATGAGCCTCATGAGGATCTTTCGTAATTTGTGGAAGAGCTTCATGATCAAAATTGATCGTTTAAGATTAAGGATCTTGAGGGTTTATCTATATGAATGGTGAAAGCTCGTGTGTACATGTTTTGATAATTTAATATAGAAGCATTCATTATATTCCTAAAAAAAAATTCCAAGTAAATTTGTAATGATTCATCGAGGAGGAAAAACAGGAAGAAGGGTGTTTTCAATGATTAAACCACCAAAGAATTTCTTGAGATGTGTTTATCCAATGAACATATATATGTAGGGTCCATCTTAACTATCAAAGCTCATAATCCTATTTAAATGTCTCCAGTTATTTTGTTTAAATTGACAAGAGTGAAATAAAATAAAAACTAAACTATGGTTCCGTAGTTACCAGTACGCTACTTGTTCTTTTTTCCCCCAACAATATGTGTTAGTTCTTAGAACTCGGATACATTTATGCAGCTTTTTTTTTTTCGTTACTCCACAGGCTAATATAATTATCTTATTCAAATGTTTTCGTGTAAATGTGACTGCATTACGAAATACGTACGATAAATAAAATTGTAGAATTTTGATCAAAGTACAAGTGTACAAATGTCTGCAACATTTGAAGAAATGTCTGTATCTTTTGTTATAAATGCTAATCTATGTAAGATACCACATGGACCTAGTTAGACTGAAATTTCCTTAATTGACATCTAAAGCTTTCAATGAAAATAAAGAAAAAGAGACGAACAAAGGAACTGATCAACGTACGATTAATCATAGACTGATATGCCGTATAATTAATGCATAATTAAAGCTGTAATTAGTGATTACATTCAGAAAAAAGAGTTTTGTGGTCCTGCATTTTACACTTGACTTTGACCTAGTTTTAGGGCACATTATATTTTGGGACCAGTAAGCAAACATTTAACTTCAAAACATTATTCGTATAACAAAACAAGAGTTTGATTTAACCAAAAAAAAGTACAGAAATCAAAAGGCAGACAATGAGGGAAAGAATTAGAGAGAAGGCGACATGGAGAGAACATTGAAGAATTAGAGGCTTTTGGTGAAATGATTGTTGGATTAGGATTCTTTTTATCATCTTAGGTTTTATGACGGTTATGATTATGTCTTGCACTTTAATTCTTCCTTAAAGTAAAACTAAACCACCTGGATAACTCATAAATAGCTCAATAGTTTATTAGTTTCGTGAACTTTTACTATGTCGGAGAATTTTATGAGACTGATTCAATTAGTTTTATCTAGGGGTGAATTTGCTAAATGAGATCATATGAGAGAACATATAAAATGGTTATTTTTTTCGCAACGTGGTTAAAACATATAGCGTATAAATCATGTAAAATAACATTGCATCGGGTTAAAAACATGCATGATAAAAGAAATGATTCAACTTTTTGTTATTTTACTTCGTTTTTGTATATAAATGATATGAAAACTGCAAAAAGAAAATGATATGAACAAAAAAAATGACAAAAAGAGATATCTAATAATAAAAATATCGGTTCTGATCAAGCAGTAGGAAAGTGAATTGCAAGCTCTTTTGATTGTAATTATGCAAAGCTGCCGGAGTAAAGAGTAAGACTATACAAAAGTATGTTTTGAAGGAAATAACAAAAAGGAATGGATTTGATTATCAAGAAAAGGATCAATTTTGGAGATGATTAACAAGAAAAAGATCAACCACTGGAAGAGTAAATTGACGACACCCAATTCAGATGGTCAAAGAGACTGCATATTGCAAGCCAATGGACATACTTGCGAAGCAAAAAAAACATCCCTTTATGTCTCTTTGTTCAATTTGTCAAGCTTTTTACATCATGATAACATTTGTCGAATGCTATAATCCTTAATAAAGTCCAAACATAAAATATCTAAACTTTTTAAAAACAAAAACAGAAAAGACTACTGGGTTGAATTCAATTGGTGGACCTTTGAGTCTGGATTCTGGAAAATGTATATCACCTTCGGCCCAATTCTGTTAATGGGCTAAATGGTAACAAGCCGAAAGAAAACTAAAAGCGGCAAGCACCTTCCCATTGGAATTTGTCTTGCTGATATTCAAAGCTTCAAAGGCCTCAATGTTTAACTTCACGAGTGTACAAGTAAGCAAACACTATGTTAAATACTTAAATGTTTTGGCTTAACAAGCCAAATGTAATTTCCAAACTATTGAATCTACAGGTCTACAACCTTGTAAACAAATTTTACTGTTATAAGTAAATTTGTCGACAAAAAGATGTCATACAACAAATCTAAGCATTTAATCAATCAATTCTATTTTAAATGGATATATATATACGTATGTATATGTTTTTAAAAGTATATTTTCTAACATTGCTCGCTATAGAACTTCTGAATGGAAACCTATGCTCGACATATTTGTTGCAAAACTGAAAACTCGAATATTAAACTGGTTTGATTCTAAATCTCTGATTTCATTTGCAACTTCAAGGAGAAATCGAGTTATTTAAACAAAATAAACAATGTAGCAGCTTCTGACAACGAGGAAAGTTCCAATGGTGCACCCTCTCAGCGTGCAACCCTTTATTATTATGTATGGGTAAATTTTGAACTTATCTGAACCATACTATATAACTTTTTTTTTTTTTTGACAACACTATATATACAGTAACTACTAAATTAAAACTCTACAATACCCAACTTTCAAAATCAGCTTTCCCTATAAAATTAAAAAAAAATAACGAAAAGAACTTGGGTGAATAAAACAATTTACTGAAAACGCATGTGGTAGCAATTATGTCACTCTGCCACTCCCACACTATTTGATTCCCACCAAGTGTGAACACAGCTATGAAATTTACTATAGTTAACAAAATGTTTCATTTACTGGTCAAAAAGTCTAAACTGAGAAAAGAACACGTTAAATTCATAATCATGATTTTTTAACCTGGTCTACCAGCATCTCCAATGCCCAACTTCATTTTTTCCTCTATTTTAGAGATTACTCTATTTTAGAGAAAATATAGTTGATTTTGCTCCATTGTATGCCTTTAAAATAGAGTTAGCTCTAAAAAAGAGAAAAAATGTAGAGATTACTCTATATATAGAGTAAAAAAGAAGACTACTCTATATTTTTCTCTATTTTAGAGTAAACTCTATTTTAGAGACATACATTGGAGCAAAATGCCTCTAAAATAGAGTCAACTCTAAAATAAAGGAAAAAATAGAGTTGGACATTGGAGATGGTCTACTAATGAATTTTTAACCTAATCATGATTTCAATGATAAAGATAACCTTCAACATACAACTCCTAAGAATATAGTTTAGACTCCTAAAAATTACCCTTAATAGTCAATAATAATAAGATGGGATTTATGATGCAGGTTGATGATTAACCTAATTAATCTCCCTATCATATTAAAAAGTTAGAAGTACTAAAAACAAACATTATTTCTCAAGTTAAAATTACAAATTCAAGATTCTAAAACTTTGTAAATAACCACGAAGCAAGGTAATATAGCTCTCGGGTTATAAACCACAAGCTCCTCAAGATTCGAATAAACTCCAGCGTTGACCGCCACCGAGTCAAACGTACCGCCACTTGAAGAAACTCCGACCACCGAATTATCTTCCACCGGAGACTTTTTCTCCGCCGTAGCAGGAGCCTCTGCCGCTGGCAAATCAACTCGCTTAACTCTCCCAGCGATCACACGGCACACAAGCATCACTCTCCTCGCATCATCGCTACACCTCAGCAAATCATCAGCTCTTCCGCTACTCGCCGTCGTCCTCACACCGGCGTTGGCGGTGACGGCTCCTCCGCCGCCGGATTTTCCTTGGAACCCGTGGCGAATCACGGTGCAGACGCCACATCCAGGGAGGTTAGAGCAGAGAGACGAAGAGCCACGAGCTCCGAGAGAACAAGTGAGAGTGGTGCAGTGAAAACGTAGAAGCTCGTTACCGTCGGCGGCACAACGGGCGTCTTTTCTGGTTGCTTGAAGTGCACGCGCCTTCACTGCGTCTCGGCAATCCTCAAACCGTTGGATCGTACGTTGAGTGTTTTGGACTTTTAATATCCGTTCGATCTGACAGATGGGACTGTCTTTTTTAAGCCAGCTTGATTTGAATATGATCTCCACTATGTTTCGACCCGAATCTTCCGGACCTAACTCCGAAACTGCAATTAAACGACACCGTTTTTGCTCATAAAATCACAAGTCAAAACAAAAATCTGAGTTTTTGGAACATTAAAGACAGAGTTTTAATTCGGTTTTTGTCAGGTGGGGGTTTTAATTCTGATACTGTCGAATAGAAAAATGACACGTAATAATATCAGGGGGACATTGAATTTAGTTAAGAGCAGAGACAGCTGTATCTTTTTATAGTACAAATGGTCCCATCGCATGGTAAGTGTTTCCAAGCAAAACGACAGATTTGGAGACCATAGAATATATTGTTCTCCAGTTATATTCCTATTCTCTTTTGTATCTTTCTCTAAAAATATGTATGAATCTCTATTCTAAAAACAATCTGCAACATAAGGCCAAATTATCCTAACTTATTTGATGGATCTTATCACCGACAATAACGTTGAGATCTTGATTCCATTAAGAAACAACGTAGTCTAAGATATATTTTAGTGAAAGCATGTTCGTTAATTATTTTGCTTAGCATTATATATGGTAAATCTATCGATAAATCCAAGTGCCTATACGCCGGAAAACATGTGTTAATGCTAATTATTCAATCAAATACTAAACAAACAAAGGTTGTATCAGCATTTACAAGTGATGTCAAAAAAAAAAATCATCATTCACAAGTCAAATCAGGGACTGAGATCTTAAAAATTTCCATGGATACAAAAAACATATTTGTACTTAACCAAGCAATTTGCATTTACGAAATCCCACTAGATACTAGGGTTAACTTTTAAAATGTGACTATACTACACCAAAAAAAAATTTGTAGCTAGAGCGTAATTAAATAATTTGAGGTAAGTGATAAAGTCAAATGATTTTTTTCTAAAGAAAAAAAAAACCTTACCTGCGTGACGAACCGCTTGATGAAGCTCTAGGCTTTCAAGCTTGGGAAAAACTTCTCCACATTGGGAACAAGCACAAACCCTAGGCGAAATCGGATACCTGAAAATGCAAAAAAAATTATAACGAAATTACAAAATATAAACTACGACTAGTTTGATGTTCTCATCATCATTAATTTTTGTTGTCATTACCTGCTAGGGTCAACGATCATGTGACATTCGTAACATCCGGAGAGTTTACGGAACTGCATGGCTCTAAACGAAGTCGTTGACGATGACGTGTAACTCCCACTGGCGTTAGATCTCGTTGAGCCAGATGTAAGAGACCGAGACGAAGAAGAACCGTGTTGACCAGGTTTCCGAGTCAGAAGCCGAGTCTCCGAGTTAGGAGCAACTGAGTTAGCTACGTCTGGAGAGTGATCAGCTCTATGAACCACACGAGTGTTGCCGTGAGCCACGTCTCTGAAGCTACATATGGAGCTGCACGACGAGCCGAGCTTTGAAGGAGATAAATGAGTGGTCGTGGACGGACCAACCTGAGAGTTCTTGGAAGGATCATGGACTCTTGACCCTTCGATTTGTTTGCAAGTCAATAGGTTCTTGATTTGGTCCCATGAAGATGGTTGCTTCTGAGGTACTTCTTTCTTCGGTTTCTGCGGTTTGTGTTTCCGCGGCTGCGTTTGGTCGGTGGGATTCTCGCGTTTCTTGCGTTTGCTCGACGGTGGCTTGTGTTTTTGAGGCGCCTCTGCGTTTTCCGGCAAGAAAGTTAGTAAAGCCATTGAAAGAAGAAAGAAACTCTTGAGAATGTGAGAGTTTCTTTTGTGTTCTTTAATTATAAGCTTTTTTTTGTAGGTGTTGAAATCGAAGATGGATCCAAGATGGCTAATAAGGAGGGAATATTAAAGTAGTGGGCTCTATCTTTCTTTAATTCTTTATTTTACAGTTTTACTTTCTTACCCTTCTGATTAATATTCTTGTCGTTCGAATTTATTAAAATTATAATCTACATTCAAAAATAGGTACTAAATTAACTATATTCAGATATCTTGTTTGGTCAGAGAAAATAAATCTTTCTAATTAATTTTGGCATCTGGTAGTTATTGAAAGCTTGCTTTGTTAGTTGTGGTGTAGTTATTTATATATTTTTTCCTCAAAAGAAAAAAAAACAGTAGTATTTAATATGGATTTTGAATACTAAATTACTTTTTTGATGATAACAAATTAGTTAGAAGATAATGAAATTAATATATTTTTGGACGAGCTTGGTTGGCTTTGTATGTGCTTTAACTGCTTCATCTATAATCTTCGATTACAGTTTGACCTTAAGGGCTGACTTTGTTAACGTCACTGAACCTTCCATTGGTAGAGATGCAAACAAATGCCACGTAAGCAAGCATCTCGACTCTTTTATAGTAGTGATTTGTTTGGTTATTATATTCAAAATGTTCCTCAATTTTTGAATGGAATCTCTTTATTAATTAGTCGAGACTACATAATAAAATGTAAGTTCACTATTAAGAACAGTTTGATGATAGAAATAATTTAATTTTCTTTTCCTGTGAATGCAAGCAAGAAAAAGAAAAGAAAGTACATCAAAAATATAATAATAATCATTCTAAAATAATTATTGAGGATGTATGGTCAAAACTATTGTTTTTAACAGATCAAGATTACACGTTAAACACCAGACAAGGTCTTTGGAAACTTCGTATTTGGAACTGTGATTACGCATTCCAAATGTTCTATTTGTCTCGAATTTAAATTTTCAATGCTAGTAATTTCTTAGTTTCCTAAATAGTTTTGTATTTTGTTCACTTCTATAGTTTTTGGTCTCAATGTGTATATAAGTATTTCAGATTATGCAATGTATTATTTCATATATTTTGTAAGAAATTGATTTTGGGATAGACTGATAGACTAATTTCTTGAAAGTAGGTGGTGTCATAAACTAATCTCAGTACAGTAAATAGTGGTGGAGTTACACTTGAAATTTGTGTAAAAAAAGTATGGGGTAAATTCATTTATTAATATACTGATTACTGTAAAAGCAGTTCAATGCACTAAATAAATAATAATTTAATGTGTAATAAATGTCTACATTATGGGAAGAACATTTTTAATATGATAACTCAGGTGAGCTTGCATATATTTTTAGGTTGTTGTAATTGGGTTCAAACACAACACACAAATTCGAGTAATGGTATTAATCATTCATCATCAATAACATAAGTAAATTTAATCATATTCAGGGTGAAAATTGTAGCAATCAAAATAAATTATGGTTTTAAGGTTGACCGTTGACCGTATGTAAAAATCTACTATAAGACCTTCACATTCGCCGCAATACTTGGATTTATCACGCAGTCTCTTTGGCCTTCTTACTTGTCGTGTTCCACATTTGTCCCTCTCTTTTGTTTTCACCTAATAAACTTAGTTATAAAAATCATAGAGATTATTATAAAGTCATTCGTTTAAAATTTGGTTAAAAATGTTTGCATTGTTTAGGTTTTCATTGAGACAAAAGAAGAAAAGAAGCGCGAGATCTTGAGAATGTGTTTGATTCATAAACCAGTTTGAATTTCAAAAACGAAAAAGTTAAGTAATTGTATACGTACGTTACATTTAAAATAATGTTAGTCCGGTGACAATGGAATTTATTCGACTGACATAAAATTTAATCCTACTGCTGCATGTTAAAAGAGTCGCTACTGACAACGTGGCTGGTTAGTATTGGTTTGTGATTAATAAAATTTTTCCATTTATAACTTCAACATTGATATAAATTTAATACTAATACTACCCATCTTGTATTGCAGTAAAGAGAACCCTTCCAATTCCCAATTTGTATAACTTCAAGTGCTTTGAATATGCCATTAAATACAGAGCCACGAACGATAGATGATTTTTAAAACACCGACAGAGAGAGAGAGAGAACTTCGTATTGTACACAATATTTTGAATATAAATCGATATTTTCATGAATTTTATGTTTATCAGATATGTTTTGAAAATTTTGTAAGATTTCAGATAGTTCTGTGACAAAGGAGATATTTCTAGATACAAAATGGTGTTGTTACTCTTACTTATGTATTATTCGTTTACCATGTTATAAAGTGCACGTGTGATTTGGGGTATCAAAAGTTTCGCAAAACGGTTTAAATATATGCAAAAAATAGAGACAATTGTGTCCCCGTTTCCTATAATGATAATATATTGATTTAAATTATGAGTTTTCTAGTGATTTTAATTAATTAGATTACATCTCCCACCCAAAAAATTGAAAACTTAAATTTACATATCATTAATATCAAATATCAAATAATGAATTCTATGTGAGATTTTCCTAAAAGAAATTGTTCATATTCATTACTGTTTTGCATCACCTTGAAAGTACTTTATTGTATCATGTTCCATCTCCTAAAGCAAACTTCTATAGTAAAACTATAGTCATATGCCTAAAAGAACTGTCACGAAAGTGATGAAATACATTGTGATACAGTATAAATGAAAAGCATGCGATCTAATTTAATACTAGAAAACTTGTAACAACTGCAATGTATTTCTTTTCACACACTCATTCTATAATCAAATAAATTGTATAGAAAATTAGATGTGAGAAAACGAGTCTGGTTTTGGTCTTTACTACCTAAAATTGTGTTATTTGTTTGTTATGCTGCTGACTTGGTTAGAAGTAGAGTCCAAATTGGGAATTCGCATCAGGTTGGCTTGTTGAGAATCAAACAAAGTCGTGAAAAGGAAGGATATGAGATTCTCGCTGACACTCTTTAGTTTCACACTGGATCATAGAACAAGCTTCATATCAATAAATGGAATTGATTGAGTAGATAGATATACAACAACCATCATTCAAAAATGGTCCCTAATTTTTATAGTGGATTCATCAATCATTCGGTTTTGCATCCTTCTTCAATTATTGGTCTCTCTACACAACTCATTAATTTATGAAGTTCTGCATTCGTTTTGGTCTTCTTTTTACACGTACTATTTGTCAAGAAGACCTAGTTTGGTATTAAAGGTTTTCTTATTCATAATAGTCTCAAGGCTTTGCCTTATATACACATGAGTTAACCTAATACAAAGTCTAATATTACAAACTATAACTTAAGAGTATGTTAATATTGGATAGGGTATCTCCACATATCTCCACGTGCAAATACAATGCCATATTGGATAGGGTATCTCCACATTTTTTGTAAATATTTATGTGTTTTCCACACAATGATAACATGTCACGACTTTGTTGTAGCCGTGTGGTCCTATGGTTACGTATTATTTTTATGTTTAACACCTTTCATTTTATAATTTACTTTGCAGAGTGTGTTTTTTTTTTCTTTTAACTCTTTTTCTTTTGAACTCTTTTTTTCTTTTGGCGTAACAATGTAATGTTGACCTAGTGTAATTTTTTGAATTTTAAAATAAAAGTTTTGAGTAGGAGATGATACAGCGGATTAATCAGCTCCGCTACCGTCCCATTTAACCTGATCCACAACGAAGTAAGATATTTTGTGGGTTTTGACAAGTCGGTTCGTCAAAGAGACAAAGACCACAAATCTGAAAGCATCATTCTATATCCTATTTCAAAGTTAATAGTTTTGATTAAAATTATTATGTATGCGAATCAGTTCGTTGTTAGTATGGGTTATTATCAATGACACCACTAGATTAAGAGAATGGAGACATGGGCTAATACCAGAAACACGCGTGAAAAAGCATTTGGGCTTAGGCCCATCTCAAGCCAGATTCTAATGGATTAAAATGTACCTTTCTTGGTAAAATGTACCTTTTTATTTTTCTCCGAAGCAATTTACATTGAGGAGATACATGATTTATTCATATTAACGACTAAAAGAAAGAAGATAATGCATAGTTAGTTACTTAGTTAGTACAGTGTGTTTTCCCCAATAGTTTCCCACGACTCAGTCTTAGTGTTTTCCTCTTGAATGACTCTACCTGACCTCAATTAGTGACTTCATTTTCTTTCACCTTAAGAATTGGATCATCGAGTTTAGGTGTTCTTGTCTCTTTCTTTTCCTGTTCAGTGTTCACAATAGAAAAAAGAGTAAGATTTTTATTGAGGTTCACTCATTTGTTCAAATGAGTCAGAGAAGAGTATAAACAACTATTATGCATATATAACTGAAGGTGTAGTAGATATAGAGATAAAAAAGAAATTAATTACCTCAGACTTAGATTTTGGTGTTGAGTATTCTGTAATATACTGCAAGATCTCAAAGAACTTGGTCTGTCCTTGGTTGATTGCTTTTTGAAGATATATCATTGCCATATCCCTAGCTCTGGTCCTTGCCTTCATCAAGTTGCGGTCAATTTCATTTTCATGCTTTGCTATATATGGTCTGAAGAAAGAATCATAAACGTATGTAGTTCCCTGAAATGGTACACAGAGGAAATAAAATTAGAGAAAAGGTAAAAAAGATTACTACTCTATCTCAATGGTTTTACTTACTTTAGTCTTTGGAAACCAGAGATAAATGAAGAATGCCAACTTCGCCTCGCTATACATTGGTAACCTTCAAGTTAACATGAAAACATAAGAACAATAAGTATATTATACAGTAAAACTGTTTGTCATCTAACTATCTAAGTAAGTAATATAAACAACATACCAAGAAACAAGAGCATCACCAATTCTTTCAAAAATCGTCAAAGCAGCTACAATAATCCTGCAAAGATGTTTTGAGAGAGGAAGCAAGCAAGATTTATAATAGGAATTCCTAAAAGGTAGAGATAAAGAAAATAATATACAAGAGAAAGCTAATCATATACCAATACTGGCACCAGAACTGAAGCTGTTGAATCTCAGGCTTGTTGAGTTCGACAGTTTTGAAACACTCATAAGCAGGATATGCATATCCAAACACCATTCTATCAACCAATTGAAAAATTCATTACTATAGTTTGATTGAGAAAATGTTTTTTTTTTAATAAAATCAAAAGAAGAGATCAAAGTTTTTGAGTAACATACAAAAGTCCTCTTGTCAGAAACGATCCAATCATTGTGATCACCTGCTAAAACATTTTTAAAATAAAAGAATCTTCTAATCAGAATAAAATTCTCAATCACCAACTCATTGAAATGATTATATCATGAACTATATCCAAAATACAAAAAGACAGAGACAAAACAATCGTCTAAGCATTGATGCACAACTTCAATTCGATTACACTAATTTAAACGAATCCATCATAAAGACGAATATGAAGAAGAAAGCAATTAGAGTAACGTTTTAAGCGGTTGAAGAATAACATACCTTAGGGCATCATCAATGGGGGATCATGTGAGGGTGTTCTTATAGAGAATATAATGTTAAAATAATGTAAGATCATGTGTTTAGATCTTTTGTTTAGAAGTTGATTAGTGGGAGAACATGTGTAAGATCTTAAGACTTAATAATATAATAATCTAAATTAAATTAAGATTTTACAATTATGAAAACATTTAAAAATAACATATAAATTGCAAATGCCAAATTTATGAAAAACTGAAAATAAAAGTGAAAATACAATACTAAATATTTATGAAAAAAACATTAAAAATATAAATAACAATAAACAAACAAACATATTACTTAATAAAAGCACAAAAATATTTTATCTAATTAATACATAGTTTATTATCCAAATTTATTCCAAATATGTTGAATATTCCAACCAATGCCCAAATGCCACGCCACCCCGCAACACCCACAAGAACAGATCCAGGTCAAGAGCCCAGTTCCTGATCTTAAGCCCATTAACCTATTTTTTTGAATTTAAATAATGCTTAGATCAGGGGGGGTGATCCCCCAATGCAGATGGTCTTATCAGAAAAATGATTTCGAACGAATTAGACGGCGGTTACGATTGTGACTTGCGAATGGAGAAAGGAGAAACAAAAATGAAGCAACGGTGTATTATTAATATCGTATCGGATAGTGACTTGCGAATCCTTTTTTCAAATTCTCTACTTGAGAGTTTCAACTTGAAACAGTGCGGTTTTAAAATAGTCAACAATCACGACTTTTAGATGGTATTAGCCGTTGGATTTAATATTTGACGGATACAATCTTTTACTTTTGAGCGGGTGTACCGTATCTCATCGCACCGTATATATTTCTTCCTCTTCTCCAATTAATTTTTAATAGTAGTGGATAAGGCGTTAAATATAAAATTTGGAAAAGAAAAAGCCTTTTATCAAATAGAATAAAGCCACGTCAACAAATCGATTGTGAATAATCTAGTGGCTGAGATCAACCGAAAACCAAGAACCACTGGCTCTTCTTCGTCCTCTCATCTTCGCGCGCTTAAGCGATAGCTTCACACCAACAAAGACAAGTACTAATCGGAATCGAAAATGCCAGTTTCAGCTCCATCTCCGCCTCGTCTTCAATCTCCGTTCATTCATTGTCCCATCAATTTCACTCCGTCTTCTTTCTCGGCGAAGAATGTCCGGTCGCCGTCAACATCTTATCCCCGAATCAAAGCTGAACTCGATCCCAACACGGTTTTGATCCTTATCTATCGACTTCGTTCTCTTCTAACTATTTCAATTATCGATTTTGTTTTTTCGTAATTATTAGGTAGTCGCAATCTCTGTTGGCGTAGCAAGCGTCGCATTAGGAATCGGCATCCCTGTGTTCTACGAGACACAAATCGACAATGCCGTGAGTCTTCTGATTCTCTTCTCAGTTAAATCTAATTCTGATTGTTGGAAAGATTCGTGAAAGTTACAGTTTTGGTAATGACTGTTTCCGTCTTTACACAACTTCGTAGGCTAAGCGAGAGAATACTCAACCTTGTTTTCCCTGTAACGGTACCGGAGCTCGTAAGTGAATCGATTCTCTCTCTCGAGTTTTGTTAGCATTTTGGTTGGATTTGTATAAGAGCAAAATGTTTGATGTGTAGTCGTAGAAGAAGTTTATGAACATATTATGATGAACTGAAGAAATAGTTTCTTTGGTGGTGGAGCAGAGAAATGCAGATTGTGTGTGGGAAGTGGTAATGTGACTGTAGAGCTTGGTGGAGGAGAGAAAGAAGTATCTAACTGTGTCAACTGTGATGGTGCTGGTTCCTTGACTTGCACTACTTGTCAAGGCTCTGGTGTTCAACCTCGATACCTTGATCGAAGGTACTAGACGATTATTGTGAATCAGAGCCACTCTGTTATTTTTTGCACATTGTAGAGATGCTAACTTGATTCTTCTCTTCTTTTTCTTATGGCCAGGGAGTTCAAGGACGATGACTAAATACCTTGCACTAGAGAACAGATCCAAGAGTCTCTTTTTCTCCCTTCTCACATTTCTTCATTGTACTATACTGTTTTGTTCACCAAACATGTTGAGAGAAATCATGACATGGATATTGTAACTGTTAAAGAAAACCACCAGAGTTCAATCAAATGTTTCTTCTGTTGTAATGAAGTAACATGACATAACAACTTATTTTCCCTCCTGAACTATTTCTATCATCAATCACCAACCAAAAAATTTCTGCAAAAGACCAAATCGATTTGGCTTACATGCAACAACAATGAGCTAGCTACATGTGTCTTAAAGTTAACCTAGCTGTGCAATTGAAGAAGACAGTTTCATCACTTCATGTACTTACCGTGCAACCATGTCATCTGTAACTTGTTACTTTTACGAGATAGGAAATTCTCTCCAAGACGCCTTCAACCATGGGTTACGCATATGTTATTCCATGTTTTTCTATCGAAAACATTGTTATGTCTATTTCCTGATTGGATCTGTTTAACCACCAAGTCAGCTGAAACCTTGTCAAGAAACGGAGTCCCATCTCTTTCTCGATCGCTCCTGCTTCGGTTGTTGATCAGCTTCAACATCCATCATCAACATCTGCCATTCAAAGACTAGAATAAGACATCATCAGCCATATTTATCACAAGATATCCACAAAACAGAGACTTTACACCTGACACTGATTAAAATGACGTAACACCTACAGGTTAAAGCAAATTTATCACTAATTTAGCTATCTCTGTAGTTTCACAACAGCATGATAGTTGTTCAGTGATCAGAGTTAAACCCAAATTTGATACAAGAAATTAACTTATCATCAAGCGAATTCAGCTCAAAATCTAAAGAAATTAATCGAATTTGAGTACCCAAATGGAACGAAATCAAATGCTTTGAAAAGCCCAGGCCCATACGTCTTTTTTTTTTCCTTTAATATTTTGTCTTCATTTGCATAATAGATCGAAGCCTGGCTTGATAAGATATTGGCAACAAAAGTGAAGACTAGCCCAATTGTTCCTTCACTTGTAAAATTTATTGGAATTTTAAATTTTGTTGTTCCAATAAATAAAAAGAATTATTCAATTTTATATTTAGAGCTACAAATTTTTATCATATTATTAATGTGGACAAGTAATGCGACCGACAGTTGTGACAGTGACAGTGACAGTGACCAGAGTTGGACTCGGCTTAATTGCTTAAAGCCTTAAATTATTGGGTAAATAAAGGGGTATTTCAGTAATTTCATCTTACATGTAATGATAATTCACCTTTGATTAGTATATAAAACAATATCATTTTAAAAAAAATAAAGGAAAAATCCTAAAGGAGAGGAAAAAATAGATCTGAAATCCCGCTTGATACTCCACCGACTTTTAAGTTTTAACTACTGGGGATTTGATTTAGTGTTAGTGACTCCTCTCTCCACCTTCCTTTGATTCAACCTATCACTTGCTTCTCCATCTTCATCATCAAAAATACGAATCCATCTCTCAATCTTAGATCCGGGAAGCTAATTTCTCTCCTCCGATCGGTGAATGCAGTTACATTGACCTCGGATCTAACCAAGCTCTTGTGGTTTCTTACTCTCTACCTCGTGGAATTCTGAAAAAATGGGGGAGAAATCCAAGTCAAGAGGTTGGTGCGGTTGGTTTATCGCGATTATTGTGCTAGCTTCTGTTGTCCTCGCCGTCGTTTACACTGTCAAATTGAGAATGAAGAAATCCGGTGACGATGATGGTAGTGGTCCCGTTCCTGGACCTCCCGGCGCCATTGATAAGAAATACGCCGACGCTCTCAAGCTCGCTTTGCAGTTCTTCGATATCCAGAAATGTAATCATCATTCCTTTACTTCAATCTTTCTAATCTTGGATGTCTCCACGATTTCCAAATTCAAATCTACTTTCCAGTCTCTACTGATTTCGTGTGATTTGATTCATAATGATTGTGCTTGTAGCTGGTAAATTGGAGAACAATAAGATATCTTGGAGAGGAGATTCAGGTCTTAAAGATGGAAGTGAAGCCAATCTTGATCTTTCCAAGGGTTTATATGATGCTGGAGATCATATTAAGTTTGGTTTTCCAATGGCTTTCACTGCTACAGTTTTGTCATGGTCGATTCTTGAGTATGGTGATCAAATGAATGTAGTGAACCAATTGGATCCTGCTAAAGACTCACTCCGTTGGACCACTGACTATCTTATCAAAGCTCATCCTTCTGATAATGTCCTTTATATTCAGGTTTGGACTTCAAATCATTCATGTTGCAAGCAATGATTCTCACTTGTTAGTGTTGTTGTGATGATTTATGTTTGATGTTAGGTGGGAGATCCAAAAGTAGATCATCCATGCTGGGAGAGACCAGAGGATATGAAAGAGAAGAGACCACTCACTAAAATTGATGCAGATACTCCAGGGACAGAGGTTGCTGCGGAAACTGCTGCAGCTATGGCTTCAGCATCTTTGGTTTTTAAGGATAGTGATCCGACATATTCAGCAACGCTTCTGAAGCATGCGAAGCAGTTGTTTGATTTTGCAGAAACTAAGAGAGGCTCTTACAGTGTCAACATACCTGAGGTTCAGAAGTTTTACAATTCAACGGGATATGGTGATGAGCTACTATGGGCAGCTAGTTGGTTGTATCATGCAACTGAGGACAAAACTTACCTTGATTATGTGTCTAGTCATGGAAAAGAATTTGCTAGTTTTGGAAATCCAACTTGGTTTAGTTGGGACAACAAGCTTGCAGGAACACAGGTTAGTTTGGAAAAAGAAGAAACTGTTGAAGCATTTCTGTGTTTTTTTTCTTCCAATAACATTTATGCTCCTAATGATTGCAGGTACTATTATCAAGATTACTCTTCTTTAAAAAAGATTTATCAGGAAGCAAGGGACTTGGAAATTACAGGAACACAGCTAAAGCTGTCATGTGTGGACTCTTACCAAAGTCTCCAACTGCTACAGCTAGTAGAACAAACGGTAAACTCACTTTATTATTGGCTATTGCATAGAAGATAAAGCCTCTTTGACTTAATTTCTTATAAAGCTTCGATCTTGTTAAATCTCTTGTTCGATAGGTGGCCTTATATGGGTTAGTGAATGGAACTCGATGCAACAATCTGTTTCTTCAGCGTTCTTAGCCTCGCTTTTCAGTGATTACATGCTCACTTCCCGTATCCATAAAATATCATGCGACGGGAAAATCTTCAAAGCAACAGAGCTCAGAGATTTCGCCAAATCGCAGGTAACAAGAACAAAACATGAAATTCTATAGACAACAAAACCAAACTAGTCAAAGAAGACTCACTAGAGTTTCTTCGTGCAGGCTGATTACATGCTCGGGAAGAATCCGCTGGGAACAAGCTTCGTGGTGGGTTATGGAGACAAATACCCACAATTTGTACATCATAGAGGAGCTTCGATTCCGGCAGATGCAACCACGGGTTGCTTAGATGGATTCAAATGGTTTAACTCAACGAAACCAAACCCAAACATAGCATATGGTGCACTCGTAGGTGGGCCTTTCTTCAACGAGACGTTCACTGACTCACGAGAGAACCCGATGCAGAACGAACCAACCACTTACAACAATGCACTCCTCGTTGGTCTCTTGTCTAGTCTTGTCACTACCTCTTCTGCTTTACAATCGTTGAAGTGAGCCTTTTTTTTTGTGCCTTTTATTGGAATCACATTGCTTCATTTTTATTTGTAATTTTTTTTTAAATTCGTGTGTGTGTATTCACGTTGTGTATTGCTTGATATGTTGATGAGTGTTAAAAAACAATTAGTGCTCTAAGAATCCAAAATTTAGAAGGAAAAATAGACTAATCAAATAAAATAAAATTTACAAAACACACCATAGGTAACAGCACATTGAAGCAACGAAAAATAAAAAATTAATGTTGCAATCGGTATGAAACAGAAATACAGTCCGGTAAGATTCTTAAAAAACCAAACTGTCCTGTCTTGGTCTAAAAACCGGAAAATGTCGGTAAAATTAACGAACCGGGTTATTGGGTGTTGAACTTAAACCCTTTGTCGCGTGAAGAAACCCTAGTCTCCATAGACGACGAAGGCATCTTCTTCTTCTTCGATTGCTCTGCTCAGGATCAAAAATCGTCGGTTTAGTTCTCCGGTTAAAAGTTTTGTCCCCGCAAGGTGAGATTCTTTTCAATGTTTTTTCCTCTGCTCAGTGCTCGAGACTTCAAATTCTGTGTTTAGATTCAATTTCGTAGAGCTCAACGTTTCATGGAGTCCAGTTTTGATCTGAGACTTAAGACTTGTGTTCAGTTGGAAACCCTAAGCTCATTCTTAAAAGATAAAACCCGCCGCTATATAAATTCTCAGAATTGAAGCTTTTTTGTATGAACAGGAATTGGATCTTCAATGGAGGGGTTAAAGCTTTCAGAAGCGGAATTGATGATTTATATTCATCCTTCGAAGAGCAGAAACGTTTTTCAGGCGATTTGTCGCGAGCTCAGTTCTCTTCTATTCCAGTTCGTTCTTTTTCTTCTCCTTTCTTCTTTGGGATCAAGTTTCGATTTTTAGGTTGTGATTCTTTAGATTACAAGAACTCACTGTTGCTAATAGCGGTTTATCGAATCGAGCTGTCTTGATGCAATGTTTGTTTGTGGTACTTTGGTTTTCTTATTTTGTGTATCAATCTTTGTTTTGAAGGTATAATGAAACCTTCGATGGCGTTCTATTGGCTTATGATGCTACTGTCAAAAGCAAACAAGCTAAAATCCTTGCAGGACTTCATCCTTACTTTGGCGTGAGAGTTAACACTAGACTACTCCTTTTTGATCCAAAGCCCAAAAGTTTTGTAGGTAAGATCTCAATTAAATTTCTTGCTAGTGATCTAATGTGTTTGACTGGTTGGTTAATTTCTCTTGTTTGTTCTATGCAGAAGGGAAAATTGTGAAGATTTCTCCAGAGTCAATCCATGTTATTGTTCTTGGTTTTTCTGCTGCAGTCATTACAGACGTTGATATCCGGGAAGAGTTCAAGTACAGAGTGGTATGTATGATTTATAGGTCTTGAATGTACTTATTCCAACTTGTTAAAACAGACTATAACATTTGCTCTATTCAGAGAGATGGTGAAGGTTCTTTCGTGAGCAGATCGCATAAACGGCATGCACTAAAGCTTGGAACTATGTTGCGCCTTCAAGTCCAAAGGTAAATTTTTAGTTTCTCTGCTCTACTGTTTTTTGTGATTAGAATTTTAGGTAACTGAATCGAGATTATTCTGCAGTTTTGATGAAGAGGTAATGCATATAGCTGGATCTCTACTTCCGGAAAACACAGGATGCGTTAAGTGGCTGGAAAAGAAGTCTGAAGAAGCTTTGCATACAGATAGGTTAGTTAGTTTGTACACTACCTTTAACTCTCTAATCGTATCATCTTTTAAAAAGAAAACTCTTTTTTATTTACAGGGATCATAAAAGGAGGAAATTTGCCTGAGGAATTATGAAAATACAAAACAGTAGAAGAAGTTTGAAATGAAGAGAAGCAGCGATGCTGAATTTTTGCTGTACCAAATCTTTTTATGTAAACTGTTTTTTTAATGTACTATTGGTACCTTCCATTTTGAATCTGAATGTTCTTTCTAATCAATATCAAAATTGTTATTGCAAAGTAAGTTGTGAAGCCATGATATCCTCGTGCTTATAACCAGCTCTTCTATCGATGTGATTTTCAAGCTTTGCCAGAAGCATTTTGCATATAGGAAGTTTGAAGATCAAACCAGTAAAAGAAGCAGATGTGTTATAGTTTAACCGAATAAAACAATCGTTTGAAAACAAGGTACAATACAAAGCATCTGTATATAAATAATTATACACCAAATGATGATAAATAAAAATGTAGAAAAGGGTATGGAAAACTTATGTAACCTATAGTTTCTCCCAGCTGCTCTTATTCCCATTAAGCTAAGACCAAGAGCCGCCCAATTCTAATGATACAACAAACATATGAAACGAGTTCAACTACACCTGATGATTGATACGGTTAGGAGAGAGTCAGGAGTAGTACCATTGTGCTCAATATCGATGTCTAGGACGCAAAGCGGTAAACGAATTCCCGCCTTGATCATGATGATGACTTCCTCTTCCTCTACCTCTTCCTCCGCCTCCTGCTCCTCTGCGGTCGCGGTCACCACCTTGTTGATGATGATGCTGACCACCATACCCTTGTGGGTTATTATGCTCGGACCCACCTTGACCATGCCATTGTTGTTGCTGTTGATGTTGATTACCAGAATACCCCCCTCCTCTAGAGTCATGGTGACCTCCCCGTGATTGGCTCTGGTAAGGCTCTGATGGAAATCTCCCACTGGGTCCACGAGGTTGGTACCCGCCTCGGCTTTGGTAAGGAGGCGGCTGAGCATAGCCTTGCGCGCCAGGTGGAGCAATATAGCCACCATGTTGGTAAGGAATTGGTGGAACATACTGCGGAGGATTGTAGCCATAACCAGGAGGATTCTGAGCATGTACATCTGTTGGTGTCTGATATCCATATCGGTCTGTTCCCATCTGTAAGCTGTTGGAGACAAGACGATGTGCTGCATCTCCCAGATGCCTCCCAGATACACTTCCAGGTGGGTTTTGCCTAACGAATTGAGGTAAAAAGAAAATAGCAATTTTGATATTAGACACTACCAATTCAAACACAGGCCTTCTTTTGTACTTGGTTTGATGATTTTATTACCTCCCCTGATTATTATACATCCCATGATTATTATGCATCCCGTGATTATTATGCATCCCGTGATTATTATGCATCGGTCTCCTTCCGTTTTCCTCATGCCACAGAGCAGGTGGGGGTTTCAAGTCCTGTATGTCCACAATCTGAACAGACGAGAAAACAAACCAACTTAAGCTACCAAGACGATTTGAACAGACATAGAGGTCACTCAAAATAAGTTCTTCGTGAGCAATGACTAGCTAAACCATTAAAAGTCCATAGGGATGACAGTCACGGACAAGACAAAGTGGTATCATTTACCTTCTTAGGGAAGATGACACCAGGAGGAGGCCTGGTTATGTGTTCATGTGCATCTGGAAGTCTATAAATACAACATCTGAGAAGCAACGAAAATAAATCAGTATTGCATGTTTAATCAATTTAAGCTTCGAACATTTTTTAAAACTAGGCTCGTGATCTCACATGACTTGGTTGGTCAAGATGTCCTCCATACCCTCCATTGGGGACCTGAATACTGGCGGGTGAGTCTCCCCTGAACACGGAGTCAAGTAGCCATTCATACCATCACTGCAAGTAGTTCTAAGAACATCAGGAAACAGATTTGGTATTTGTTGGCCTCAGTGAGATATCCAACTGACGAAGTTATTTCATACTCATCCACCACGAAGTCATAAAACAAAACAAATAGAGTTACGTTTTACAAACCTGAGCTCAGGTTTGATCTTAACCTTAAAGTCTACTCTCTCCCTGGCACTTAATTGCCGACAGTGATTGTCAAGTGAAAAGACGAGTTCAGCCAGGCGATGAGACGTTGCTATGAAAAGCATATCACACATCCTGCTGTTTCTACGCTTCTCTTCATCCTGCAGATTGAATAAAGAACACATCAAAATTAATCTTTTTGGAAGCACACATCTTGATGTGGAGGCTATCATAATAAATGCAGGAATGACGTATAGGGCAGCATACCGTCAATGTAAATTCCACTTCGGAAACAGCTTCTAGTAGGCGCTTTTCATCAATGAAAGGCAGCTTAGCAATACCCTTTGATGAAAAAGTAAAATCCGTTAATATAGTGATTATGTTTCTTTAACATAAGGAAAAGATAAAGAAAGACAGAGAGGCTACCTGCCATGAAAAACGCTTTCCATTCATGTCGACTTCAAAATCTAAAATAACAATAGAAAGTGATGCAGCTATAACTCGTTACAACAATTAACACTCAGAAAAAGATGGAATCTTTACTAGGAAAGGAAGCACTACCGGTTGGGTAAAAATCAATGATAGGAGAGTTGGGATCTGTCATCAAGGTCCTGTAGCGCTCTGGAAGTGCATGCGCACTGACCAAATGAAGTAACGATTAATAGATATACCAAAGAGAGGGAACAATAATGTAGAAAAAAATTAATAAAAAGCATTGATGTAACTACCTTGCAGCTGGGAACACCCCAAGAAGTTGATTGAAAGGCTTAAAAGGAGTTCCTAATTCGAACTTAATATCCAGCTCTCCCAAATCTTTCAGATCAGAAGCAAATGGTGCATAATGGTAAGGATAAAACCTGTAACAGCAAAGTACAATTATATAAAAAGTGACAGCTAAAACCTCTCACAGTAGATGAAGACCTACGAATCTAAAAAGCAAATAGTGTCTAATACCAAGATATAGATATAACATAGTAAACCCTATCAGACCAAGGATAAATATAAATCCTAGGCGAAAAAAAATTCTTTCAAATAACTCCTGCGTTCTGTTTAAAAGGAAATCAGACAGAAAACAAAAGACAACTCAACAAGAAAATTTTTATGGCACTTCAAATGGAAAGCTTAAAACATAAACAAAACTAAACCACACTAAAGAAAGCAATCCAAACGGATCAGTAGGTGAAGTTGTTCAGTAAAAAAGAAATATCAAAGTGTAGGAACTCACCACTGCCAGGAGCAAACACCTTCCATGTAGTAATGCATGACCCAACAAAGGCCTTCTGTGTACTTCAAAACCTGTACAAAAGAATGTTTCACAAATTAGAAGGAACCCTGCAGGAGTTGTACCAAAACTTGAATTATATATCATTCTCCAACTTACAACATCCTTCCGCACTCTTTCCATTTCTTCAGGAGTTACTACTGAGAACTTCTCTTCATAATATCGTTCTCTCCATCCAGGTTGCCCTAGCTTCACCTATGCAAATGGAAACCACTTTCAGAAATGAAGGAAACCCAAAGATTGACAATCAAAGGGTAACTGAAAACCAAAGAAATTCCCAATAACGTAAATCTAATCATAATCCAGTAGAAAGAACCTTATCCTCTTCAGTAGTATCCGAGTTGAACGCATCTGATTTCTCACGGATTAACTCCTTGAGCTTTGTCTTTAGCTCTTCTTTGTTCTCGTGTTCCTGAAATAAGTAAATAAATTAAAATGATTGTTCACTTATATAAGGTCATCCACTCTCAATTACACAGTGACAAAGGAGTTAAAATCACATAGTGCCTCTCCAGGACAGGAATGCATACATCAGATTCGAGACTGTTCTCGACGTCAACAATAGCAGCACCAACACTGGATCCTGAAGATACACGTCGAACTTTTTGAGGCGGAGCAGACCTTCCATGGTTAGACTGAAAGGGTGAAGGTGTAGGAGCCGACGCAAGTCGAGAACCACTAAATCGTGCAACCGGAACAAGAGAATCTGGTTGAGCTGTCGGAGCTGCATCATCCATTTTTTTTTGTCTTGGCTGAGCTTTCTCTCGCTTTACTCTTTCCGCTTGCTTCTGATATAAACCAGAGTAAAAAGGACCATCAATACATTAATACAGAAATATTAGTTCTATCCATATCTTGTAGAGATACTAAAACTTTGAGCAGAGCAGCAGGTTTTATCAGGTCAAGGGTTTCCAAATGACCATAATGTAGCAAAGCAAACAAGATTCACATACACTACTCTACCAAACGTGAGGATACACATGGACCCCTATATACTTTCCATCAAATCCAATTATATTGAGTTTACAAGACTATGGTGAAGTATTAATATCTCTGCAAGACTACTCAAAATTTACTACCGAGTGGGAAAAGGGAAATGTCATGCCAGTCACATGTATCAGATATTTTGATAGCAGATAAATAGCTACTCAGGTATTGTGCCTCACTTTAAGGCCAAAAAGAAGTATGTTTTCTAAAATTTCGATGTACCTGATGTATCATGGCTCTTTTCTGAAATATCTTATCTTCGTACGATCCAACAGCCTGAATAAACTGTTCCACCCTCTTTAAATTTGGCTGGAGAGGATAACAGTAAAAGACGAAGTCAAAACCATGTCACCTAAGGGTAAATTGGAAAAGGAAAGATTTGAGTAAACTATTCCAATATGAACAGAGAACAAGTACCTTGCACCCATCCGTTAAATAGCCGTCAAGTGACCGAAATTCCTTCTTGTAAACAGCCATAAGCAAGTTGATAGCACCCTGAAGAAATGAAGAATTACAGCAACGTTTCATCAAAAAGTAGTTTAGAATGCATTGTAAGATATGTCAAGTTCTTAACATAGGATAGATAACGGAATTGACATATGCCTTAAGACATTAAACTGACACCACCAATACTAACGTATCTAATCATACTAGGGCATCCCTTGAAGGTTCTTTAAACGAACAATTCATAATGAAATCCAGATCCAGGCAGCACAAACCTCTCGAATCTCTAATGTCGGCATATGAGGTAAGAAGTCATTGCCCACAAAGAAACATATGAAGATAAAATCATCAACAATGCGCTCTAAATCAATCTCAAATGGGGGGTTGGGAATCCTCATTTCAAGCTCCAGGTATTCTCTAAGAATCCAGATATGAAGAAACTGACAAAAAGAAACAAAGAGATGAGACTTGACAATAATATTACACTTCAAGACTGTATCTCAAGAACCTGCTGATCATGTGTTAGGAACTTGGTCAAGAATTTCAACCTGATATGGCTTTTTGACAAAATCATTTCCATCGCCTTTCTCATCAAATTCTCCTGCCCTCTTCTTTGCTTTTCCTTCACAATTTGCAGCCATATGGCCCATTTGACCACACAAGAAGCATCTCTCCTGCTGTCCAGGAGTGTAGACCACCTAAATCGTGGGATGAAAATTTAAAATTCAGCTTAGTTACCCAGGAAGAAAATAGAAATTGAAGAGTTTACTCTAGTTATCTCCTCCACTCCTTTTTTTCTACCCACGTTTGTTAATCTTCCAAGGAAATATTAAAAAGGCCCTTAAAACACAGAATTGAATACAAAAAGCATGTGGAAGAGTAAATAAAAAACCTCTCGAAGAATTGAAAAATGAACTTCATGGGTCGCCAAGCCCAACATAATCAGGTCAGCGTCCTGTCAAAGAAAGCAGGTCAAAATAAGCCTCCTAAGTAAATAACACACTAGAAAGTGAAGGCCAAGAAAGTGAATAAGCAATTAAGACCTCATGATAGTTTTTGGTGCAAGTAAAAATTAGTAAATGAAGAATCATACCAGTCCATACAAGCAATGCCGAGTGTTTGGGTCAAAACCAGGAAGATTTCTTTGAAGACGAATGTATGACATGATTTTATGCTCCCCTTCACCTGGAACATTTGCGTCTGAAAGAATAACCTTCGCAGTTCAACAGTTACGTGCAAAATTAGTCACAAACTCAATTCAATACGTTAATCTGCATAACTGTGTGAAGTAAGAAATAATAGGGAATCACAAATACCTTGATATTTTTCCAACCAACATCATGATTAAGTCTAAGGTGTACATAATATTGCAGCGCAATAGACAGAACGCCCATGAATTCTGTTCCAGGTGTAATAACATTAGAATCAAACACTTGAGAGTCCACTTTAGGGGGGAGTCTTCTACCCTCCCTCTCAAACTCCTCTCGCAGCCGTTCTTCTTCAGCAGCCTGTAAGATTCACAATGTCAACAGATTTCCATTGAAAAGGTAGGAGACTCGTTAACGGAATGAAAGAAAAAATCATGTAAAGAAACGAAATCAAGAACACAACAAACATTAGAAGCATATGTCTAGAAGAAATTAAATAGCAAAAAGAAGTTTTTCCTGGCTGAGGAACTACACAGTAGAAACCCCATGCCAGTATGGGGTAAAAAAGAACATACAGCATCCGATGCATCTTTAGCAGATCTAAACCGCCTAGACCGTTGTTGATTCATTTTAGCTCTTGGAGCAACCCCATCTAAGACCCAAACATACAAAAGTATTAAGCTTTAAGCAAACTCTTCTAAAATTTTATGTTGGCTGATAAAGAAAACTTACCAATAGCCATATAGAGCAACTTCCGTGGCCGTACCATCACAAAAAGCCTATCAATGTAATCAAACATACACTGAAACACCTCCTCGAAGGTAGTTGGAGATGGCTGCAATAACAAACATACCCGTCAAAGAGCTAACAAAAACTACTCACACAAAGGTCAAATTTGAAAACCCATTTATGAATGAGAATGAATCAAATTTGAAAACCCTAATGTCTCAAATAAAACATTCATAGTAAAGAAGCTGAATGAATCAAAAATCGAAAGAAAACGTTACCCTATCTTCGGGGTGGAAACAAGGATGGATAATCCCGTTCATGTCGAGATAGAGATTATCGTATTCGAGATTGTTAGGGTTAGGTTTACTAGTATCCACCGGAATCTTGATACCTTCGATATCAACAGGCTCTTCCTCGATAACATCAGCCACTAAAAGAGGATACTTCTCCGCCAACCACCGGTAAAACGACGGTACACCCATTCTTCACCGATCTCGAAGATATAAATCTCCGGCGACACGAGAAACAAAACTCAGAGACCTAAGGAGGGAGAGAGGGTATAAATCAAACCAACGGTGTTTGCCGACGGCGGGTAAGGTCACGAAGTGCACATTAATTGGTTTTTTCCTTCTTTTTTTTTGTAAGAAAGCAAAATCGGATTAGTCACGCTAATTGGGCTTAAGACAAAAAGGAAATATGGGCTTTGTCTGTAGCCCAATAGCCCATCTCACAAAAAATTGACTAAAAAAAACTCCGTTGCCGGGACTCGAACCCGGGTCTCTCGGGTGAGAGCCGAGTATCCTGACCAGCTAGACTACAACGGATTTGTGTTTTATACCTGAACTTAAAATTATATATAGCTATAAACACTATCACTCCAAGAAAAGAGAACACGAAGGACTTGTACTTGATTAAACTAGTCTCTTTCGGCTTTATGTCTTCTTCTTGTGGTCCATCTATTCCGGCAGAAATTATGATTCTTCGATTAAAAGATCGTTTATTTAAAAGATTTCTTTGTGAAATTAGTGCTATAAGAGTTCTTTGTAATACCGTTTTCTAATAATCCATTTGTCTACATTATCGTCTTCGTTTTTTCTGCTGCATTAGTCTACGTTATCTTATATGTCTAGTCTCAGTGTGATTTTATGAATATAAGTAATTTTCTGTTAAAACGAAAAAAGTAAAACAAATTTGTTTCGAAAATTACAAAAATGCTCTTTAGATTTGCAGAAACCATGGGTGAACCTAACTAATTGACATATCTTATAAAACATGGACTGAAAAATATTTTGATTAATGGATTTCGATTTTTAAGCTTTGAAAATTGAAAATCAAAAATAAGTATTCATAATCTAACCATATATGAAATACTATAAATATCCTTAGTAAGAAATATGTACGACTTGGTAGTTTCTGATTTACCGGCCATGAGAGATGCAGAGTTGGTCGTAACATTTGTCACAAGATTGGTAGCTACAAACATAATGCAGATATACTGTCATTCACGCACATGTATACGTACACAAAACAATATTGCATGTAAGATATTTTTCTCACAAAGCTTTGATGAAATTTGTGTTGCTTGGTGAGACATAATCAACGAATTTAGTTTAAAGTGATATCATGTCCAAGAGTAGCCTGTGCTTTTGCTCTAACGTAGGGTAAATTTTAAAGAATTAAGACTTAATCTTAAGTAATATCCGTTCGGACTAATCTACATCTTGTAGATATAGCACTAGGTAACAATTTTTGAATAATCAATATACAACATTTAGTTTCTTTATATAATTTGCTTTTGGGGAACAACAAAAAATTCACACCAACCCAAGAGTTCCATATAGTGGAATCCAAAACGATGTCGTTACACTCTCCCTCCTCACGCTCCTCTCTCTTATATTATAGACGAAACAAAACTAATTCCTCTCTGCAATAAAAATCTTTCCTTTCTCCACTCTAATGGCCGCAACGGTCATTTTCTTCCTTCACTTCGCCGCCGTCTTCTTCTCCAGATTCCACCACACCTCCGCCGTCTCATCAGAGATTCCAGCACTCACATCTTTCAAACTCTCTCTCCACGACCCTTTAGGCGCTCTCGAATCATGGAATCAATCATCTCCATCAGCTCCATGCGACTGGCACGGCGTTTCTTGCTTCTCCGGCCGTGTTCGAGAGCTTCGTCTTCCTCGTCTCCGCCTCACCGGTCACCTCAGTCCTCGACTCGGTGAGTTGACTCAGCTCCGTAAACTCAGTCTTCACACCAACGACATAAACGGCGCCGTTCCTTCTTCTCTCTCTCGTTGTGTCTTCCTTAGAGCTCTTTATCTTCACTACAACTCCTTTTCTGGCGATTTTCCACCGGAGATACTGAATCTAAGGAATCTCCAAGTGCTCAACGTTGCTCATAACTCACTCACCGGGAATATCTCCGACGTTAAAGTCTCAAAGAGTCTCCGTTACGTCGATTTATCTTCTAATGCATTATCCGGTGAGATTCCGGCGAATTTCTCGGCGGATTCATCTCTCCAGCTCATCAACCTCTCGTTCAAACCGTTTTTCCGGTGAGATCCCAGCGACATTGGGGCAGCTACAAGACCTAGAGTATCTATGGCTAGACTCAAACCAGTTACAAGGTACTATACCATCTGCATTAGCCAACTGTTCCTCGCTTATACACTTCAGCGTAACCGGAAATTCACTCACCGGTCTAATTCCGGCGACTTTCGGGAAGATTCGAAGCCTCCAAGTGATTTCATTATCGGAAAATTCACTTACCGGTACAGTTCCGGCGAGTCTTGTATGTGGCTCTTCAGGTTACAATTCCTCCATGCGAATCATTCAATTGGGAGTTAATAACTTCACGGGAATAGCTAAGCCGTCGTCAAACGCAGCTTGCGTGAACCCTAATTTGGAGATTCTCGACATTCACGAGAATCGCATTAATGGCGATTTTCCCGCGTGGTTGACTGATTTGACCTCTTTAGTGGTTTTGGATATATCTGGAAACGGTTTCTCCGGCGGTTTTCCGGATAAAGTTGGGAACTTTGCGGCGCTTCAGGAGCTGAGAGTGGCAAACAATTCACTCGTTGGTGAAATTCCGACGAGTATCGGAGATTGTAGATCGTTACGAGTCGTTGATTTCGAAGGAAACAAGTTCTCGGGTCAGATTCCGGGTTTTCTAAGTCAGTTACGGAGCCTGACAATGATATCTCTTGGAAGAAACGGGTTCTCGGGTCGGATTCCGTCGGATCTTCTCAGCTTACACGGACTTGAAACATTGAATCTCAATGAAAATCATCTCACCGGAACTATACCGTCGGAGATAACGAAGCTAGCTAATCTCAGCATCCTTAATCTCAGTTTCAACAGATTCTCCGGCGAAATTCCTTCCAATGTGGGTGATCTAAAGAGCTTGAGTGTTCTAAACATAAGTGGATGCGGGTTAACGGGTCAGATTCCGGTTAGCGTTGGTGGATTAATGAAGCTTCAGGTTTTGGATTTAAGTAAACAGAGAATCTCCGGTGAATTACCTGTCGAACTCTTTGGCTTGCCCGATCTTCAAGTGGTTGCTCTTGGAAACAATGCACTTGACGGCGTTGTACCGGAAGGTTTCAGCAGCTTGGTTAGTCTTCGGTTCTTAAATCTCAGTTCAAACTTATTCTTCGGACATATCCCAAAGAACTATGGATTTCTCAAGTCATTGCAAGTGCTTTCGTTGTCTCATAATCGAATCTCCGGTTCAATCCCGCCGGAGATTGGGAATTGCTCTAGTCTTGAGGTTCTTGAGCTCAGTTCAAACCGGTTAACGGGTCACATTCCGGTTTACGTTTCCAAGTTGTCTCGTTTGAGGAAACTTGATTTGGGTCACAACAGTTTAACAGGGAGTATTCCGGATCAGATTTCTAAGGATTCGTCTCTAGAATCTCTCCTGCTTAATTCCAATTCTCTATCGGATCGAATACCGGATTCTTTATCAAGATTGGTGAATCTAACATTGTTGGATCTTTCGTCGAACAGTTTGAATTCCACTATACCATCAAGTCTCTCTCGGCTTCATTCCTTGAACTACCTCAATTTATCAAGAAACAGTTTGGAAGGAGAGATTCCAGAAGTTCTAGCTGCGCGTTTCACTAACCCGTCTGTCTTTGTCAAGAACCCGGGACTCTGCGGTAAACCTCTTGGTATAGAATGTCCAAACGTTCGGCGGAGAAGAAGAAGAAAATTAATTATACTAGTGACACTAGCAGTCGTTGGAGCTTTGTTGCTGTTACTCTGTTGTTGTGGTTATGTGTTCAGTTTATGGAGATGGCGGCACAAACTAAGATTGGGTTTGAGTCGGGACAAGAAAGGGACCCCGTCACGAACATCCCGAGCGAGTTCTGGTGGGACAAGAGGAGAAGACAACAATGGTGGGCCTAAACTTGTGATGTTCAACAACAAGATCACATTAGCCGAAACCTTAGAAGCTACAAGACAATTCGACGAAGAGAACGTATTGAGTCGAGGAAGGTACGGGTTGGTCTTCAAGGCGACGTTTAGAGATGGGATGGTTCTATCGGTTCGTAGACTCATGGATGGTGCTTCGATAACGGATGCAACGTTCCGTAACCAAGCCGAGGCTTTAGGTAGAGTGAAGCACAAGAACATCACGGTCTTGAGAGGTTATTACTGCGGACCGCCCGATTTAAGACTTTTAGTTTACGACTACATGCCCAACGGAAACCTCTCAACGCTTTTGCAAGAAGCATCTCACCAAGACGGACACGTCTTGAACTGGCCGATGCGTCATCTCATCGCCCTCGGAATCGCTAGGGGACTCTCCTTTTTGCATTCTTTAACAATCATTCACGGGGATCTTAAACCGCAAAACGTTCTCTTCGACGCTGACTTTGAAGCGCATTTGTCAGAATTCGGGTTAGATAGATTGACGGCGTTGACTCCAGCTGAAGAACCGTCTACCTCATCCACTCCCGTCGGGTCTTTAGGCTACATTGCACCCGAAGCAGCATTAACGGGTGAACCAAGTAAAGAGAGCGACGTGTACAGCTTCGGGATCGTGTTATTAGAGATCTTAACAGGGAAAAAGGCAGTGATGTTTACAGAGGATGAAGATATAGTGAAATGGGTGAAGAGACAGTTACAAAAAGGTCAAATCGTTGAGTTGCTTGAACCGGGTTTGTTGGAGCTTGATCCGGAAAGTTCAGAGTGGGAAGAGTTCTTGTTAGGGATTAAAGTTGGGTTGTTGTGTACCGGAGGAGACGTCGTTGATCGGCCGTCTATGGCTGACGTTGTTTTCATGCTCGAAGGTTGTAGAGTCGGTCCGGCGATTTCCTTGTCCGCCGATCCTACTTCACCTACTTCCCCAGCCGCCACGGCCGCTTCTTGAAATTGTTTTATCTTTTCACAATCATTTTATTTCTTTTTCCTTTTTTTTCCTTTGTGGATAATTTATTTTGACTTCATTGCGTTGTATCTTGTCACGGGTACGACAATCAAATTTTAAGTTGTCAAATTTATTGAATTGTCCACGGTGGAATTAGAGATATCAATCAGTTCAATGTGTTGTTGTTGTTAACTTGTTAGTTGTTATCTTGGGTTATTGAACAACTTTTTCCCGGGATTCTCGTTCAATAAAAATCATGAAGACTAAAATAGTGTGTTGACGTTGAGGTCTAGACCCTACGGAGCCGTTTTGGTAAGCATTGCGTAAACTATCTACTGAGCTTTAGTAGACAATGTTCCGTGATTTGGTCAGTGGGGTTAATAGTAGATGTGGGGGCTCTCCATATTGTCTTAGTTCTGTTTTAGTTCCCGCCAAATATGTTAGGACAAGTGGCTATGCGACACGTGTTGGTCTCCTTAGGGATATGAAAGTAGCCGTTGATATAATTTATTGGATTTTTGTGTTTGGGGAAGAGCGAAGTTAAGCCGTCAGAGGACGAAAAGCTTTTTTAGCCAGAGCCTGTTGTTGTCTGAAACCCCAATCCACGTTGGATTTTTTACTGTTTAGCCAGTGTACTTTGTTTTTTGGATTTTTTTATTTTATTTTTTTGTATTCATTACTTCTCTTTCATTTATTTAACTTTTAATGTTTGGTTGGTGTATATTAATGGAGAACTCCACCTATATTCTTTGGATTCCTTTTATAAACACCAAGGAATAAATTTCTTAAACTAATATAAACTTCTATGTATATTAAATCAAGCCTAACCATAAAGCCACCATTTCTTTTTCCATGAAATTCTGGAAAAGACGTTGTTCATGAAGATAATTAAAACAAGAGTGGTAGTCGTGAAGAAGGGATTGGTGTAATCAAGAAGGGAAGGAGAATAAATGCAAAAGAAATGCAAATTTGTGTGAGAGTGTTTAATTGATGTTTGGGTTGGTGTGGACGACTCATAGCATTATTACATGTGTCATCACTCTCATCTTTATAACAAGTCACGACAATTTGACTGTGCTTGTTTTGGTCTACTCTCTTGAACCCACCATCATCTGTTTTCTAGTACAAAGTGAATGGTAAGAAAAATTATTTACATTGCAAACGGTAGTTCCTTCAGTCGCAGTGTTCGTTTACTGGAAATGTGAAAATAATTCGAGTTTATTAGTTAATGGGAAGATATCAAGTAGCAGATTTTTGAAATCCCATACTAAGAAGAACATAAGGCTCGTTATTAGCGTTATATTGACTAGCTTTGAGATGCAAATGATAGTCTGTTGTATTGCTTAATTGAGGGATTTGTAATGCAGGAATGCATTTTTTACCAAGTCATATAATTTCACCCAAGTTACAGTGTGTCCAATCATAACAAAACTCAAACTCACAAAAAACGAAGTGAAAGGAGAAGCTTATGCATTAGATGAAAACTTCTGATATGAGACATGTTGATACTAACAATAAGTCACCACTTCTTTCACTCAGCTCTAGACTGACCGGCTCGAGATGAGAGGATGATACCAACAATAAGACCATATAGTGCAAGCGCTTCCGCAAAGATGAGAATCAGAATCATTCCCACAAACAGCTTCGGTTGTTGCGCATTCGCTCTGCAAAATGAAACATGATTAACAAAACAAAGTTCTGAACAATGCGTAACGTAGTTGATGTATAAAAAAAAATCGAAGCAGCCTGTTGAATTCTACTGGGAATTTCTCCTATCCTGTTTCGAAGATTCAATACAGGCAGTTCTTAACCAACACCGAATCTCATGTCAAACAACGTTTATGAGAGCAAAACAATAAAGAGTTTTCTCTGGGATGAGTTTGATAATAAATGAAGTAACGAAACTGTATTTGTTATCTTTGAATCAGAATTACAATCAAGAAACCCTAACTATCTTGGCTATTTGTTGTAGAGATACCCTAACTCTCCTATAGGCTATAGCTAACCAAGTAACCATATGGTCAAAATCAGACTTCATAACTACTTAATCATCTTTCCTATCAAATGATGTAAAACAACAAACACCAAAGCTATACTAAAAACTTCTAAACAAGTGAAATGAATCAAAATTGCTGCAATCGAAACAGTTTAAGATCATGTAGAAGCAGCAATTACCTAACACCAGCATCACCGACGATTCCAATAGCCATACCAGCAGAGAGACCAGCAAGACCACAAGCTAGCCCAGAAGAAAGATGAGCATAGCCATCGAATAGGTAATAAGACTTGGCCTTGGGGTTTATCCCAGTACTGATGATGACAGCGATGATCAAACCATAGATACCTAACACACCAGCCATGACAACAGGAACAATCGATTTCATAACAAGTTCAGGTCTCATCACTCCCATCGACGCAACTCCGACGCCACTCTTCGCCGTCCCGTACGCTGCTCCCATACCTGAAACATCAAATCGGATCAGATCGTATCGAAATCGAAAATCAGGGGAGATTCAATTCGGGGAAATTGGCAAGAGAGATGATCTGAATCTTACAGGAGAAAACGAGCGCAGCGGCGGCGCCGAGGAATCCGAAGAAAGGAGCAGTTTCATCGCCGCTGAAACCTGAAGCCATTGGCTCTTTGATGTCTCGATTGTTGCTCCGATTAGATCTGTTCACAAATTATTGTTAGGAGATTTTGAGAGGAAGATAGATTAATTTTTTTGTTCACAAAAAAAAAAAGAGATTAATATTTTTATGGGAGTAAAACTATAATAACTGCGGTTAAAAAGAGTTTTTTTTTTTAAAATGCTCAAACGTGGGTTCTCTCAGTTTTGGTGATGCTAAATTACTGTATTGGGCTTAGTGGAAAGGCCCATAAAAGATTAGATGAAGCCCAAGCTAGTGGTTTGGACTTTAGACATATTGACGGAGATCAAGAACCTAGACTCTTTCAAATTCAATCAAGATTTGGCAACTTTAGTTCTAAATTCAAATTGTTAATCTGATTTGCTAACTTAGGTTCATTATGGTTATTTGATTTCTACATATCATCTTAGTTATGTCGCTTAACCACTAGTTTTGGTGTGATGTATTTATGCAGCGTAATATAATGTTTATGTTCCTTTTGAGGAAAGAATATGATGGTTTCATTCTAAATAATACTGCAAAAACTAAAGAGTGTCAGCTTACGAAGAGATGATGCATTGAATTTTAACGGTTAATCATTAGATTTCATAATATCGATATTGATCATGTTACGTCTATATAAAACTGAGGTATGGGCCGTATGGCCAATAATAATAGGAAAATTATATAGCAAAGAAATTGAGAGTCAACATGTAACACGGAAATTAGTTTCATGAATGAAATATAATTGTCAACGATGGGTCAATCATTGAATTTGTTGGGTATATATACACATGTATTAACCTGTCTTGATAATTTATAAATCTTTCATGGATTTCTTTGTTATATAAATGTGTTATGCCATAAAGATACTATTTGGACAGATTCACAAAACACATGGCTAATTATCACTACATTATACGATAACAGAAAAATTGTAATTGAAAAAATAGAGTAAATCAAATCTGCATCATACAAATACAGCTCATATGAATTAGAGAATACGAAAAAAGAAAAAAAAAATGTGGGCGGCTTTTGATTTATGAATGTTATAGCTAGGGACAGATATGCAAAATCTTTAGTATTCCTTTTGTTTCATACCTTTCGTGAATTCTCCTCATCTCTCTGCCTAAATCACTTTTGTAATCTATTTTTTTTTTTTTTTTTATTATGTCTTCATTTGCAAAAGGAGCGTTAGATGAGTTTGACAAAAAATTACTTCTGCTTCTTATTGTGTTTTTGTGAACTCTCTTGTGTTTATGTTTTCTAGTTTCTACATTTGGCTTTCTCTAACTTCTATGGGCCTCTACTACACTATCCATTACGTTTTGGGGGGAAAAAAAACTGTGACATGTCACGTTAACAAAACGGATCGATCGATGTGCATGCACTATGGTCTATGCACGCACACAATGACACAATTACACAAACATCAACCAATGGAGAAATTCTTAATATCTTTACAGTTTATACTTTATAATATGAAAAAAAATACTTAGACCAGCTTTTGGAGATGGTTTCAGATTAATACGCAAATGGTCAAATGTATTAAAAACAATTAATTATATTTTCTCGACGAAATCATTGATTTATTCTGGGATATATTTTGGCGATCTTGATCATTATAAAACTTTTCTTTTCTGCTTTGAATATTTATCTGGAAGGACAGTTGGACCAACGAGACAGAATAAAAATCTTCTTTCTACATCAATTTATTTATAAACACGGGTTTATAGTTGAAAAAGTACACTTTTAAACACGCCCAACGCATTTCTTTGTCATATTTGTTATTCGTGTATAGAACTTTTTTATATATAAGATTCACTGAGTTTTTGTAGTGACGGTGGAGTTAAAACGTAGATATCAAAAGAAATTACGCTTGGGATAGTTAATCAGAACACTGACTTGCTTAAGTATATATTATGTTAATTAATCATTGGAATGTTTGATGTTGATATATAGCATCACCTCAGGAACAAATGACTAAACACAATCAGCAGAATTATTCAACCCCTCGCGTATAATGTTAATAATCAATCATAGAAATTGTTCCTTCGACGACAATTAACATTTAATATTGTAGTACATTTCAGGTTGGTACCACGTCTTGATAATTCTAAGTAATTGACGAAACCGAAAAATAGAAGTATTAACGGTAATTTTTTTACTTGAGATCACTGTTTACCAAGAGGCTTAAGTCTTAACTATTGTATTTGCATAATCAATTCATATATAAAGATTTTGAATTAATCGGGTGGAGAAACTAATATTAAGATTGATGAGATGTGAATATACATAAAATGATATCTAAATAAACTATTCTTTAATTTCGCCTTTGGTATATTTGGTGTGGAATCTTTATATGGCTTCATAGTTATACAAATGTTGGGGATAACCCAATCGTGCCGACTCAACTATTCCAGTTTTACATCTACATGTCTAAAGCTAAAAGGTTCAACAAGAAACAATTATTTTCGATGCAAAAATAGAAGGGCTTATTAGCTTTAAAGATATCAGAACATACAATAATTTTTTTTTTTAAAACATACAATATATTTTTTTTATGAAAAACATACAATATAGTGTAAGGCAAAGCATTATGCTTTTAATTTAAGTTAATTTTATTTTGAAATTTCACTTTTTCTAACGCGTTTTATAGTATTAATTACAAATGGAAGATTTGACCTAGGAAGTTTGAAAGGTTGAAATTTTACCCATGATTTCTAATGTTAGTCAACTTGAATTAAATAACTTTCCAGTTTTGAACTATTAGAAATTAGTAAAAATACAGAGAAATGGAACATAGCATAATATCAGCTTTGAGCCTTTGACACAGAATAAAAGGAAATACGCGTATGACTTGTTACGAAAAAAAAAAAACCATTTTTTTTGGTGTTGTTCATGTTAGGTAATTTTATTTAAGTAAAATCAATGAAATTTTCAATATAGACAAAGAGTCAAAGACTATAAGTAAAAAAACTGGAAATTTAGCATGATGATTTAGGAATAATATCTAGAGGTTTTAATTAGCATAATTTATTAGGATGTCTTTACATTAATAATTGATATTTTTTCCAAACCTTGTATAAAGTAGAGCTCATAGACCGCTATACAACCACACAAACAAGAAAAAAATAGTATATATAAAAAACACAACCCGTGACATAACTCAATATTCCAACCAACACAAAAAAATAAAAATGGCTGCCAAAGCCACAATCCAAATCTTCCCCGACGTCAATCATCTCCGATACTTCGCTCTCTTTTTTCTCCTCTCGTGCCACGTGGCATCCGGCGACGAAGGAACATGGGAACTTCTTTTACCAAACGTCGGGATCTCAGCAATGCACTCTCAGCTCCTTCACAACGACCGTGTCATAATGTACGACCGAACCAACTTCGGTCCTTCCAACATCTCTCTCCCTAACGGAGCCTGCCACAACAGCCCAGACGACCCAGTCTCGACAACCGACTGCACCGCGCACTCGGTTGAATACGACGTCGCTTTGAACCGTATCCGTCCCTTAACGGTCCAATCCAACACTTGGTGCTCCTCAGGCGGAGTCACTCCCGACGGAACTCTTCAACAAACAGGAGGTGATAAAGACGGAGAACGTAAAGTTAGACTTTTCGCTCCTTGCGACGACAATATTTGTGACTGGACAGAAGTCGATAACGGACTCGCTGCAAGAAGATGGTACGCTACAAACCATGTCCTCCCCGACGGTCGGCAGATCATAATCGGAGGTCGAGGTCAATTCAACTTCGAGTTTTTCCCCAAAACAAACGCTCCAAATCTCTACACTTTACCGTTTTTGTCCGAAACCAACGATCCTGACGAAAACAATCTTTACCCTTACGTTTTCCTAAACACCGATGGTAACTTGTTCATATTCGCTAACAACAGAGCGATATTGCTCGATTATTCCAGAAACACTGTCGTCAAAACGTATCCAGAGATCCCTGGAGGCGATCCAAGAAGCTACCCAAGCACTGGCTCGGCTGTTCTCTTACCAATCAGGAACCTTGTGTTAGAGGTTCTAGTGTGCGGAGGTGCACCAAAAGGATCGTACGACCTCTCTCAAAGGAGAAATACTTTTGTAAAAGCGCTTGACACGTGTGCAAGAATCAATATCAACGACGTGAATCCTCAATGGATCGTTGAAAAGATGCCGAGAGCTAGAGTTATGGGAGACATGATGCTTTTACCTGACGGAAATGTTCTGTTAATTAACGGTGGTGGTTCAGGGACAGCTGCTTGGGAGCTTGGTCGTGAACCGGTTTTTAATCCTGATATTTACCATCCCGATAAACCGGTCGGTTTAAGATTCGAAGCTCAAAACCCAAGCAAGATCCCTCGAATGTACCATTCTACCGCGACTTTGCTTCGTGACGGGAGAGTTCTTGTTGGAGGAAGCAACCCTCACGCGTTTTACAATTTCACCGGCGTTCTTTTCCCGACGGAGCTGAGGTTAGAGGCTTTTTCGCCGTCGTATTTGGATCCTAAGTACTCGAGTATTCGTCCTAGTATTGTGGATCCTAGGCCACAGTCAACGATCAACTACGGTAGAATCTTGAGGCTGAGGTATACTGTAACCGGAAGAGTGAAAAGTCCGGTTAAAGTGACGATGTTGTTTCCTTCGTTTACTACACATTCTTTCTCAATGCATCAAAGGCTTTTGGTTCTTGATCATGTCATTTCTTTTAGACTCGGGATTAGCAGGATTTATGAAGTTAGAGTTAGGACTCCAAGCTCTCCGATTCTTGCACCGCCCGGTTATTACATGGTTTTTGTGGTAAACCAAGATATACCGAGTGAAGGTGTTTGGGTACGTTTACAGTGAAAGTGATTCATTAACATTGATCATTCACTCATTATATGTGTTAATTGGCTGAAATTTTTATTCTAAAAATATTGTTGAAGACTATTTTATGTATTGATTTCGTAGAGTTGTTTGTTAGTATTCAATTATTAAAAGGAATCAGATACTTTGGTATTTCTCTAAGTCGGTGAAATTCATATTATTAGATACTTTACGAAATCTCCAATTTGTTTATTACGCGAGGACGTGGGCAAGAGAATGATGCTAAACTTATTTATTCCTTGCGGATTTTTGTGGGAATATCAAATAAAGAAGGAAAAAAAAGTGAATTTTTAAGTTGGAAAATCCAAAAAAGGAACGTCGTGTGTCGAAAGATTTGCGAGAGACCAGAATAAGAGAGACGACAGATTCTAAAAGACATAAACTACGTAGTGAGTTGCGTCATATGATCCAACGAAGATTCTTACTGTCTTGCACGTCTCACCACGTATGTCACTCTCTTGCGTAACTATTTCTACGCCATTTTTACACCCAATCACAAAACATTCAACTACTTAAGTTTATAGTAAAATTCATATCGGATCCAACTAAGTTTCTTACACCAATTTTCAGTGAATGTTGTGTATGAGAGGGAAAACAACAATCCAAATAGAGACAAAGAAGAAGTAATGGACCTAAGATTCAAAGAGATTTGGTTACATTCTTATTAGTAGTATGTAAAAAATAAATGTAAAGTAAGAGAACAAATTTACAAATGTCAAGTTCGAATCCTTGTGATTTTAATCATAGTTAGTTATTGTAGAAACTTTAAATGACATGAATTGCCGGTTTTGAGAATTGGTCTTGATTTCGGTTTCAAAATGTCTAGTTAAGTATATATAAGATAACATCATAATTGGTGATTCTAAAGACATCAAATCTTAAATACCTAAATCAATAGAGTAAGAAAATCGTTGTTGAAACAGTGAGTTAACAAAATGTGGATTCAAAACACAATGATCACCGCACCATCAATTCTAGCCCTGCAAGTGCGGTTATACGGTTCGGTTTAATCGATTTGGTTTGGAAATCAGTTAATTTGGTTATTGAGATTTTTACCGAAATTGTGGGAGGTTTTTAGCTAACATTCGGTTGGTTTGGTTAAATCGATTTTATATTCTGGATATGAATTGAAAAAAAAAAGATATTGGGCCAGACACTTTTTTATACAGCCCAAACACATAACTGGGCTATCTAATTGTTTAAAAAAAACGAAACTGGGCCACTGTTTTTTGTAAAAAAACAAAACTGGGCCAAACTTAAATCCATTTCAGACCTATACATAGACATCTACTTGTACGTATCTCCTTGTTTCAAAACAGAGGAAACTAAACAGAACAGAGAAGCGCGTTTGAGACAATGACGACGGCGGCGCATGGTAATATTATCGGTTCGGAATATAATTGCAGGGCTTATCAATTCGATACAAATAACAAGAGAGTAATGAAGGTTTAATATCATCAATAACCAATTAATCTCTCAAAGAAAATTTAAGAACATAATGTATTTTTGTTAAAAGCAGCAAAAACAATCCAAAAGAATAACACCAAAACCCTAATAGAATATTAATAGTTCATGATTGAATTCGATTCTAAGCACGCTCTCCACGAATCCTTCTTGCTAGTTGAACATCTTTAGGCATAATTGTAACCCTCTTTGCATGAATGGCACACAGATTCGTGTCTTCAAACAAACCCACCAAATATGCTTCAGCAGCTTCTTGAAGTGCTAACACAGCGTGGCTTTGGAATCTCAGATCCATCTACATTACAATGAAACAACAACTCAATCATAATTATAATAAAGATCAATCTTCTTCATCAAGTTAGGTTTTCGATAATCTTACCTTGAAATCTTGGGCGATTTCACGAACAAGACGTTGAAAGGGAAGTTTACGGATCAACAACTCTGTGCTCTTCTGGTATTTTCGAATCTCACTGATTCATCAACCAAACAAGAACCACCGAATGATTTCAGAAACAAAGATTTTGATTAGAAAGAGGAGAGATCGTGAAACTTACCGAAGAGCGACGGTTCCGGGACGGTAACGGTGAGGCTTCTTGACTCCTCCTGTAGTCGGCGCAGATTTCCTCGCCGCCTATGTTAGGATTACACAATCAATCAATATGAAACCCTAGATTTCTCAAATTCCGTTACAAACTCAAAACTAAAAACGAACAAACCTTGGTAGCGAGCTGTTTCCTTGGAGCCTTTCCTCCGTGTGATTTTCTCGCGGTTTGCTTCGTGCGAGCCATGGCTTCTTCAAGAATCTGAGAGCTTAGAACGATGAAGATTTGAATCCAGAGAGAAGAATCGCTAAAAGCTTTGAATGTTGTGTTTTAAGAAAAAAGTAAAACAGATTAGTGAATTTATAGTGACGAGGTGAATTGTTAGGTCGGTTAATTTTGGGAGATTAACGGGAGAGGAGTTGATAGACGTACGATTAAAGGCATGTTCGATCGACGGTCCATATTTGATTTGATAAGATTAAGCTTACGTGGCGATCTGCGCTTTCGTTTTCTATTGGTCCATATTTGATTTGACTAAGATTAAGCATACGTGGCGACCTCTTATTGGTCCATTTTGGTTTAGTTTAAGGTTGAATTTTCTTCTGGTTTGAACTTAACTCAACTTTTTTTAAGTAATGGTTTAAAAATGAGTAGGCTTATATGTGAGCCTACATTGATTATGGTTGGACTCTACAGTCCAGATAAAGTTGGGCCCAGAAGCCCATTATAGCAGCCAAGCCACAACATAAAACACCTCTGCAAGTTCCTCCCAAAATATTAAGAAACGTAGCAAACATATATCGTGACGCAGACATATTTGATATTGATATCATATAAAACAAATTAAGGACCCTCGAGATCTTCTTATAATCATTGATCATGTGATTGTTTAGATATTTTAAATTTGTTCAAGTTTTTGTTGTAAGCACAATATTGATTATTTATCGGTTAGACTTGCTATATATTTTATTAAAAATTATGATTTTGTATTTGCTAGTATTTGATTGAACTATAACTCCTACTTCCCAAGAACGATTCTTGATAGTGACGACCCAATCATTGACATATCTATTGTTTCACTTTGGTAAGTTTAGTTCAACTGTGCATTTAAACCTTGGCACGCATGACGAATGATTAGAATTAGCTGCAAATTAAGTACGAAGCTCTCGAAACTTTTGTATAGCAAGCATAATATAAGGTCGAATAGACTCTTAGGCGTTCTATAGACTATGACCGATGCCGAATCATTCTGAATGCGACTCTTTAACTAAGCTTATATCTTTGCAAAAATCACAATTTGATGTCTAGCGATTCTGCGAATGACCAAAATAGAAGGTACTCTATCAGTTCTTGAATCCAAATGATATTTTCTAAGTATTCGGCCATTATATTCCACACAACCACCCGTCGTGTATCTACTTGCAGTCATGTCATGTGCCTAACTGCCCCAAAAGCCAAGAATTAATGTATAATCATCATTACCAATCTCTTGGTATGATTTAAAAAAAATTATTGCGTTACGACTCCAAACCAACGTGTACCATGCAATCACCTCTCTATGACTTTGACTTGATGAATCTCTCTCTCTTTGAAATTTTTAGAACTTCTCTAACTTAATTGCGAGAAAAATGATAGAAGTTCGTTCTTTGTTTTTTTTTGTTTTAGTGATGGCTTTAGTTTATGAACATTGTTATTTCTCAATAATATTGAATGATCATATATTCTCTGCGAATGCAGATGCTCTCAATCCAATGATTAGTTACTGCTGTTTATATCAAGCGGTTCAAAAACTCACAGCCATATACGTCCATACCAAATATTAATATATTCTTTTTACAATTTAATGTTATTATAAATGCTTTGACAATGAAGGTTATTGTGAATATATATATAGAATAAGGTTCAACGACTACTTGTGTGATTCATGTGGTATATCGGTGGTGTCATTGAATTCCACAGTCCCAATCATATGAGATACATTCATACATATTTAATTTCGTCTACAACAACGATTCGATAAACTTCTGACCCAATCATATAATAATAAGAATAGAGAAATTTTGCAGTAGATGATATGGAGCTGAAAAGATGACTAAATGCATGGCTTTTTATGGGCACTCTCTTACTGTACGGATTTCTCGGAACTCTTCACTATCTTTTCCCTTCTTGATAAAAGCTTTCAATTTCACTTATACACTTTTAAATAAAAGTTGCGAGTGTTGTGACACTGACATGTTTACACAATGATATAAACGAAAAAAGGGAGGATATTAAATTAAATAAGGGATAATGAGAGACTTGATTATTAGTGGATAATAAAATGTATTGTTTCAAATAAAGCGTCCAAATTATTTTTAGTCAAACAATTTAATGAGCTGGTCTATGGACTGGCTTAACATTGACGTACTAGTTTACTCAATGTAAGGACTAATCATTTCCCAATATAAATTGATGCTAATTATTATACATTTACTTTAGTGTCGTTAACTAATCAAGGTCCATTTTCGTTACTAAAATTCTTAATGCTTGAAAGTCCGAAATTAGGACTAAGTTATTCGCCCTCATACGTCACTGCGTACTTATTCCTTCGCTCCATAACAAATATCAATTCTACCAAAACCAGTTTTATATGATTAAGTCTCATCGTATAATTGCAATGCAAGGCTGTGTCCTTTGCTTTTCTCTTTTAACTTAATTTAAATTATCTCATAGCTTTTTGCCTCTTTTGTTTTCATTCTACACAACCCATGAGGTAACCAAATCTAGTGTTATACAAATTTTTTATATAATCATACAGAGTTATAAAATATCATTTGCCAAAACCTTCTTGATTTTATTATTAGTACCCACAGATTATCTATGAAAAGTTGGACTACCGTTTCCAATATTGGCATAATAAATATAAAGATCACATTAGAAGATACATATATATATATATATATATATATATATATATGTATATATCTATATATATATTTGTCTGAGACCATGGTTAGTTTTAATTACGAACTAGAATGAGATTTTAAAGTTTCACCGGAGGGATTTGAGTATGATATATGCTGTCGATGGCCGATGGGTATAAAAATTTTGTGCCGTCACTTCTGTTATCAATAGACGATCCTGGATTTACAATACCAAAAAAATGAAAACTTTTTATTTCTAATTAATTTATATATAGTAGTATACATATACATATTATGAAATTAGTTATGTAGATCTAAAAAGTTCCAAATCTAGACTCATCGATCGATTAGTGAGTTTGTATTTTAAAAAAGAGTTTTCACTGTGCAAAAAAAAAAAAGAAAAGAGTTTTCACTAATTGTACAAATTTGTTTTGTTGGAGCCATGAACAGAAACAAAACATTAATCCGAATTTGAATTATAAATATCTATGATTTGTATTAATAAACAAAATAGAAAGGGAGATAGAGACGTGGCTAAATTTGATTAGGTGTTAGAGATGCCGAAAGACGTTTGCCTAAATAAATCCAAAGCATAATCCTGATTAGCATATCTTAATGTTTTTATTAAGCTAAACAATGCATGTGCACTTTTATGTCTTCACTCTTCTTCAGACATATAATAAAGCACTGATTATAACTTACATTTAATTAATTCGACATAAAGATTAAAGTACCATCTATGATGAAAAATTGAAAATAACTAAAAACTTAAGATTCCAGATAGGCTTTTATAAAGTACAATAGCAAACTATTAAGCGAACTTATGTTTTTGTGTTTTACGCGTCATGATACCATAGTTTTTCTGTTTATAAACAGTTTCACTTTCTTTTAAAAGAAATGTGAGTGGAGAATGACAAATTTCACTCCGAAAAAAGCTAGATTTACTTAATTTTAAGAAACATTGAGCAAACCAAACTTTAATCAGGTTCATCCCTTCTGATTGTGGCTAATGACTGCCTAATACGTAAAATAAACTAAACAAATGACGGAATGTTCCGTGGGTCCGTACCGTTCACTGTCCACAACGGAGAGCCGTCACTTTTTTTTCTTTTTTTCTGGTAACACAACCTTTGGACTGAGAAAGAGGGTCACAAGTCGGTCAACGGGATTTATAAATTGTTTGACCACTCTTACTGACTTAGCTGGCACGCCACGTCATCTTCTGACGTTGACATGTCATCGTTAAACACACTTAGAGGGTCCACATCGACATATTTAGAATAATTACATCATTTATGTATTTGTAATTAACAATTATTGAATAATTTATAAATGAAACATATTGATGTACTCAAAATTCAACCAAAAAAACATATAATGAATCGATTTTTTCTTAGTAAATGATCAGAGATTTATAAGGATATTGTTGCTTCAACAAATGACATTATACAAAGATTTTTATTTGATGTGATTTGTGTCCTAGTGAATACAAATTAAGCGTTTAACTTATTGTTTGATCCCATATAATATACTTATTTCCTCAAATTGTGCGTGCATGTTAATGCAATTTGGTGCATGGAGGCAGAAAGAGACAATCCATTGCCGATTCATAGCATACGATCAACTCTTGTAATTATATATTTATGGAGAAAAAATTAATAATTGAGTTGGATTCATTATAACCAATAATAAAACTAAAATTCTGCAGAAGCATTAATGAAGATTTGCTTAGGAAGATAAAATTAAATGAGAAGATCCTTAAAACGCAACAAGTGGGGTGACAACGTAACGTCGCATGGGGGGGATGCATCCATAACATGCATTTGGACCCACCTTTGTTTATTTCAATTTTTGAATTCAATATGTATTTCAATTTAAACTATTATTTCAGCATGAAACATATATGTATATGAGTATTCGACTTAAATAATATGATAAGTGAATATATCACAAGGTTATTATCATGCCACATGCGGAAAATGTGATATGTAGGAGTGATAGGAACTCGCGGTGTGGACAGTGGATCGTTGATCACCGATTTTATATTTCTTTTGTAGTTCAACAATTTAATTAAGGTGATGAAAGAAATTTCTTACAGTAGTCAAATAATCTAATTGCATTTTTTTTTGGTACCACAATGCAATAAGTTAATAGTATACTTACAATTACAAAATATACTGTGTAATAAAAACATAGTTTATAGGAAGATTTTGCCGGCAGTCTTTTTTAGTAGACATAATCTGAAAATTCTAAGGATAAGAGTAATGAGTACATCAGATTAGACCGACAGTAGCAATGCTGATAGTAATTAATCATGCATTTTATCACATGAAAATGTACGATACATAGATAAATGTGTATTAGATTTACATATTTGCATTAGAAAATGGAAAATCTGTTGGCTGCTTATTGCTAAGAAATTTTCGATAAAAATAAATGGAGATGGGGACATTCGCGCACATGGAGGCATGGACACATTTGTAAACTACAAAAATAAGTGTGTTTTGGTGTGGTACGCCGTATTACAGTATTAGTTCTTTCGCATAAAAACACTTGATTAAAGAAAATTAAAATTAATTTTCTCAGTGAATAAAAAGCATCTTCAGTTAATCTTAACTGGTTCTGGTGAGAGAACCTTTGTACTATAGTCTATAGGTTTATAGTATTAAATCAAATATACAATTTTAAATAACATTGTTAAATTACAATTTCTTACAACTTTTCCCAGCTACCCATGTGGTGGGTTTAATCTATTGTTGTTTAACATAAATTCTCCCACTTCCGTGCGCCGAAATTGATTTATTCGAAAACGACAAAGTTTAGTAGTATTAATACTGTATTTTTATGTTTATTATACACATTTAAAAAGTTATTGACTCTCATGCTGCCGCTTGTGGCTAATGGCCTTTGGTTGTACGAGCACGAACTATCTTGAAGCATTTACATAATTTATTGTTAAAAGCACTTTAATCCTTTTCTTTAATCCAAAACCAAAAGCAATACAACCTGTTCGGTTTTGTTCGGTTAATTAATGCTTTAGTTGTAATCAACTCACGCCATACTCATAATTTCGAATACCTGTAACCCTAATTTCTAAGATGAAACACCGTGTTCTAAATCCTTGTTAGCTTGATTTATTAGATTTTACCTCATATCACATTACTAAGATTTGACTCACAAAAACGATTGTGTAGATGATTTTCTTTTCGGTCTAATAACTAGTCTACCTTCATTTCATAGTGTATCTTTTTTTATATATAAATAAAAACCTTCATTCCATAGTTTTGTAATGTTATTTTCAAGTTGCAAACTATCGCTATTGATTTAAAGCAAAATCAATTGTTATTGATTGTTTGGTCGCAGATAAATACATTTTACAAAAATACCTACTAAATATGAGCTATTCGAAGAAGATCATCTTTGGTATAATGATTGATATAGAAAAGTGTCGTTTTAACAGTTATGAGTTTTTGGCAAATAATAACAGTTATGTTTGCTGTTGAAATTTTTGATAGCTTTCATATGCCGTAGATTTATTTATCCATCTATAGATCTAATTTTCAGTGATAGACTTGCCAGCAACAAATCTGCTTGGAGAACTGTCTAAGCTTACACCAAAATTTGAACTTCATAACATCTTTTACGTGCATATTAGTATATGTAATACTTTTGCATATTAGTATATGTAAAACTTTCTTAATATTTTAGTTCTAATCTACTTACAAAAACAAAAAAAAATACTCAACCATACAATCTAATTACAATGGTTAGAAAGTATAAAATAGAAAGAAATAAAACTAAACCAGACCATTTTGTTAAGAAATGTGGCTTTAATTTTTTTTTTTTTTTTTTTTGGACAAAGAAATGTGGCTTTAATTATGATAACTTTTTTTCAACTAGTATTTTTTCTAGCTTTTTTTTTTCCTCTTTAACATTTTTGGATACTTAAATTTTATAACATTCCGAATAAATCTGAATATAATAATGTACCTTAGATCTGCTCTCACCTTAACTTATAACTAGATTCGGACCCGCACATACGTGCGGGGTTATATTAGTAATTTTTTTTTGGATATGAACTCATATCAGTTCGATATTGAGTTTGATTTTACCTATCTTTTGGACTAAAAATAAATGTATACAGGGAGAGATTAAGTTAGTGAGAAAAATTAGGTTTACCTATTCCGAATTTTTTAAATATGTAATTAGTGTATTTATTAATTATTAAAATTATTAATTTAATTTGAAAAGATTACTCTCCATAATTTCGAATTTTAAATTAATTATTTTCTGATAATTAAAAAATATTATGTTAATAACTACGCTGGTGATTTAGGAAATATTTTTTAAACATAAGAATAAAATCTCTGCAGATTTTGGCTTTAAAAATCCGGTATGGATTTTGCACAACTATAGGAACTGATTTTATTACGAATTTATCCATAAAAACTATTTTAATGAATTATCACAATTATAAATTTATAACAATTATGATTGTGTAAATCTAATTAATGTTTGTTTTCAAAATAGAAAATATTTGAATAAAAGAAAAATGTTTAGCATATTCGTGTGGATCAAGATATTCTCATTTTTATATATTATATTTTTAAAATTTATTAGTTAATATTATTTTGGAAAATTGAATAAATTCCCATGAATTAAAATGTATTAATATGAGTTCTCCATATTTGTTGGAAACAAATCTTTGCCAGCTCTTCGAAATTAAAATATCACTTTGTTCTCCATATTTGTTGGAAACAAATAATTTTAAAAAATAGTTAATTAAATATATTATCAAAATAAATAAGTTTAAATATATATAGTTTCGAATTAAATAGCTTGATTTGTTATGGAATCTTCTTTAAACAATTTCCAAAAATATAGGGTAGTTATTAAGTTATTGATTTAATTTCAGATTTTTTTTAATCCAAGATCCGCGTGTTTATCCGACTATACCAACGGGTCAACCCAAGATCCGCTGGTCTTTTATGATCAAATTGTCTCAATTATCCTTTTTTGACCTTTTTTTTTCCTTCTTCAAATTTAAAAAAACCAATGACATCCTATGTAATATTCTACAACTTAAAGGTCTTTTATTATTTAGTGATTCCCAATTAATAGTATAGATTAAATGTACTATTGATTTTAAAGTTAGAAAAATATACTATTGATTTGTTGTCCAAATTTTTTTTTCCATTAATGATTTTATTGTGGTTTCATGTGGTACATATGATCGACGATCATTGATCATTTGATTTAATTTGGATAATTTAGTACGTCTCTCTTGGATAATATATATGTAGTTTGTATATAAGAATTAATTATTAATAAGAAATTAATTCACTTAATCTATAAAGACAATATATAAAATAGGTTTATGAAACAATCCAATAAGCTCCTAATTTTGATATCACATTTTGAATCATTATACTTAGCTTCTTTGATGAATATTTCGAAAGAAGTAATAATTAGTTGAATATATGCGTCCACGTGTGGTAGATATGAACCACTTAGCTATGTGAATGTGAGACCAATACATAGAATCTCATCAGGTTAGTTGCTTTTAAGTTTTAACTTATGAACACTTTGACTATAACGATAGAAGAACATGACTATAATAAAGAGAGAAAGTGCCACTAAATATGTTCCTAATCAAAATCCAAGGTGATGTTTGAAGTCTTTTCCAAAGACTGGTCATCTTATCCAACACTAGCACATGCTCTAATTTCCCTACCATTTCTTTAAAATTCAAAAGCGACACTTCTTTATTCAAATTAATAGTAATCAATCCTTTATATATTATCTCCAATGACTATTTTTATTTTTGTTTCCATAATCGATAGATTCATGAGCATAATCATTACATATATGAATCATAATCAACCACTAATTAATATTCACCATGTCTAATCCGTCATCTCTTATATCAAACCTTTGTGCACCATCCAATGTATATATGATAATATGAAGAAGAAAAAAACATACTAAATTCTTTGATGCTCCTCTTAATGATCATATGATTGGTATCTAATCTCTCTTCGAACAAAATTGACTAAAATTAATTCCCTGAATAATAAACAATCTACCAATCACACTAATCTTTATTTCATTAAGGAAAAGTATAGAACCAAATTAAGGAGGTAATTTCGTAAATATCTCGAAAACCAGTGGCATTGTCAGATACCCTTTACTATATAAACCTCGTCCCTCCCAAACTCTCAAAATCCCTCTGACATTTTCTTTGTCTCACTAATTAAGACTACAAAGCAAATCAAATCACTAAACCGGAAAAAATGGCTGGAGGTCTCGGAAAATGCAGCAAGATCCGTCACATTGTGAGGCTGAGACAGATGCTCCGACGGTGGCGCGATCAAGCGAGGATGTCTTCTTCTTTCAGCCGTCGAGTACCGTCGGATGTACCGTCAGGACACGTGGCGGTCTACGTAGGAAGCAGTTGCAGGAGATTTGTGGTGCGCGCGACGTATCTGAACCATCCTGTCCTAAGGAATCTTCTGGTTCAAGCTGAGGAAGAGTTCGGTTTCGTTAACCAAGGACCGTTGGTTATCCCTTGTGAAGAATCGGTTTTCGAGGAATCGATTCGGTTTATCTCCCGGTCTGATTCGACTCGGTCAAGACGGTTTACTTGTCCCGATGATTTTCAGAAGAACCGCCACGTGGTGGGAATCAGAAGCAAGATAGACCTATGGATCGAATCTCGACCGTTACTTCACGGCGTCACTGAAAAAGCCGTTTGGTGATGATGTCACTTGACGGCGTTCGTACGTACAGAGTAAATAGACAATAAAATGAGAGAGCCGATTCTGACTCAGTTTGACTCGGAACGAGTTTAAGAGCCGAAAATGTTGTTGGAGACAATTTTGCGGCACTCGGATTCTTTTTTCTCTATTTATTTATTGGTGAGGCGGCGAGTTTTATTGGTGGTGGCTCGGAGATGGCCTTGAAAGGTGGGTGAGTCATTCTACCGAGTCGTCCCGGTTTCGAATCCAAGTTCAAGGACGTAGTATGGAAAATAATGTGATTTAAATTGGTTGTAAATTCTGCAATTTCCATTTAAAATTGTAGAAATCATTATTGTTTGAGAAATTTCAATATACTAACAATCAACGTGTATATTCCATTGCATTGGTAATGAACATTAATCTTATTTTTTAAAAGAGATGGAGCAAAAGAAAAAAAGAATTTGAGATCATAATTTTTAACCTCACTTTAATATGTTTAAAAAAAAAAAAGGGTTTAACTTCATTTTATATGTTACTATTTATGATTGTTATAATCAGTTCGTACGATTAATTAGTTTAAAGAGTATTTAAAACTCCTTAAAATTGTGGACATCGAATCTTTACAATAGTAATAAAATACTGTTTTCTACATTTAAATATAAAAATGATTATTTGTTTTTAGTTTATATTCATTTGTTGATGATTTACCCAAGAGTTAATGTAATTCTAACTCATGTTAATTTTCTTAAGTTTATATAGCTTTAATAACTCATACACGTACTGTAGAGAAGTTTAAATTTATTTTCCTAATTAATTACTGTGATTTTAAATTCTATAACTTTCTCAACTATAAAATTTACTTCTTCTTTTGTTTCAATTATTTACTTCTTCGGCGAAAGTTGTTTAAAATTGGACCGTAGTGATTGGAAACAAAGAAAAAAGAGGAAAAAATCCGACCAGGTCATGTGAAGGAAAAGACTATCATCAGTAATAGCCACTTTGCTCTGTTTTCATTCTCAACAAAGCTTTTCTGTCTTCACGTTCTTCGAACAGTACAATTTACGGTACATTATGTCATCATATTAGTGTTTTATCTATTTTATTGTAATTTAGTTTTAGAATGTTCAGAAAGCCTAGATTTTTCCTAACTAGATAGTTTAGATTTATTGTCTGATTCATTATCTGCCCCCACTAGTTTATATGGAAGATAATTTGGGTAGATTTATCAGAAAACGTCGAAACAATGAACCTATTTTTTTGCTAAGTGAAACAATGAACCTATGAAAGTCTTATGTACTATATAATATATTGATTGAGTTAAAGCCTTAAAGGAAAAGTATTTCTTGGAAGGAGAAGAAATTGGATACCATCTTATTTCATTTTAGCTTACGGATTATGATAAACAATGTGAATTTCTATGATGTACCCAATGTTGATATTACATAATTGACATGATCCCTTTTCTCTTGCATCCACAGACATATGACATCTTGAACATGCTATGTACTTCATATACTAACCTCATATAATACTTCAACTAATAAGAATACATTAAGGACCAACATATGCGGAAACGGAAACTACTCGATTTAGCTATGATGAATGAATGACTTTTGGCCGAAATTGGACAAATGTGATAAATATAATTTGACAAGGAAGTCTCTAAATGGTTAAAAGAACAATGTCGGGTGAAGATAGTTGTAGCCAGGAAGGAGATCATTAACGAAGAAGATATATACATGTCCTTTTGGTACAACAATTATTTAGCATTAAAATGATTAGAGTCTTGAACGGAATAAGGAGATGAGAATCTTTCGAATGGACAGCGAAAAGAGGCCCAATGACAAACATTGTTTGACTTACATTTGTACCCTTGTCTTTTGGTCATTTTACGCTCTGCTACCTTCACACCCCTTCGTGCATGGCTAATCATCAAGCCAATAGTAACTTCCAATAATTCATGACATGCACGAGACATAATGATAGACAAACAGAAAAATAAGCAGAGAAAATTTGGAATTAAAGAAATCAAATGGAGACGAAAAGTAAAATATAACGAGCGGAATGTTGATTAAAACCTGTTAAAAAGGAACGTTATCACTAACACTTCATGTTCGATACTTTAGGTTCTTGCCTCTTGGTTCATTTGGATTACTCAAACTGTAAAATATCTTCTTTTTGTATTTAAGGAATAACCATCTATTCAATACTTTCAATTTTTACTTCAAAACCAGTTAACAGTCACAGAGACCCCAAAAAAAACACCAATATACCACTGCCTAGCTACTTTTTGTTGACTTTGGTGATATTTTGTAGACTGGAATGTTACGGCCCAAGTCCATTGAGAGAAGACACATCCACTCGGCCTTAACCAATCATTACGAGCCACCTGACCAATCGACACCCGAACTCCTTGCAAAGAGGCCCATTCTGATGATATAAATCTTTAATCGTATAAATAGAGTCAATGATCAGTCATTTAGATTTAAAGTAGAGCTATAAAACAGGTTAAAAATCAATTATAATGAAAAAGAAGGTTTATATTTATGCATGTATAAATTCTTTGCCTATAATAATGCTTTAACCAAATAGAAATTATCGCCTAATATTGTATCTGATTTTTGCCATAAAGGTAAATTAGCTTTATTATTGTCGCATAAAGTCAAATTTACAGTTGATGTAGTTGTAATTAATATCGCATCAAAGCAACTTAATTAGAAAGAATAATAAGAATTCAAAATATGACTCGCTCGTCGTAGTCGCAATGATGTAAAAAAACAAGTGATAAATCTTGTACGTTCTTTTTCTTTCTTTTAAAAATTGTGTATGATATGCTAATTAGTGGATATGTAGCACTTTCGGACATGGTGGGATTGTGATCTCTTTACCGACCCATTCTCATTCAATATTAGGCATTAGTGCATTACCATATATTTCTCTTTAGCCTTTTTACACTACGCTCACAAAGACAATGACCAGGGAAAAAGACATCTCTTAATTATTAAAGTCGGTCCATAAGAAAAAGGAGAATAACTATAGCAAATTATTCAAAAGACAATATATACACATCTTCAACAACTAATCCGTACTAAACCTTTTACCAAACAAAACACTTAATCCGTACGGTAATAAATAGACCTAAGAAATCGATATATCATCACATACTATCACTTTGCGTATAATGCGGAATAACATTTAATTGACTGAAATGAAATATACGGAAATAACCAAAAGAAAACATTGCATAAAACATAAACCACGATGACATCTCCATGTGTAGTTGAGCTAAAAAAATCATTGAACTCATCGAAGTCTCCCAACCGATACAGTGATATCTATGATTGATAATTGTTGGTGAAAATACTTCTTCACCTCTGATTTAGATATAACGTTTTCCATACAAGATAAATTAATTTCTTTAGAATGAACGTTAGATCAAAATTTAAAATTCAACTATAAAACTAATTAGACGTATAGTATTTTGTTATATGCTAATATTGTCGGTGTGTACATGAATTCAAACCGTCTATTATATGTTGTTGGAACTAAAAAAATCAAATCAAACAGTCTGATTAGATTTAATTTCAGTGGTCCAATGAGTTTAAGAAATAATTAATTACGTAAATCGGAAAAAAGTCCATCCGTCCGTTAGGTACCGTACGGTAAGGTAAAGGGCTATTTTAGTCAAATCAAAATTTTGGGAGTGCAAATTACACGATATTCGTGAATCTTATCGTGATCTTCAAGCCCATGATACAGTCGAGTTTTAATGGAATTATATCTAAGCCGTCCAAATAATTGAAGTGGCTCCATCACCTACCACTCTTGTGTTCTAGACGATTATTAACCCATCAGAATCTTGTAAGGCTTCTCAACTATACGAGATTTCTTAAGCTTGTGGGTCACATTCGCATGTGCTTATCTTTCTCTGACGTTGATTTTGACATCTCCAAATGTTTATTTTTCTATTTTCCATATCAATTTTATTTTAGTTTACTGCAGAGTGGGACGAATTATCAAAGCAAAACATATATAAACTTTACACATTCTATGCCTTAAGTATATACTTTCTCACGATTTGTTAGACATTTGTAAAAAGGTGTGTATGGTTTTATATAGAAACCAAACTAAATGCTATATTAATTAAGCGGTTGAACATCAACATCTAGGGTTAGCTCATATGGAGTTATGGGTTATATAGCTTTTAATTTTGCTTTTGTCTATAAATGTAGGTGTAATGAAAATTAATAAACCCTGAATTGTATACTATTTATCAGAAAAGTATTGTAGCAGTTACGACTTTTTTTACAAGCTAACGTAGGGTCTATAGTTGTTTAACTTAATACAGAAACATGTATGCGTTTTCAAAATGATGATTCCAAATTCGTTTATTAATTTCATAATAAAATATCTAGCTTACCTTCTAATCTCGTAATTATTACAAACAGTTAACGGTTTTACAAATCTCAACATATCAGAGAACCCTATATATATAGTTATATACTGTAACGATTCTGCAACTAACTTTCCTTCCATATTTTATTTTTTGGGTCATTTCAACAGTTTTAACGGCTAAAAACCGCCGATTTAGAAAGAGACACCAACACGAATACACGATCGTTGATTTAGAAATAGAGAGAGAAAAATAAAGAGACACACTCGGAGATTTTACAAATTTAAAAGATGAGAAAATATTGAAACATATATTAGCAAATTTGGAGAGAGAGAGAGAGACAAAACTCTAGAAAGTAACGACCGTGTGTTATTGCTCTGTTTTCATTTTTCAAGGACTATAGTACTTTGCTTTTTCAAACTATCTCAGCGATGAGATTTTTTAATTTTTAAGTAAAAAAAAAAGCAGCTTTTACCCTTTTTACTAGCCTTGCCATTTAACATAACTTTTCTTGGGAATTTGTTTACTTTACACATATTGACTGCACGCAGAGAAATTTGACTAGGTCCGCGAGACTAAAATTCAATTATCACATGCACCCAACAAATCACTAATTATGCAAAAGAAAATCACATTAAGTAAAAAAAATCAAAGTCTCATTCATCAAATATTAAAAAGTCTCTCACAGGGTACACATTACCACACACCACCATGAGAGTAAATCAGAGAAGATAACCAAAAATAGTAATCATTCTCATTTAGGTTTTTCTCTAAGGGTTAGTCTCACTCTAATACAACTACTAAACCCATACTAACCAAAACATTAAACAAAAAAAAAAACAGAGAAGCATTTACTCAGCAGCTTCCTCTGTTCTGTTCCCCTAAAACATCTCAAATCTCCAAAATATATAACTAAAATTTTTAAAACCCTGATAAGATATGTTCATCGGAGCATGGAGGTGAGAGATCGGAAAACGACTTCTTCACAAGGGATAGTGAGACCCATGTCATGATCAAAGCCAAACTCTTCCTCAGCTTGTTGGAGAAGAAGCTGAAACTCAGGTCGGGTCAAAAACGAAATGGGCACAACGTACCTGACCCGATTCTCTCCCACATAGACGACGAAGTGACCTTTGGGTACGTTAAGAGGAGATCCGTTTTCGTCTTCACTGTATACATTACTCTGTTTCTTTCCCAAGCTCGAGCATCTCTTCAAGATTTGCTTGATCATCGCCGTTTGCGTTAGCTTGTTTGCTTTTTTCATCGCCATTCTCTTCAAAAGGATTTTTGTTGTGTGTGGTTTGAGTTTTCAAGATATTTCTTTTTTTTGTTATTTTTCACAATGAAAGGTGAGTGTGAATTAGAGTGAGGGAGGAGGGTTCATGGACATATGGTTGAGGGTATTTATTAAGGACTAGAGCGAGTGGATTTTTTTTTTTTTTTTAATGATTATACGGAGTAATGAAAAATGTACATATACGAATTTATTCACAACCACAACATGTGTATAGAGAGAGAGAGGGAGATGGTAATATCGAGGCGTTGAGGAGATTATGATGTGTTTGTTGTCTTGAATATGAATTTGCGTGTTTGCTACGGGTAGCCATTTGTTGTGTATTTAGATGATACAAATATTAATTTGTTGCAGAATTGATAGAATGTAGAAACTCGAAAGCGACCGCTTGGGTCATCTGGTTTGGCTCCAAGAGAGAATCGGTTGAATTAAATTTTCTTATACAAACGGAAAAAATGGAGGTGTAATTTTGGATTTAATATCGATATTAACCGGTTCCAAAAATGTGAAAGGTATTTTCAAAGCATGTGAAGATGTGGGGTCCTAATTTGAGATGAGTATGTGTGGAATTTGTTAGTCGGACGGTTTGATGCATATTGATTTTTTTTTTTTGACATCAATACATAGTATTGATCTTACTTTCACTTCTTCTTTTTGTGGTTGGAATATATTTGAATATCTATGTAATAACTACTGATTTTTTTTTGGTTCATGCATGCTCGCCAATTATGTTAATTAATTAGGGTTACAATCTCATCTTTCGAGGTTGATTAGGGTTTTATTCGAATCAGTTGTATAGTTCTTTAAATTGGTATTTTTATTTTAAATTAAAATAATTGGTAATATTTTATCTATTATTGTCTCCACTTTATGGTTATCTTGACACATTCTCCCATTTACTTGTCCCAATTTTCTAACATCGAGCGTAGGGCTTAAATATATCCAAGCTGTTATTGAATTATTAACAAGCAAAGCTCACATGTACGAAACACTCAACGTGTTACTTCATGCACGTTGCCATACGGTAAGATAGAAAATTCAATAGTTGAAATAGAAAATTCATGATTTCATCATCCATATTATATGCGAAACATAAAAAAAAAAATTGTATTGATTATTTAATTTATTAATACACTATATCAAAGATATATTGCATTACATCATTTTCATGATGTTTTTATCACCAAAGTTGTTGGACTTTTTGTCCACAATTTTGTTGGTTCAGAAACAGTATATGCAAGATAATTAATTCCCTCCCTATCATCTTTTCCATTATGTTAATCTCTATATAAACTTCTATAAATTTTCTTCAAAGTAAAGTACAGAAAAGTACCACGATCTTGGTTATTGAACCCGTGAATCTAGAAGAATAAAATAAAAGACATCAAAGCTGAACTTCACAAGGATAAAAGGAGCGTTGTTGTACCCAATGACCCAGTAGTGAGTTTTCCTAATATTTATATATGTAGATAGAGAGAGAAAGAAAATTAGTATATATATATATATATATATATTTTTTTTTTTTTTAATAAAAACACAATGATAATTCTGAAATGTTAACGTAACACGTATAACCGAACTTCTGTCCACTTGTGAAACCATATAGTCATATACAGTGAATCTTTATAATATAATTGAAATGCGTCAAAAAAAAAAAAAAAAACAAAGAAGCAGAGGGAGGGGGTCGATGTTTCGGACCACAAACCAAAACCAAGAAAATTGTCGCAAGTCGTAACCAAGCGGGGACTCTCCAACTGTCTCAACTGACTCACATGCTCTCGTAATAGTACTTCATGCGTTCTCAACTTCTATAATTAACTTTTCCATACAATCTATGTTTTAATTTATATAACCTTCTTTCAATTTCAAGGATCAGTTTCAATTTTACAATGTTCCATTAATTTTTGGAGATGGTTGCAACTTGCATATAATACTTATATTACTGTACCAATGCATATATTTACTACTCATCCAAAGTCAAGCTTAAGTGCTAAACTGAATGTTGATATGTTTTCAAAATCAAATATTAATATATCATATCAGATTAAAATAAAAATATATTCCAACACATTAAGTAGTCACGTTCCCATCTTTGTGAGTTGGTATCGTACGTGGTCCATTTCTTTAAAAAAGTTGTCAATTTTTTGGTTTTAAAGTTAAAAGTTACTATAACATTTAAATCAGCAATATGTGCAACTGAAAGTTAAATAAATTATATAACAAGATAAATTTTAAACTTTTTTGATATAATTAAATAGCTCCAAGTTGCATGAGTAGCCTACCAAAATTAAATTGGCAAATTAACTTCCTGCGTTCAACTATCCCAGAGAGGCTATTATATTCGCTCACATGGTTTTCTTGTATTCTCTGCATCCATAATAGCACCCCGAAGCAATCCGTCAAGATTAATTGGAAAACCATGCAAGAAAAAAAAATGTTGCTACATACAATTTTTTTTTAAAAAGATGATAAATTCGTATGCATATAAAGTCATTTATTACAAAACAATGTAGACAAAACAGTGGAAGCTGTGACGGGTTTGTTGTTTGTACAATAACAACGAGCCTGATTGATGAATAGTAACAAAATCGGAATCGTGTGGATGAGGCTTAAACAAGGACATTTCCCTTATAAATTGGGAGATAAGGACTTAAAGGTGTCTCGTTCGTACAATGACAGTACTCGAACCGGTTACGGCTTCTCGTATTTAATATCTGCAATTAATCAAACAAATGCACATGCAGGCCGTATATTTTTCTTGGCTTTTTTTGTATGTATGTATTTCGTCTTATTCTTTAAATCCATTTCACCGGCATGCCTATAGATTTTTTATAAGCACGACAAATTTATCTCTTTGAAATGTAAACAGTATCCAAAAAACGATGGTTGAAAGAAACTCACCAGCTTATCATCTTAGTTTTTTTAGTAGATAGTTTCTTTAAATTTTAAGATATATATTTGTATAGTGATATCTACAAATATATAGGATTTTACATACTATACACTATTTTGTTTTTCTTTTAAAAATGTTAATGGTACAATTATACGGTTGAAATAAAATGATTGCATATTCGACATGGATTGCATACTATATAATACACTATATATATTGTTAAGTTTTTTTTTGTTTTGCATAAAAATATCCGTATAACTTCCATGCAAAAAAGCACGTATATGTCTACAATGCTACATGTTGACATGTTGTTCAGCTAATATACGACATTTTTAAAAACATTGAGATAACTTCATGTTATGTATTAACATGTCATTTGTCAATGTATTTTTTAAAAATGCATTGAAACGGGGAGATGACGGAATAAGGTTCCTAACGAACTACGAATCTCCTCCTCTTTAGAATGTAACCAAACTCACATGTTCCATCAACGAGATTGTCACATGAAAACTGAAACTTATTGTTTTGCTTCCAGTTTTTGTAGAAACTATACTAATTTCGATGGGTCCCTCAACGGCGGAGTAGTGGGTAGTATAGACAGAATTACATAAAGGACCATCAATGTTTATTTTCATGCGAATTTACAAGACACAACTACCGTTTAATCATTTTTAGCTAATTAATGTCCTATTTTTGCTGTTTTCTTTTAACTATATAAAATGCAACATGGTGTACTAAATACAAAATTATCTTTTTTTTTGGTAGGCAAATACAAAATTATCAAAAAAATACAAAAAAAAAAAAAAAAAAAAAAAAACAAAATTATCTTATAAGAAGAAAATTGATTTAAAAATAAATAAAATAAACAATTTTCTGCCTAACGTATACATAAACATAACCCAAACGATTCTCCTATATTATCAACCACCCTATACTACAAAATATATGCTTTTTAATTATAGAAGTAGGTACACACATCATTATGAATTCACTTTTTTAAAAAAACTATATGAACTACATTTGTATGTGGAAACCACACGATATTGACATGTCGAATACTTTTTGGACTTTATCCGACGACAGAACACAGTTTTTTTGTTTCCTACCAGACTATACCTCTAACAATTGAATATCTATGAGATTTATAAATGTATAGACGTGTAGAGTCACAAATCCGTTGTAGTCTAGCTGGTCAGGATACTCGGCTCTCACCCGAGAGACCCGGGTTCGAGTCCCGGCAACGGAGTTTTTTTTTAATTGTTTTTCGTTTTTTTTAATTAAAAATATATATATGCAGACGTAAAAAGCCCACGTACAGATATAGTTCGGCCCACGTAAAAAGCCCAGCCCAAACATAGGTTGGGGATAAATAATAATGTTGATCTCCATTGCTCGCTGGAGATCGTAAGAGGAGAGGATTTTTCTCGGCCAAGTTTCTCTCTAGCTCAGGTTCGTCGTCTTCATTCTCTTTCTCTTTAGTTCAGATTTAGTTGAGATTCTATTTCATGTTGTTCTAGTTTTGGCTGGTTTCAATAATCTGTGGTTGAATTATTGTTGTTAGGGTAAAACTCGATTTGTGAGATCTGTTAGATTGTGCGCGGATGTGTTGAATCTGTTTGATTGTATCGAAACGCGATTTAAAACTGCCTTTGATTTATTGTGAAACCCATTGAGTTTGTGAGGCTGAGGTAATTTCTGATAGTGGTTTGGGACGATGATGCACAAGAAATTGGTGTTGCGGAGTTTTGCCATAAATCAGATCAGATCTTTGTATAAATTGTATGAGGAAGGCATTGGAGAGTTGTGTTGACGAATTGATGTATGGCAAGTGAAGGAGGTAATGTTGGTGTTGTGGTTGATGTTGGCAGGTGTTTGATGTGAAGTTTGGGGGGGAATGAGTTCAATGAGCAGAAGCAGAAGTCGAAGTCGGGATCGGATTCGTAGTCGGAGTCCAAGAGACAGGAGAATGAGACCTGAACGAATTTCTTACCGTGATGCTCCTTCTAGAAGGGAGCCACGTCGTGCCTTCAGGTCTTTCTTTTTTATGTCTTGACCCTTTCTTCTTCACTATTAACCATTTCATTCTCGACCCCAAAACCGTAACAACATTCTGGAATTCCATCTCTCCTTATGCTTCCCTTCTATGTAACCTTCTCATACTAACTGACATTGAGGTTGACATAAAGGTTAGCTAAGCCGAGCTGGCAATTTAGCCGCAATCCTATGCTTATAGCTAACATAGATGCTTGCTTAAGACTCAGATATGCTGAATAAACTTTTCTTGTCTCCAACCTTATTCTCTCTTCTGCTCTTTATCAAGATGGTGTGATTAGATGATGAGGATCAGGGTTAATTTCTGTTTTTCTTTCAATGTTCGCCTTCAATTGTTTCTTTTATATAATTGATAGTGTTAGGTTGGTTTAAGTTCAACTGTTTGCGTGCATACATACGTTTTGAATCGAGTTATCTTGTAACTACTTTGTTTCAATGTGGTGTGGTGACATGATTGTCCCAACTTTTTGATCTTGTTTAGCCAAGGAAATCTCTGCAACAACTGCAAGCGACCTGGTCACTTTGCGAGAGACTGTTCTAATGTTTCCGTCTGTAACAACTGTGGCCTTCCAGGGTATATATGTCCTCCCTCACTTGATTACTGAATTTCCTCGTTTATAAGCATTCCAGTTATGTTTCTTAAATTCTCTCTGCAGGCACATTGCAGCAGAATGCACGGCGGAATCACGGTGTTGGAACTGTAGAGAACCAGGCCATGTAGCCTCAAACTGTTCAAACGAAGGAATCTGTCACTCGTGTGGCAAATCTGGACATCGAGCAAGAGACTGCCCTAATCCGGATTCTCGTTCAGGAGACTTCAGGCTCTGCAACAACTGCTTCAAACCGGGACATCTCGCCGCTGACTGCACAAATGAGAAGGCGTGCAAGAACTGCAGGACTTCAGGTCACATAGCTCGCGATTGCAGGAATGATCCGATTTGTAACATCTGCAGCATCTCGGGGCATGTTGCTAGACACTGCCCAAAAGGGGACAGCAATTACTCTGACAGAGGAAGCAGGGTTCGAGATGGTGGTATGCAAAGAGGTGGTTTGAGCAGAGTGGGCAGAGACAGAGACAGAGACGGCGTTGGCTCGATAATAACATGTCACAATTGTGGTGGTCGAGGACATATGGCTTACGAGTGCCCGTCTGCTCGAGTCGCTGACCGTGGATTCCGCCGGTACTGAGGTTCTAGGTTCTAAAATCTGCCAATTGAAGTTCCATTCATCTTTAGCCTTTTAGCTTCTGCGCTCTTGTTTTATTTGTGCTACATTGTTGTTTACTCATCTCATGGCTTTTGTTTATTGGAGTGCATCAAGACTGGTTTTAGTTTGGTTTGTTTTCGTAAAATTTGCTACATTGCTTGTGTTGTATGAAATATTGAATAGATTAGTGTGATGCAGAGTTCTGAGTTTTCAGGATTCAATATTGTTAAAAAAATCAAATTTAATGTTTTACTTTCTCTCTATCTTGAGTAATTTTAAGATTTGATGTAGGTTTATTTAAGTTTAAGGTCTTTTGAATAGATTAGTGTAATAATATTGTGTATGCACTAAAAGACTTGTAAATTACACAAAATTCCAGAATGATAAAATCATATTAAACGATGGAAGTTTTTTGGTGGGAGAGAAGATGAGATGGTCCTGTACATCATCTACAAGTAGATGAAATGAAATTGGATAACGTAAAAGGAACAAATAAACAACCGTACCAAATACTCCATACAATACCAACTTGCATATGTAATTATCTTAGAAACAATGGCATGTGAGGTTTTTTCTTTTGGTTTTGGTTTTATATGGCATGCGAGTTTGTATCCAGTTTATACTTATAAAAAAATGTAGAGAGATAATGAGTATAAACTGGACTGTATTGTTTTACACTCTTTCTATTCGTTGTTTTTATATATTCATATCCTGGTAAAAAGTATAAAATATGTTAGTGGCATCATTGCGTAAGTTTTCTTTTGTAAATTTTGAAGAAAAAGAAAAGAAAAGATGTTCATTGAAGGAGAAGATTTAAAGTGTTGATTGGTGGCTCTACTGAGCCTACGACCACCAGTAGTGTTTCCTAAGGGATCCTTTTCATTTTTTTCTTAGTTTATACTATTTCACTTATTACTTAATTAACCATTAATTCTTTTACTAATAAAAATTAATAAGGTAAAGCTCCATATCATGGGTTTCAATGATAACAAAATGTGGTATAACTACTCTATACAAATAGGTAGTCCCTCTATTCCTATGACAACTTAACAAATCTTATAATAGAAGGGAAACTAAATAAATCAGAAATGTGAGATATCTCGTCTTTATAAGAAATCTTCTGTGTTATACAAAACCATGCTAGTTAATTAGGTCAATATGCGTTTTAAGAAACACATAATAAGTTGACATAAAAAAACATAATTATGATCGTCTTCTCTTCTAAATTTGTAGGACATAAAATTTATTCTTGGTAGGACCAAACGTAACTTCATTTTTTTTGTTAGAAAGGACCAAACCTATCTGTCAATGAGAATTTTCAGTTTATATAAGGGGACAAGAAAACAAATGCACTATAAATAGAGGACCAAAACGCAGAAGCCATCACAAATCAAATTAAAACAAGTGTACTTAAAAACTTTGTGGAGAAATCAAGAAAATGAAGACAATTTCTTCATTGGTCGTTATCTTCCTCCTCATACTGATCTTGCAAACTAACAAACTAGTGAGTGGGCATGACCGTTCCACCGATCAAGACACGGTCAAGAACAATAACAATGATGAAAACAACACAACCACTGAAGTAGTTTTCAAGGACAAGAAAAGAAGTTATAGTGGAGGAAGAGGAAGCTATAGATGGGGATGGGGTGGTGGCGGCGGAGGAGGAGGAGGAGGAGGAGGCGGTGGTGGTGGAAGAGGAGGAGGTGGAGGTGGTGGAGGAGGATGGGGATGGGGAGGAGGAGGAGGTGGTGGAGGATGGTACAAATGGGGTTGTGGCGGCGGAGGAAAAGCAAAAGGAAGAGAAGGAAGAGGAGAGTTTGTGAAAAGAGAATATGCAGAGTGCAAAGGAAGAGGAAAATGTAGAGGAAAGAGATTGGAATGTCCTCAACATTGTGGAGGTTTTTGTTTTTACGATTGTCTCTTTCTCTGCAAACCTCATTGCCGTCGCTAGAGAGAGAGAGATCTTTTTGTCATTTCATCATACATTCTCTTTTTCTGGTTCTGCTTGGGTTTTATTTTTTGGTTTGTTTGGTTTTTTTTGGTTTGTACCCTAGTTTCTTAAGGTTTTCTTTCTAACAAATATTTTGGGGCTTCTGGAGTGATGAAAAAAGTAGCCATTATATTAGGAATCCATCTAGTTTTTGTTTTTGTTTTTTGACTTCTATAATGAACTAAAAGTTCATAAAATATGAGATTTTTCTTTTGCCATTTTTAATCTCCAATGTAAAAGATTGTTTTTCTGTGCTTTCTATAATGGACATCTTTTGAAAAGTCGGTTTTGTTTTACTTTGTTTGAACACAAAGCCGTCTTGAGCACATTAACTTGGAATATTTGTATGGAGGTGATTCTATTTGTTAAATAGATGAATTATATGAAGTCATGAAGAGTAAAACTGTAAAAGAGAAATTATGCCGTGAAAAAGCAAAGAGGCAAAGCAAAACAAAATGGGTCTTTGTAAAATTAGCATTGCAACGATTGTACTATCTCTTGATTATTATTTTACTGTCTATGTCTCCATGTTTCTAAAAAGTTATCCCGATTTTATCATGATCACTGGATCACAATATAGGTTAGTAAGTGTACATATAAAAGTGGAAAATATTATCGAAAAATTATCCAAATATATGACCGTAGAAAAGAGTTGGAAAAGTTGAAATGAAAATCTTTCTCGGGAGCATTCATGGCTCAAACTTTAATCATTCATCTTTTTCAGCATAATTTTTGGCTGCCGGTCACAGAATCATAAGTCTCTTTTAGATAATGCCTTTGCCACTTGCCAGCAACTAAAAACACTTAAAACAATGAGGAATACTACTAAAAACATAAATATCAAGTATCAACCATATGAAAAGCAAATGGTTGATATTTTGAAATCAAACATAGGCCTCAATTAGTTGGGCCTGCTAAACACAACGAAGATAACCCTTATTTTTTTTCTTCTTCATCTTCCATCTTACCACTTAGTTATTTTCTTACTTGGTTTTGTATCATTTTAGTTTGGTAACTTTAACAAGTAAACGACGAGTTGGTACTTTTATTTAATTTAAATATGTTTTGCCTGCCATAATGAGGTGTCCATACTCCTTACTCCTTAGTCATCAGAGCTCTCTGTAGGCATATTCAATCACAAACAAAAAAATATGCCGATGGTGATGGGCACGTTATTGTGAATTTGTCTCCATTATATGCTCTTTTTCTTATCTTTATTTCCTAAGATATATTATTTAAATACAAACCAAATCCAAGAACAATCCTTTCCCCATAAGGTTATGGGGAGTGAAGAGGCAGAAGATGAAAAAGACTGTCCCTCACATACTAAAATATACGACCACTAGATTTCATTCACCGAATTTGTAACTTTACTTAACAGTTTGACTTACTTTTCCTTGAGAAAGCAAAAATAATGTAGGTTTTCTTTCTATGATAAACAAGTCATGGGCGTTTGTACAAGAAACATTTGCATTAACGGAAAGAGAATAGGATTATTACAAAGATTAAAACAGCAAAACCTCAATCACACTGAAATTTACAAAAAGACAGAACACAAAAAAAGAGAGCCTAATTCTATTAAGATCAAAGTTGAGAGAAATGAAGGAGAAACAAACAAACAAACAAACAAACAAAAAAGCCCCCATTTAGGGAGATAGTAGATTACCAGAAAGATCTAAACTTTTTATTAGAAGAAAGAGGAGGAGGAGTAATCTGTGGGACAGTGAAGCCACCATCATCATACCATCTCTTGTTGTTCTGTCCTTGTTGTTTCATGTTTTGTAATGGAGCAAAAGACACTACTTCTGGTGTTGTTTCTTTGTTGTACATCCCAAACTGTATATTGTTGTTGTCTTGAGAAAAGTATTGATTTGGGTATGAAGAAGGAAGAGTTTGTGGAATTTGAGGGACCCAAATCCCTAAATTCTTAGATGGAAGTGACACTGTATTGTTGTTGTTGTTGTTTCTCTTAGTGTTGTCATCTTCTGCTTCCATATATGGTAACACTCCATCATCATCACCACTCTGCAATCACACAAAAGATAACCCACAAGAAAAGAACTCTTTTTTCAGAAATTTTATACAAATACCCTAAATAGCAAAAAGATCTATCCACATCTATAAAGTTTTTTACTTTTATAATACCTCATTAGATCTGAAATGATATAATATTACGTAAACAGAGGAAATAACATTTCGATCTTCTAAGGGTCATTGTCAAATCTTGAATCAACTAAACTTGGATCTTTCTTGATTAAACAGATAAGAATTAACAAACCTTGGTGAAACCAAAAGTAGGAAGAGAGGAATCGAGGAAATCCTCAACGTGCCAACCAGGTAACGTATCGATCAAATACTCTGAAATCGTGCTTGTGGATCCCCACTGATTCACCGCCGCATCACCGCCGCTGATCTTCGAAAAGGGTTGGATCTTGGAGTTGTTGTTGCTCTGAGGAGGAACTGAGAGAGGTTTCTTGAGAGGAGGATTAGAGATTGATGATCCAGGGACAGAAAGATCTTGGTTGCTTGAAGAAGAAGAAGACTCTGAAGTAGGTTTGTAGACAGAAGATGTAGCAGAGAGCTTAACCCCTGTAAGAAGAAACCTATCGTGTTTCTTTGTGTGTTCGTTCGCTGCGTGGATCGATGAATCACAATCTTTGCATAAAATAGCTCTATCTTGTTGACAGAACAAAAGAGCCTTTTTATCCTATAGAGTTCAACAAAAAGAAAAAGTTTCAGATTCTTGATCGGCAAAAACGATTGAATTAAGACAACAAAAACCATGTCCGAAGTTAGAAAGGAACCTGACAGATGTCACAGATAGGAGAGGAGTTGTTGGAAGAAGAAGGATAGAGGAGAGAGAAACGGAGATGTTTAGAGGCGAGTTTGTTAGCGTGGTGGACTTGGTGGTCGCAGCCGCCGCAGAGAGATGCTTCGTCGGCGGTACAAAACACCGACGCTTCTTCTTTATCGCAGACGTCGCACCTGATCTTCATCGATCGGATTAAGAGAGAGAGAGTGGTAGTTGAAAAGGATAGGAGAGAAGATCTCACATCTCTTATGGAGTAATGTAAGAGGGTACTTATGTAATATCATCTCCTTTTTTTCCTTCTTTCCTTTTTTCTCAATCATATCTCTCTTTTTTTTATTTTATTTTTGGTGTTAATCATATCTATCTTTTCATTTTTTTGCCTAGAAAATTATTTCTTGTTTTATATGAGATGTCCATGAAGTAACCTTCAAAAGGAAAAGAAAAAACTAATTATTACTTTGTTTAATACAAAACACTGCGAGATCATGAGAGCTTGACTGAGAGGTATTGGCCCATGATTTTTTTTGTCAATATAGTTCCATACTAATTATATTTTCCAGCAAAAAAAAAGAACTATGTATTGTAATAAACTAATGGTAGTGTAATTATATGGATTTGATTTGATGTGCGTTCAAATTTCTTTTTAAGAACTAAAATTTGTAGCAAATTAAGCTTATGAATAACATATATGTTTAATCCTCCTTTTATTGAATTATTGGAAACACAAAATTGTAGTAGACAACTATATATATTTACATAATGAAAACTAAAAATGATGTAACAAACTCACTTCTAAACCATTACTGACCATTGGCTTACATCGCATGTAAACATTAACTCTTAAAAACTTTACTTTTAGTGTTTAGATTGACTAATTTAACTTAAAGAAATGTGAACAATTCAACAAGTTTTAAAATGTATTTTTTCTTTGTAATATCATATCAAAAATAAGATTTTATCATATTTTTGATTATTAATTTTTTTGTTAAAGATTTTATCATATTTTTGATACGAGATTTCTCATTCAATATGAAATTTTGGGTTGGATCTTTGACAAGTCTTAATCAAATCTATTTTATGTTGGCATTTTTATGTTGGCATGTGTTTTAAATTATAACCATATTAAATTCTCAATATTTTATATATATCAATATATATATATATGTATAATCTCCTAATTAATTTTATATTTTAAAACTCACTGATAAGGAAAGATAATACTAGCATGTTGTTTCCATGAATTATTGTCCCCCAAGAAAAACAAAATTTTTTTGCGAAAAGATACAAATTTTAAAAATTTTATGCATTTTTGATGAGTTATTAATGATGATTTATAGACAGCAAACCAAAAATAAAGTACTATTAGTTTAAAAATGTGGACAATTGTTAATCACTAAAATAATATATCTATAAGTTAATTTTTAATATGATGTTTTTTTGTGAAAAACCTAGAATTTGGATTAATAAAAAATAGAATGAGTATAACACATGCAACCTTGCTTTTTAGCCGATTGATCTCTTGTTTATTCAACTTCCATCTAATGTATATTATAGTTCTTGCCGTCATGCATCAACTCCAAAATAGAGAATAAGATTAAGCATAGTTATAATTCCATTTACAGCTATATGAATGTCATTCTTGTTATATTTTATTGTGTTATCTTTGTTTAGAAGATTATAGTGGAAGCCCGAAGAACTTTGCATTGGCAGTGGATGGCGAGAAGCGCGGGTATCGAACCAAGTTGACTAGTGGACTCTTTCTTTTTACATAAATAACTAAAACAAAAATATCTCTCAGTGGTTTCCTTGTATCACAAATAAAATTACCTTTCCCTAATTTCAGTTATAATTTTTTCAGTTCAAGTATCTATAAATGGAATGAAAACCAAATGCCATTTAGTTCGGTTTGATACGTCTACTTTTTTTTTATTTTGGTTTAGCTTGTTAAAAGAGTTTTGATAAATTCTTTCTTTTCTTTTTTTGGGTTCAGCTTCAGTTACAGCATCTTACAAAAAATCAACTGAATTGGTTTATGTTGTCAAAGAGGGTTTTCAAATTAGTTTTCTGATTCTATTTGGTTAAAACTGATCTGACATCCTAATAAAACCAATTTTACGTGAAAACCTTAAGGGAATGGTTTTAAAAAAGTAAAAAGATATCAATTGGTTCGTATAGATATTAAGTAACAACCAAAGATTATAAAGTTAGCTTTTTCAGGAGTAAAATCTAGTAGAACTGTATCTTGTAAATTACTAAATTATATCCCTGAAAAAGCAGTATATTAAAGAATAAAAGATTCTCCAATTAACTAAAGGCGTATGCTTAAAGAAACTTTAAACCCATATGGAAGCCTCCGAGTATCATAGTAATATATTTTCTGGAGGAAAGTATGATAAAGTCTTTTTTTTTTTTAAGTATGATAAAGTTATAATCTTAAGAATCAATCATCCATATATGTGCTCCCATAGTACCCTTTAGTCGTGGAAGCACCATTGTCGCATTGTTAATCAAGAACTTATAAACAAAACCATGTTCGAAACTGATATTTGTATATCAGTTCTAATGCTACAAAAAGGTTATATCAGTCAGGTTAATGTAGGATTTAATTTTTTTTTTTCCATCGAAAGATAATAAAGAAATTTGCGCCAATCAGGAAATTAACATGTGTGATACAAAGATATTTTGAATCGAGATACAGTGCAGCAGTGTGGATTATTTTAGACAATTTTTTAAACTTAAAGTGGATAATATTCGAGCGCATAATACAGTCTCCAAGTGAACAGCGTCTAACGCAAGATTACTTTAGTAGAATAGTTATAACTTTTGATGTGAGGTAGGGAACAAATGGGTCCGACTTCACAGTCTCATCTCATGTACTACATTGATCAAGTGGATAATCATGGCGAAAAACCTTTAAATACCATAAGATCACGGCAAACTAAAATTGGGTCAAACTCAATTGTTTGTTTTTTTAATATTAATTCTGGTAGGCTGGATGATGTTAACAAATTAAATGAAACTGAAATTAGATGTTTCATGATTTCATATTTTTATTTTCTTAACATTGAAACTAAATATTAAGACTTTTTGATGTTAGTCCAAAAAAGGTAGAAGAAGGGATGGGCAAAGAAGAGAGACAACACGTGGCTCGTTTGGTCCGTCGTGTCTCTCGTACGTTGTTCGAAGCTCCACACTAAAAAGTGGAAACTCCGACTAGCTAACCCCGACTAGGTCATCCACTTGCTTAACTTTTAATTTATCTTAAAACCAAAACAATAATCTACACACACTCTATTTGTTTGGTTTCAATAATTTTTTCGTCAAAATAATTTCACGATGATAGATCTTAATAATCTATCCCATTGGTTTTTAAATTATTTGTAGAATAAAATAAGGAAATTAGTTGGATCTGAATGGGCAGAAGGTGGGGAGGACAATATCGAAACCTCTCGACTCTTAACAGCGATTTAATAATGTTCTTTATTAAACGAATTTATTTTGTTGGACCACTATATAGTTTTTCAATAATTTAACGTTTTATGAATATGCCCCCACATTATTTGACATATTTTTTTGAAGGATGAAACGAAAACAGGGACCATTTAATAAATATTAAATTATGATGACAAACCCAACATTCTAATATTTTAAAAATGATAATTAAACTGGAACATATATTTTTAGTGTAAAAGTGCATAACAATCTGACTTCTCTGCTTTACCACATTTGTTGTTGAACAAAAATACGTAATCGCTTACGCCAATAATCTGAAGCGAGGAAAAAAAGTGCCATCACAGATTCACAGTCACCAATGGATTTGCACTATTCTTTTATGGCTTTTTCAATTATTACTCAATACTTAAAAAAAAAAAAAAATTAAACGACGATTTATTGTTTATGACAAACTTATGAGAAATAATGGTTCAATCTATATCATGTCAAAATCTCCAAAATGTTTTTGTCTTAACTGGTAAAGAAAGTAGAATTTCAAATTCCAAAAAATGGTGATAAGTGAAGTCTGAAAGAAAAAAACAAGTAGAAATGAAAATGAAGATTAGAGAAAAGATGAATAAAGTTATTATATTTATTAAAAGAAAGGAAATGAATATTAGAGAAAACTCTTTTCTTCATATGTTTGTAGAGTAAACATTTCGTTTATAATTTATCTTTTTCAACTTTTCCAGCAAACAAGGCTGATTTTTTTTTTTTTTTTTTGTTAAAGAACAAGGCTGAATTTCATGATTCCTTTTTTTTTTCTTTCTAATTGCTGAAAAATAAAGCAGAACTGATAATAAAACTCTATCTTGATGAAAAATTTGCTCTAATTTTTATAACCGGCCAGCCAATATTCGTACGGCACAACATTTATATTTTCTGGAATAACTTTAGAGACATAGAAATATAAAATTACTAAAAAAAGGCTTTACAATTATTATTATTTTCTGCAGAGAGTTGCACGATTTTTTTAGTTGGATAGCATAAAACAATATAAATTCTCACTATACAATGTATATATAATAGTTTATAGGGAAATTGTTAATAATGCCACTTTTTCAATGCCACTTTTCAAAAATACCCCTTTTTAAAAACCTTATAAAAAATGCCCTTAAAAATATATGATTTACCCAAATATGTATGTAATATTATTAAAACATACACAAACTACATTTCTATGTATCTAAAATCTTATAAATACTTTATAAATACCTTATAAATGCATTTTAAATACCTTTAAAATATCTTGTAAAACCTTTGAAAAACCTTAAAAATCCTTTAAAATAACTTGTAAAACCTTTAAAAACACCTTATAAAACCTTATAAATACTTGGATCGAGTCTTCAAGTAGTAGTTACAATCCATAAGTACCTTATAAACCTAATAAAACTTTATAAAAATTTCAGATTTAAAAAGGGGCATTTTTTAAAATGGACATCTAAAAGGGGCATTTTTGAAAAGGGGCATGAGAAAAGGGGTATTTTTGCTAATCCCCCTAGTTTATATGTATACTTTATTTTAGTCATGTGTGGTTTCGCTATATTAATAAAGTATATTTAATTAACATTATTATAGTCAATAATCAATTAACAAAATTATATATTAAAACTAAAATATATACATTTTAATATAACAAAACAAAATATAAATCAATAATAGTCTTAACTCTTAAGTGATGGCATTAATAATTCAAAAAAATATCAGTTTAAATATTTTGGTGACAATATTTACATTGTCATGGGACTACCAGTATAAAAAAATATCGAAATCAAACGGGGGGTTTTGTTTAATACCTCAAAAACAAAAATTGGGCAATCAATCACCATCTTTCAAATCCACTTCACTGCCCATTCTTTGCATCAATATAATCCACCTCAGAGATTTTCATCGATATTATTCGAATTTTGTTTTTCTCTCCTTTTCATTTCACTGTATTTGACTATTTCTTCATGTGTATTTGAAAAAAAATCAACGAAAAGATCAAACTAACTTTGAAATCACCCATAAGATTTTGATTGGATCAACCAAACTCACGTGTAAAGTTTCGATTTATCATACAACGTTTATACCATAAAACCTCTACTACGTTTATAATATATATATAAACTCATTTGTGAATTCCATCTAAATATCTTTTGACTGCTTTCTCATTCGTCTCGAATATGAACGACTTCTCTCGTATCTGCACCAAAAAAAATAGAAAGAAATTGTTCAATTTCGGTTTCTTGATCATTGACATATTGAAACAGAAGTGAGCAAAGCAAAAAATTAAAGACTTAATAAAAGAATTGACCTGGATTAAGCAACTGTTCTTCAGAATGACAACTTCTCCATGACTAATTTCTTTTTCGTTCATCCATATCGAAAACTTCCCAAGATTCTTGATTTCAAAACATCCGTCTTGCTTCAACTTTATTAGAGCCTAGTTCCATAAATTTCAATAAAATTCCCACTTATAAACTATCCATCAAAATGTAAAAAAAATCAATAGACGTTAATATGATGAATGGTGTTATCACCTGTCGTCGAGAGAATCTTGTTTCAGAACCTGATCTTCCTAAGTCGATATCTACTGGATATTCTCCTGTTGCTCTTCCAAGTAACACCTGAAATGTTAGAAATGTTTTTAGCTTGATTGAATAGATTAATTACTATAACTAAGCATCTCAAGAAGATTCAGTAACCTCTGTTTTCTTGATGTAATGCTTAGAGCTTCCATACAGAAGAGCGAAAGCTCCATGAGAAGCGATGTCGCGGTTCATGTAAGATTCAGCACTCTGCTCTAATCTCATTATCATTCGCGTCATTTCCTCGTTTCGATATCTTGAAGCTACATACACACAACCATCAGTATAGCCTTTTGATACATTAGAGACACACAAATTGCAAAATTACAGTTAAGAGACAGCTGATTATTTACCTTCCAACTCGTACTGGTCTTGACCAATCGGTTCAAGGTCCATGTCAAGAATCTGATTGATTCAAAAAGAAAACACAGTTTAAGTAACTTTAACCAAGAAAAGACAAAAATATACACTGACTTGTAAGAGTTTATATACCATAGCTTCAAGATCTGAAAAGGAAGGCAAATCTTCATCACTCTCAATTTCATTATTATTCTCCTCTGGAACATTTATATCCATCTCTGCACTCAATATCTGTTTGCAAATTTCATTCTCTGGAGAGTTTTGTAGAGTTGATGAAGTTGTTGCAGCAACAGTAGATGTCGGTTTCTCGGTAAAGCTAGCACTGGATGCAGAAGAACAACTTGCTTGTGTTGTGACAGCACAATCTCCAAAACCATAACTGTTGATAACGGCATTGCCTTTGGCTTGTGACGATGATCCTCTGGTTGGAGGCAGAGGTGGTTTCATATTCTTCCTCAATGATGATGATGAAAGATTAACCGAGTTTCGAGCTTTATGATTGTACTTATACAGTAGCAGGTTGATATCATCGTTATCTGGAATCTCATCGGACTCACGGTTTATAACACAATTGATAACACCGTTGACGATTTCTGGATGTGGATCCAATTCACACAATAACATAACGCTGCTTGGAAAGTCTTGATTTGGAGGAATCCAAGTCTCTGCTTGATGAAGGATTACTTGCTGATGTGACTGTGATGTTGGCTCATTGAAGCATGTGTTAGGTTGTTGAAACAGAGGATCTTGAAACACTTCTTGAAGCATAACATGTTCTGTTGTTGATGTGTCTGTAACATAACAGTCATGAATCTGTTCATCGTTGATGTTTAACATTTGATCCACCATTCGATCATCATCATCATCATCATCATTATCATTACCAAACCTTGTTGTCTGATAATCATCTTGTTGATAATCATGAGGGGATAGCATAATGTCTGGGAAAGTTTTCCGAAAAATTTCAATGTCCTCAAAATCAAAATCATCACATTCTCCAAACACAGTCTCTTCCTCCACATTAAGATGTTCCTCAATGGCATTGTTATTGACCTTAAGTGACTCCTCTAACTCCAAACGCCGCCTTTTTCGCGCAGTGTAGTAGTGAGTTCTGATTGGTATTGAATGATAATGACTTTGTGGAAGGAATTGAGCTCCGTATTGGAGCTCAAATCCGACTGATGAAGATAGAGATGTAACCATGGGATTGTAAAGAAGACAATGCCATCGATCTGTTAGTTCTGAAAGTGTAAATTTTCGAGAGAATCTCACTGCTCCTTTAGCTAGCGTCTCTAGAGAAGTTCCATCCTATTATACAAGGAATTAAACTCCATAAATCATTAAAAAAAATATTTGCAAATCTTGGATTCTAATAGTCGATCATAGATTCTGAAAAATTCGTCTAGTAATAAAAATAAATAACAATTGGATATTAAGGGTTAATAAACAAGGAAAATCGTAAGAATCGATATAATCAAGTTTTGATGAAGGAAGAGGTTTATAACTTGGGACCCAAGTATGTCAATTATCAAACAGAGAAACTTTTAAACGCTACAGTAATTTAGGGTTTCAGTACGAGCTTCAGTAACATCATACTCGTATGGAAACGCGAGGTACGAAGAAAAAACGAAAAAAGAGAGAAATCGAAATCGAGAGGTTTATGAATTAAAAAAAAAATCAAAATTAGGGTTTCGTGAAAAACGAAACCTCGAGTGATTTTCTGAGAAGATAATCATCTTCAGGTAACCACTGAAACACCATCAGAAACGCAATTTAAGCTTCTCACCGATAAACAAAAGAAGAAGCTTCTCACCGATAAACAAAAGAAGAAGCTTCTATTAAGTCGAGTAAATAAATTTATTTATAAAGAAAAAGGAAATACTCACCAGAGAATCGGTCACAGAATCTTATTTTTCTAAAATTAGCGTTTTTTTAGCCAATTAAAATCTCTTTAGTCTTCTCATATTACTGTTTAATTAAGATTTCTTTTTCAAAGTAGTTGGGCTTTAAAGTTAGGCCCAAAGGTGATGCCCACAGGATATATATTACCACTGACTCCTAATTTGGGCTGTCGAGGCCAAGTCCGCAATGGGTTTCAGACAATTATTGTATGTACTATTTGATGCAAATATAATAGTTTTAGTGTTTAGAACTACTAATTAAATTTCAATAGATCAATGCTACCAAAAAAAATAAAAAAATCAATAGATCAAATAAGCCAACTCACTTACTTATTCTGAAACTAGAGTATAGTGCTAGATTCGTGAACAGTCTACTAATAAAAAAACCATCCAAATTCTAGAAAATAAACGTATTTATACATGTGAGCTATATAATATGTAGATATAGATAATGATATACACAAATAAGGATGGTGGTGGTCACGTGACAATGAGCCTTTGTAACCTTCGTGGAGACCACAACGCTGTCTTTTCTTCGGCGGGTCTTCTCCTTAAAAAGGCATATATAGGCCTATTATATTATACGTTTGTATATACATTCTTAAATGCTTACTGAACATTAGTATTTATATATACACATTGATACATAGGTAGAGCTTAATGTGAAGCATGTGCATGGATGTGAGTTCGGGCCCCACGGGCTTTATGAGGCCCATAAAGCTAATGGAGGGGGACCACGTGGCGAGGGGCTAGTGCCTACAAGTGGAGGGATCCTAAGAAAGTAAAGTACGTATAAGTTTGATCTCGTGATCGTACGTACTGTTTCTACTATTGGCATGCAGTGTTCGTCGCCTAGGGTTTCAGAATTAGACTTCCTTATTATACTTAACTTGTCATGTATTCCACCACAGTAAGGCAGTTACAATCACATCACCTTATCATGCTTGTTTTATATACATATACGATAAAAAAATCGTATAGAGTTGGATAGTTGGTAAATGCACGCGAATTTCAGTATAATGTGTTCGTAGACCGTAGTAGTAGGATAGTAGAACCATTGTAGAAAGTAGAAATTAGTGTGTCTAAAGTATTGATCGCGTGTATTTTGTATAATGCGTTTATAGATAAAGTTTATGCTCAACGTAGTAAATCGAATAACTTAGCTTTAGGAAGACGCTTTGCGTCACTTCGTTCCTTTTTCTTCAACAAGACAAAACCCGTTTCTCGCGGAAAGAGCATAGTTATAACTTAGCTTTAAGCAAAAATGATGGTCACAAAGGCATAATTGTGAAAATTTATCATTTTTCCTAATAGTAATCCCCTCTATATATTATTTAAGAAGTATTATTAATTAGTAAAACGTGTTGACATGGCATAACCATGTTAGTTTTCAGACCTTTTTTTCAAAAAAAAACATGACATGAGAATGATTTGTGAAATTATATAAGAAAATAATAAATTGTATAAATATCAGCATATATTTAGTTTGAGATAAATACCGTCTCTAAGTTTAAACGAATATTTTAGCACCCACATGTATTTAATTTAGATCAGGTTGAGTTATATATTAGTAGCGCTATTAGTATCAAATGTCATTCGTTTTAACTTTTCAATTGTAGAGGTTAACATTGTGAAAATTTAGCTAGTGACCATGTTTTTTAATAAAGGGTTCTAATTAATGACCATGTTAGACGCTGATCAATATTTCAGATATGTATTTGCGTTTCCTAAAATTTTCACTTTCTTAAGTTTTTATCACCTCGGTTTGTTCTAGACGATGAAACAAAAAAGAGAGACAAATTCATAAATCCTAAAATTCTGATCACAGTGAATTTGCATCGGATTATTACTCTCACACTAAAAATGAATTGTTACAAATTTTGTGTGCTTTCATTTTCGTACTTTAGATCGTTTTCCACAAAAAAAAAAAAAAAAAAAAAAAATTGGTATCGAATCCTAACATTAGTTACTTAAAAAGCCTGGACTAAGATTTTTAAACACAGCGTATAGATATATACTGTAATAGATATAATCATTGAGAAGATTGTCGGGAAAATACTGTTAGTGAGAAGAATGATTGACTAGGAGTATATATAAAGAGATAGGAGAGAGAGAGAGATAGATGCAGCGAGAAGAAAGGTGAGCACAAGGCTCGAGAGTGAAAGACAACAACTTAATAATAATTGGACTATTGGAGCTAATCCTTATTCTTGATTTTCCCCTACGATGACCTTTGCTCCTTCACTCTCTGTCTGACTTGTGGGAGGTGACAAAATCTTAAATAAAAATAATAATTATAACATCTGAGAATACCTCCGCTAAGAAAAGAAAAAAATTAGAACACCTCTAACCATGCCAATGCACATAATCTGATATTAATTAAATATTAGTTTTCGTCACTATGATTTACGGCTGAATAATGCTTGCTGGGCGTTGCTTCGGCATTAGCTAAACCTGTATTGGTTTTACGGTGGATTGAAGCTTACTCTCGGAAAAGTATACACATTTTTGATATATTAAAATAGAAACATTAGATGTATCCTTTTAAAATGAATGATAGTGTTTGTGGTATTTTTAGAAGAAAAAAAGAATGTTGGATGACAATGTTAATCATTTGAACATGTTGTATAACCTCATTGTCTACGCATGATACATATAGCATTTTGTTGTTGTTTGTAGATTTAATTAAAATAACATAAATTAAGATATAATTGGTTAGTGGTGAGGAGCGCTAACTCCAGTCAATGGTTTGAGATCGTTATCTTTGCAGCAAGAAGTAGATTTTGTTAGCATCGAGTGTGGTACGTTAGATTTGTTGTTTCCGATGTACCACCTATTTATCAGAGTTCGTTTCTGACGGAATTTTTGATTTGAATTTGTTCCATTTTTGTAACAATGGTTTTTTTCAATGCCAAAAACCCAAAATCCATTTATAATGAATAAAATAAATAAATAAATAAATATAGCATCAGCCAAAAAGTAAATCAGTGATAGCTATCAACCCCGTCAAAATGTGAAAAATGAAAAGAAAAGAAAAACAAAATAATGTTATCGAAGGGAAAAATAAAGTAAAGAACAAAGACAAAAGGGACATTAGGCAACTAGTTTAATCATGAAGATCCCGAGTCATCAAAGTTAGGAGTATTAAGTAATTAAATTTACAAATAAAGACAAAATAGTGATTTAGTCAACAAGAAATTCTAAAATACAAAAGACTCCTGCCTCGGGCCCTTAAATAAGAGCAAGTCCTTTTTTTTGGGTGGGTAACTAATACGTACGATCAACCTTTCTATAGATATACACACATAATTGTGTTTAGTAGGGCTTAACAAATTTTAGTCGTATTATGTTAAGAAAATTCTCCTTTCTAGACACAATTCATGTTTGGGATGGGCTTTCTTTTCTCTTTTTGTTTTTGTTTTCTTTTGACATCTTACATTGGCTGAAGAATATAAATTGTTTTCTTTTTGATTTTTATTTACGTATTGTTTCTGAATATGCATTTCGTATTAATTGTTGATGATATAGGTCATTGGCAAAGTGAACATAAAAACCTTTATAGACTTTAAAACAAATTGAAATATTTTAAATTCACATTTGAGTGATTTGAAAAGCTCCAAAACTATTCCAAGAAAACTCAAAATTATCTTCTTTTTCTACTTTTGTTTCTCTAAATCCAATAAATATGTCTTTTTTTCTTTCTAAAATAACACAAATATTTTACAGCCAAGATTTCAAAGTAATTTCTCGGTTCACAATTAAAAAAGCATTTGCTCCCAAAAAAAAAAAAAAAAAAGGCAAATCCTTACAACTTGCATATCTCATCTTCAAGGATTAGTAATATAGGTAAGAGAGTAAGAGACTTTATCTTTTGAAATTGGTTGTGTATTAATTGTCCCGTCCATGCCGAAGATTTGATCAAATCTAGCTATGAGAATTGAGAAGTCAAATCTCACTCTCGTGACCTGCTTATTATGAATATGCATGAGTATTCGTCAACAATTCGCAAGACAAGGTGGGATAGACTCTTAAATTTTGTAATAAATAAAGTTTTGGTAGAATATAATTGTTGTTGTTTTTTTTCTTTCTTTTATGAAAATATATATTTATATATATATATATATATATATATATATATATATATATATATAGTTGTCTTAAAAATATAGAAAATTTATTTAAATGTACATATATCTAACAAAAAAGCTGACTACTATATTATTACTACATCATCTCTAATGTTCGGGCATGGTTTATCCTTATCTCTAATGTTCGGGCTAGATTTTAGACTATTGGGTCCAAACTCGTGATTTTTCGGCAAATTCCATGCGTTCCTTCGAAAATATGTTTCGCCCACTTAGAGATAAACAAAACTCCGGTTAAGGCATTATATTACAATGGCCAATACGAGGCTCGGCAAAGGTGAGGTTCAAGGGAACTTCTTATCGGATGTCAAGCAAGTGCAATTTTGTTGGGTTTTTATCTAGTGATCCTTCGACATGGAGTTGGATGTTGTTATTGATCTGGATTCTCGAGCAGAGGTAATTCTTGTAGCATTTCTTCACAGTCAGACTTGCATACCAAGTGAATGGTCATAAACTATTCTGGACGATATAAGGATGTTGCCCAAATAATTATTCGACGTTCAAGTTATTTGAGATCATGCGATGGCAAAAATTAAGATATGAAAAATGGTATTTGGAGTTTAAGTATGTGGGTTGGTCGTCGATTACAAACATCTTTAAATATTTATCAAACTTTGAGTAGACCATATACTAATATACATGCACGATATATAGGATAAGTAATTTATTTCTCTAAAGAAAATCAGAGCTAAAAAAAAACTTTGAAATCATTTAATTAATACCAAATGCACTTGATAATCATTATCAAATGCAAATTGCGCCGCTAATTCACACGTTCCACGTGATCAAAGACACTAGAGTGGGTCTGCTTGCTTCGGCGCTCTAATGAGGGTACAAGGTATGACTGGATAAGTAATTCCTCAATGATTTTAATTTTAAATTCGTAGAATATGTATGACCATTTACGTGCTAGTATAAAATATTTAACTAGTAGGTATAATTAATAGTAGCTAGTTTAAGATAAACCACTAACGGTTTTACGTACTCTAATTATTCTCATGTTTACATGTGTGTGTGTGAATACATATCTATAGACTATAGTTTTGATTTGGAAAAAGAGCAAAATAACCCTGATATCCCTTTTAGTTATATATTATATTTTCCCAAAATTTTGAAACTATTAACGTGAAAGCTAAGTTTTCTACTTCGATTGGAATATGCTAGCTAAAAACAATCTAAATACAGAAAGAAATACATTATATTTATGTATTAGTTTGGGTTAGATATGGAAGACGATCACATCTCTTCGTCGGCTAATAATAATGACTCGTGACCTAGACCTAGACTAGGGATTGCTGTCCAGCAAAAATCCCTAAGAACACCACATATTTTTCTTATAGTTCAAACTCAAAAAGTGTTTAAGTTTGTACTATTGCCCTTTAAATACATTTATAATTGTTTTTTAAGCTGAAAAAGTATGGATAAAATTAAAATGATTGAACAAACTTCTACATTGAAATATTAAATGATATTTTTTGTGTTTCAAAAAAATTAGTTATATTACAAGACTGACCATAAAACGGATGTAATAATATTTAAAATTTTAAAATATGATTGATTGTATTTATCACCTAGTTCATATAAATTCAATATTAATGCCACGTAGTCCTGGTTAGACTAATAAAAAACAAATTTAATTACCGCACGTAGGCTTCGTTGAAAACGTTATGTCATTGAAGTAATCGCCGTGATTAAGCAATGCCATTGAAATTTTATGGTAAACCTCACGATGAGACGTCCGTGACGATAAAATGTCAAAGCAATGTGACGTTAGACTATCCTTTTCATTTTTTTCTCAGACTTCATTTTTTGTTTCTTTTTCTTTTCTCAAACTTTTTTCTTTTTCTTTTTTGTTTTCTCAGACTTCCCTTTAATGTTTTTTCATATACTTTCATCACAAAACAATAGACCGAATTAAAAGATAAACGGTGGGGAGGGTTTTGCGGGGGAGGGACGAGTGGAGAAAAACTCCCTGTTCTAACACGTGGCACTCTAGTCACCATTGATAAAAATTAACACTATTAGCTTAAAATGGGAGCTATTTTTCTAGTTTTGTTTAAAAATTGGCGAAAAAATTATTTTAATAAACACATCGGAATTTTTTTATGTCTACTATAACGAAGACGAGTCACTAATTTTAAATTTGAATCCTAAAACCATCGATTAGATATATAATTTGCATCTTCGGACAAAAAAATATGACTCTCTATATATAGTAAAGAAAAAACGCGTCATTTTATTTTCACCATCTTACATATATTTATATTGTAATAACTAATAAGGGACTATATATGAAAATACCAATGAAAAATGAAGAGAATAAGCATATGTACATATTAATGGAATGGAATGATTACTCTAACAAAATTACTTAAAATATGTCACGTATCTATTTATCCATAATTTCCTTTTTTTTTTATCAAACAATATATAGTGAGTGATATTTATGTGATGGGGATTCACTCAAACTGGAAGATAACTGTAGTGAAGTGCCCAAAGCAAAAGATCTTCATGGGACTCTCTATGTCTTAAAAACCTTTTTGATCTCTTTCTCTCTCTCTCTCTTAAATCCACAGAGTAAATCCAGCAAACTTCCACTTTCAGAGATCAAAATTGTGTTATCTTAAATGATGAAGAGAGACTAATTCCATGGCGGCGTTTGCAGTTTCTTAAGCTTCCTCATCATCTACTCTCAATCTCTTATTATAGAAAAGAAAAGGGAATCAAATCAAGATTTACCCTTTTCTTTGATATCTCTTTGTAGTGTGTTGTGTGTGTGATGTTTATTATCACTGGGGAAAGAAATGGCAGGGTTCTTCTATCTAGGAGGGAGAGACAACAACAACAAGCAAGATCATCATCAAGTAGACAAGGATCATCATCATCAAGACAAGAGCAATTATCTTTATCTTTACAAAGACGAGATCTATAACAACAACAAGGGTTTCGAGATTTGGCCTCCACAATACTTCCAACAACAAGAACATCAACAACAACAACAACAACAGCAACAACATGCCTCAGCTCCTGCAAACTTCTACTCATTTGGAATGGTTCCAAGCGGAAGCAGCAGCAACAACAACAATAACCGGAGCAGGAGTTTATACTTCAACGTAGTCTCCGATCATGAGCCGGGAGGGTTCACGGTGACGAGACAAGGAGGTATGAATTGTCAAGATTGTGGGAATCAAGCTAAGAAAGATTGTCCTCATATGAGATGTAGAACTTGTTGTAAAAGCCGAGGCTTTCATTGTCAAACTCACGTTAAGAGCACTTGGGTTCCTGCTGCTAAACGCCGTGAGCGTTTAGCCCAACTCGCTTCCTTGCAGCACCACTCAGCCTCTAGCCGTGAAACGCAAAACGCAAAACGCCTTCGTGAAGCTAGTGGTGGTGATAATAATGATGATAAAGACCATAGTGGTGGTGGTGGATCGGCTCTTGCTAATACCCGTGTGGTGAATGCTAATTCTAATTCAGGTAAAATTTTGATCATGGTGTGTTTTTAGATTTGATGATATTGAATTAGATTTCAAGATTGATTGAATTTTCATGAAAAAGTGTCAAAATTTTAATTATGAATGTTTGTGGAGAAGTACAACATCATTTGCGTGTGAATGAGGATGTCCGCCGGATATTGCTGCTTTATTTATACGAGTTACTGTTCCTTAGTAAACCTGACGACATAAAAGGGTTTAAATCAAGAGCGATTTCATGTAGAAACAATGCAATAAAGATTCGGTTTTTATTAGATATGTAATGGGAACTAACGCTTTATTATCAAGAACATGTTGCTAAAAGAGGCTAAAAACAAATCTTATGTTTATATTTTGGTGATCTTATAATCATTAATAAAATTTAGGGTTGGAGGTGAGTCAACACTTACCACCGGAGGTTAACTCACCGGCCGTTTTCCGGTGCGTTCGAGTGAGCTCAATAGAAGAGGATGAAGATGATCAAGAATATGCTTACCAAACGGCTGTGAACATTGGAGGACATGTCTTCAAAGGCATTCTCTATGACCAAGGACCAGATCAAGATCATAATCATCACCTTAACCTCCTTGCCTCCACGGCAACCACCACCAATGTGGAGGAGACTGCCACGAAGACGGTCACCGGTAACAATAATAATGGATTAATGCTTGATCCTTCTTCGCTTTACCCGGCTCAACTCAACTCCTTCATCGCCGGTACGCCATTCTTCACACCTCCGAGGTCTTGAGATTCAAATATCAGTTATTGATTATTGTTAATCTTAAACGTTATAATAATGAGAGGCTTTCATTTTGTTGTTGTTTTTGTATTCGTCTTTGTGTTTTTGACATTTCGTGCAATTTGATAAAACGCCCTTAGCTAGGTTGTTTACTTAGTGGTGATTAACATGCATATTGTACGTACGTACGTTCTTAAAAAAGATCAATGAGGGTTAAACTAATTAATGTTCATGTTTCAAAGATTGATCTTTTGCTTTATTGTTTGGTACTTATTGCACTTTCTTAGTTTCCTTGTGGTTTTTCTATCTATAGTTCTACAAACTTTATTTTGTTGATTATGTTCATTAGGATCGATCTCATATGTTACAATTTAAATGCGGTTTAGTAGGAGTCTTATGATATCAATTAATAATTTCCCCTCTTTTTATTGATCTACGACATATATAGTACTTTTTCAAGGTCAAATCAAAAATACTTTATTTTAATTAGAAAAGAAAAAATAATAAAAATATTTTTGGTTTGATATTGAATTAGCTTTCTGGTTGGTGTTGAGCTCCAAGCTGCCTTTTTCCCCGTTTATCCGTTTGCTTGCCGGATTTCAACATGACTTAATACTAGGTTTCGTGTTCCACTGATCAAAGATTTGAAAAAAAAACATATTATAAGAAAACTTCAAGCAACTTTTATATTACCCAATTGAATTTCTCCAGAGTCAAAGATGTAAAATTAGTTCTCATTTGAAATATATAACCAACATCTCTGAAATGATGGAAAAAGTTTAGTTAAAAAAATGGTCCTGGGCGGCTCTAAATCATATTTATGCGTACTTTAATTTAGCTTGTTTATATCTTTCTCTGGTTTGAGTCCCTAGTTGTATAAGCTAAAATTCAACATAGATATTTTTTACTTAGATAATATCGTGTCATTCCATCTAGATTCAACCCCTGTCTACAATATTAGGAGGTTAAGGTTAGTTATGTGGAGAACGTCAAAGTGTGAGTAAATACGTAACATGTGAAATGTTGGCGTAGATGAATGTAAACGGATGGTAATATAGGGCATATATCAAACTACTTCCCTGAAGAACTATCATATTTTTAGCTATTTGATTATTACTTGCATGGATGTGACTATCATTCGTCTGTATCTAATCCCATTCAATATTTGTTTCTTACATTATAAATACCAGTCGATGCAGTCTATATACAAATGACTACTGATAGAGACGACTTACTATGAAACTAAAATTGATTTCGTTTTTATGTGTGAACTGATACTATTAACAGTAATAATAATTAGCTAGTACTGTTATAGATTGCTTGATTTAGGACAAGTATAAATGACAGAGGAGATAGATGAAAGTTTTTCAAAAACTGTAGAGTGTCTGACTCACGACATGTGATCCCTTCTTTCAGTGTCTCTCGATCAACATTATTAAAAAAATAAATGTAGTTGATCCAAAAAATCATGATCATATTCATTGATCTCCTCTGATATTTTACTTAATCTGGCTAACTTCTTGTTCCGCAAAAGCCCTACAGCCTCATAGGATTAAACCTATACAGTATATGGTTTTGTTTTTGGAAATAATTTCTCTCTAGCCATAATTTATTGTAACTAATGATAATCATTTTTTGTATTCTTTTCTTTATTACTATTACGTACTGATGACGTGCATGTGGTTCCAATGGCAAGTACTTAGTCATCCTCACAGGTCAAATGTTTGGCACTGTCATTAATTGCCATTAAAATACGGTAGGTTAAGTTTGAAATAATAGTTTTCCTGCAAGCTTGAAAGGATAGTTAGCGAGTAAATTGTTAATTAATCATGTTGGACAAAAAGAAATTAATTTGTTAAGAAGCATGAAGAGTCCAAGACTCGATACATCATTGTGAAATTGAAAAGTCTATGGTCAAAGTACGAGACTAATTCCGAACAAAGATTTGAAATGCATCCCCAACATCCGTTATACTTAAACCTAACTCGATTATGATTGATATGACAGTTTATTTTCTTTACCTCAATTCCCTTTACAAAAATCATTAAATCTTCCAACGCGTCATTAAATAGTGACCATGTGAACGGAATTCGTAAATAGATAAATTACAGTTTTCACAATCAACTTCAGTTTTTTCCCCCGAGTTATTAGATTTTTGGCTCCACATAAATCTTTCTCTATCCATTTGAGATGATTTCATTCAAGCGATCCAAGGCCAGTTATTAATATATGATAGTATATAATTCCAAATACATATAATGTGTGAAACTGGTGTATAGCTAAAGGTCTAAAACTATATCCAACAAACATAAAATCTAAATTTGGCGGCCATAAACACTATAATTACAGTTGCAGCTTCAACCGAAAGGAGAAAAGATGAGAGATTGGTCCCCCTTTATACATTGAAGCAACTGAGTGAAACTAGTGGTTAGGGTTTCTCATGGATTTAGTTAAGTTCTTTCTAAGAATTACTTCTTTGTCGTTGTCCTAATCGCCAATCCAATTCTAACCTCGCTATTTTGTTTCCTTTTATGTCAACAACGAGTGGTGTCTTCTTTACTCTTTATCAACAATAGATAGTGGTCCAAAGTCCAAACAATATGTATGCATCCATTTAATACATATACACATGCACCATATATTGGAGATATCTTGGGGAGCAAGATGTGTATCTTGCGGACCAAGTACTTTGGGCTATGAAAGCCCGTGTAGAAGTGAAGCCCGTGAACCCGAAAGAAGAATTCTCTAGATCTCGAATATTGTCTTAACATATTTACTTTATATGTTTAGGAAAGTTTACATTATGTGGGTGTTAGCATTATGTTAATGTCGACACTATATATATGTATCTTGTATTCTCATATGTGAGATAACTCAATAATATATTCTATTCCATAATATTTGACATGGTAGCAGAGCAGTCGATCTTTGTGGATCTAAATTAAACGCTTCCGCACTAAAAATCTTGTGGTTACAACAACCATGGGGTGTGAAGCCATCGAAGACGGTGGTGACGAAGACGATCCGGATGATGGTGTGAAGCAAAGTTTGCTTTGACGTCCACATGAGGGTTTTATATTTCTTTTATTCTAAGTTAATGTTTTGGTTTTATTTTGAGTTTATGGTTTGGTTTAGCACAAGAATTAGAGATCTTTGAAGAATTTTTTTTTTTTTTTTTTTTTAGGGTTTGGGCTTTCACAAGTAGTTGTTTATTTATGAGATTTATTCTTGAATTTAGAATATCTCAATTTTTTATGAGTTTTGATTTCTCATATTACGGGGGAGTTTATTGGAACGCTCATGTTTTAGGTCATTTTTTTTTTAGTCCAGTTTGTGGACTGTCCGAGATAGGACGATTATTTGTGGAGTGCGGATTTGCACCCACGGGATGTTGTTATTCCCTTTTACCAAGACCAAAGACGAGCTGAAGTTCCATCCTCTTTTGAAGATTGAAGTTTATACCCTGAGGAGTCTGTTGACATGATTTGTCCTTCCTCGACATGATGTCCACGACATAGGTGTTCCGCATATTTTGAGTTTCGCGTCCCACCTTTGTCGTGCGGGGGAGTATTGGAGATATCTTGGGGAGCAAGATGTGTATCTTGCGGACCAAGTACTTTGGGCTATGAAAGCCCGTGTAGAAGTGAAGCCCGTGAACCCGAAAGAAGAATTCTCTAGATCTCGAATATTGTCTTAACATATTTACTTTATATGTTTAGGAAAGTTTACATTATGTGGGTGTTAGCATTATGTTAATGTCGACACTATATATATGTATCTTGTATTCTCATATGTGAGATAACTCAATAATATATTCTATTCCATAATATTATAAGTAATTGTATTCTCATAGAGATGAGTTTTGCGTCGATCTCGGTCGATCTTTGTGGATCTAAATTAAACGCTTCCGCACTAAAAATCTTGTGGTTACAACAACCATGGGGTGTGAAGCCATCGAAGACGGTGGTGACGAAGACGATCCGGATGATGGTGTGAAGCAAAGTTTGCTTTGACGTCCACATGAGGGTTTTATATTTCTTTTATTCTAAGTTAATGTTTTGGTTTTATTTTGAGTTTATGGTTTGGTTTAGCACAAGAATTAGAGATCTTTGAAGAATTTTTTTTTTTTTTTTTTTTTAGGGTTTGGGCTTTCACAAGTAGTTGTTTATTTATGAGATTTATTCTTGAATTTAGAATATCTCAATTTTTTATGAGTTTTGATTTCTCATATTACGGGGGAGTTTATTGGAACGCTCATGTTTTAGGTCATTTTTTTTTTAGTCCAGTTTGTGGACTGTCCGAGATAGGACGATTATTTGTGGAGTGCGGATTTGCACCCACGGGATGTTGTTATTCCCTTTTACCAAGACCAAAGACGAGCTGAAGTTCCATCCTCTTTTGAAGATTGAAGTTTATACCCTGAGGAGTCTGTTGACATGATTTGTCCTTCCTCGACATGATGTCCACGACATAGGTGTTCCGCATATTTTGAGTTTCGCGTCCCACCTTTGTCGTGCGGGGGAGTATTGGAGATATCTTGGGGAGCAAGATGTGTATCTTGCGGACCAAGTACTTTGGGCTATGAAAGCCCGTGTAGAAGTGAAGCCCGTGGACCCGAAAGAAGAATTCTCTAGATCTCGAATATTGTCTTAACATATTTACTTTATATGTTTAGGAAAGTTTACATTATGTGGGTGTTAGCATTATGTTAATGTCGACACTATATATATGTATCTTGTATTCTCATATGTGAGATAACTCAATAATATATTCTATTCTATAATATTTGACATGGTATCAGAGCAGACGATTCTTGTGGATCGGAGTTAAAGCTTCCGCATTAGAGTTCTTGTGATTAAGAGAAGATCATGAAGACGGTGATCACTGAAGGAGAAGACGGTGACTCCGATGGAGGAGATGAAGACGACGAAGACGTAGGCATCTTAAGAGATGGAGGTCACGTGATTGTTTCTTAATCACATGGGTATTATTTTTGGGTATTATTTTTCCAAAACTTTAGGTTGTTGGTTTCCTATGTTTTTAGTAGGATTGATTTTGATTTTTTCATGCAAT